AACAATTGACTATTCTTCATTCAACAACTTTGATCTGATTTTATCAAGCAAAGGACTTGGTCTATTCACTAGTTTCATAGTTGATTGCCCTGTTTTGCAAAGTCGCTTATTTCTCCACTCAATACAGTTTAAACTCGGTTCAACATAGCCAAAACTATGATCTTTTAAAATCAGTTGAATTCAAACTGATTCCTGGACACTAGCTAATCTGTTCCACAATTGAGGGATGTGTGGAATTTACAATATAGGGAAGAGAAGAGTGGTCGTAAAACACCAAACATTATTCTAAATAAAAGAGGAACTATAGAGGAAATACTATGTTCACGACTCTTCGAGAACAATGCTGTAGTGAGAAGTGTTGTCCTATCTCTTCTAAGAGTTGCTGTTATTGTTGTCGTCAAATGTGCAAATCAGATAGTAAATTCTGCTTTTGTAATCATTTCTGCCAATTCATACCAAGACCTCAATGATTTTTGCAATGAAATAAATACAAGCAACTTCCTTGCGGTGAAGTTGTTGATTGAAAAAGATTGATTGATTAGTTCGAATCCAAAGACCACCGGTCGAGTATGATGAGGACTCATCCTACTTCATCGAATATTAGTGTCGAGATCGAGTCGAATCATAAACTTGATATTGTTCTTCCTATATGTTGTTATCATAATTTTCCAAACCAGTAAAGAGAGTTACAGTTATATATAGAGAATAATATCTACAGAGATAAAAATAACGATTCTGCAAGTAAGATTTTATATTCCTTGTTTTTTTCTACACTTTACCGTTTTGAAAAGAAATTTGATTGTCTTTTATCAGTGAGAATTGTATGATATTCATTTTCAATAAGAAAAAAAGAGGAAGAAGAATAAGGACTGTGTGGAAAAGATAAAGAATGCCTAAAGTACTACGTTCACTTAAGCTTTGGATAATTTGTAAGGATTATAGGGATGCCTTGAAATAAATAACCATTTTGTTTCAACAGCCTACTTCTTACTTTATGGTGTTCAAATACAGGTCATGCACATCAGTAGAATGGATAAACAAAAACAAAGTACCATAAACGTTCTACTGTTACCAATATGAGGTAATAGTAGGGAATATTTTTTCTACTAATGACGACAAGAGTATCGTTGATGTTTCTGGTGAGAATCAAAGTCAAGACTTTTGGCTCATAACACTATCTCTGTAGTCTATTAAACTAGAAAGCCATTTCTTTCTTTTTTCACTTTATATCTTTCATCATACATTTTCTTCCAAAGCAAATTGGTGTATTCTCTGGTTCAGCGAGTTTATAAAAGTTGAAATAAAAGGAATCATTTTCTTCATCTTGTACTACATAACATATAAACATGAAAAAGGAAGATTCAATAGCTTGTATCAAAAGGTTACGTTGCGTCTTTTCGCAGCTCGTTTGTGACCAATCGTCTACAACCTAGTTGAATCTTCGTCTAAATCAAATGATTCTATAGTATATGAATGGCGTAGTTTATCGCTGTCATACTTTATTTTAATTAAAGTTCAGTTTTTAGTGTTCAGTAATTGCAACTTTTTTGAAAAGATAAGATAACAAGATGATGACCACTCTCCGACCAGTCAATAGAAACAAGAAATAGACTTTTTGCACAATACCTTTATCAAAAAAGTGATGATTCTATGACGCAAGTTCAGCTTAGTACCAAGACAGCAAAAAGAGAACGTGCTCCACCAATATTGATAGGAACAATTGGATTCAAACAAAGTTCAATTGAATTCCGTACAGATACAAGAATGGTGGATGCTGATTGATCTATGCTCATCAATAGTAACATGTTCTCAATATTCTAGAAACACATTGTCATTCAATATGAAAGTCAATCCACAACTGTACCTAAATTGAATTATGGACAACGGCTTACCCTAATATTGCATACGGCATACAAATATCAAGGGAGAATTGATGCTTTGCTGCAATTTGGATTCTCACCTAGTGATTCTCGAATGAATTCATCTTCGACTTGATTCTAAGTAATCCAAATAATAGTCTGTAAATCATCCTTGTAGAATAAGGACTAGAATATTTTAGACAATTCAAAATAATCTTGGACAATTCGACGCTGAATCAAGCATACAGGGAACCTAAAGGCCACATAAAACACTGCTTCGGATATAAAGACTCCGTACATACAAAAGCAATATTTCAAGTGCAAAGGTACAAAGTCTTTATCAACTCGACAACTAGGAGTCAATAAAGTATCAATTCTACCTTAAAGAAGCCATCCTATAAAAACACTATATGACAGAAACTCTATTGGATAACCCAATGTCTACATAATGACAATTCAACCAACTCTCTCTTAGATACCCCTAAAAAGATAGCAACGTATATTAGTCTTACGATCAACTAATTGGCTTTGAATGGAAACGTTGATTCAACTTTTTGTGCATCGAGCTGTGCCATTATCTACTCTAACACATTGACTCCATTCATTACTAGGGCTATATTTCAATAGCCAACTTTGAACGGTTTTAACAATCAACGCATTTAGATGTGAATACTTGAAAAAAGATTGAAATCTGATATTAGATTCTTGTCTGGGAAATGACTATATCTTACTCAGTAATGCATGGTTGGAACGAAATGATATAACTGAAGGTACTTCAAAACAAGTAGTTATGAATTGAATCAAATACAGTTTGACATATTTATATCTGAACAAACAACTAGTTAATATCAAAATATATAAACTAGTAATAACAGATTCGTGGCACTGCAAAGATGCATTATAATTCATCGTTTGAGTCGGTTCATGAAGCTATCTAGGATGAAACGATTAAGAAAAATGTATCCAGTATCGCAAAGAAAGTGCAAGCAATGAGAGGAATAATTCGGCATTCTGCTACTACCAAGTTTTTTTCAAACCAAGTATTATTTGGCCAAGCCTCTTTATCCTTACTAATAATGCTACTATTAATACTATATGGAAAATCGTTTTTCTCTGGATAAGGACTAAACGAGTTCGATAAATTCAGTATGATCTCTAAGAATTCAAAAGTTGAATCAACTATAGAGGACATTTCATTTACTTATGGAACAGAATTTCTTCTTGATGAGATATTTGACTAGTTGTCAACAAATGACCAACTCCTACACAAAAAGTCATCTTAGATGAGCAGTATCAAGAAATATCTTACTTTCTTTCCATTGAACAGTAAATCATTGAATTCAGTATACAATTCAAGTAATATAAAACAGTAACCAGTTTCTAGATACGTTGAGAAGGAAGAAATCAAATAGACCTTTTCTTCCGTATCTACTAGAATAACTGTGCCATATCCTGTTGAGATTTCACTGGAAGTGGTAAGATTCAGAGTAGTACTCTCAAGCAAATGATTACTGCTTACTTCAATACAGCTATAACCAGAATTGTTTCGGGTATCACTCTGAAATAAGATTCAAACTCAACTCATCAATAGAAACAAGGTATTGGTACGGCATAAATACATTGTTATTTATCACTTGAATCAATTGTGGTAATAGTCCAAGATTACCACCAAAGGTTGCGAAAAGGTTCGAGCATCAAAGGATATACAAAAAGATCCTGAAATTAGAACAGGATAATAAGTTTGTGTTTTGCTGCTACTTGTGTAAAAATCTCAGAATTGATTCTGCTTTTTGTGAAAATCAACCTCAAAATCTGTAAAACATGGGTCTGATATTTTAATCCCGTGAAGCCAGGGAAGCATTCATTTACTTCTTTTCCTTGAATTTTTTTCGAATGACCTTTCTATATTATTCAATCGAAAAGTATATACAATGTAAAACATAAATTTTTGTCTTTTATAACAATTCATATGAATAAGGGAAAACAATCAGTAGGTCATACTAGGACAAGTTCAATTTCTATTCCCAATAGATCGTTTATATAGAACTTTGACTGCAATCTTGTTGCTTCTTCTTTGAATTTACATCATCTCGCAGTCTTCAAATGCTACTTTTTATCATATTCATCCCTTTTCTTGTAAGAATATAGTACAACTCTAAAAAACATGATTTTCACCATTCTACAATTACGCCGATAAAGAAGAGAAAAGACGAAATAAAGATATTTCCCTATCCTTATCGACTAGATGACAAACTTCATATCACGCTGGTTTTAGGGTCGAACATGTAAGATGGAAATATTCTGGAGCACAAATAATCATATGATGGTTTCAACATAAGAGCATTGCAATATGTTTAGATAAATCAGTAGTAAATTCTAGATCACGGAAAACAGTATGTTGTACACGTCCATAATACTGCAAATTCACTTGTGAAAGATTACTTGTTTCAACTGACGAAATTGTCTTGAATTGATCATTTGGACTATCAATTGCCCACCCCTCCAAATGCAACACAACTATCAAGGGACAAAGAGATTCTATGTGATCGGGATTTCCAATGAAAAAAGCTTCTGAAAGGTTGTACGTCGACGTTTTCGGAAAAGAAATGACGACTAATTGCTTCATCACACTATCATGAGATAACAAATAAGTTCGTTGTAAGAGTCAAAAGATAAAGATTAGTCTCAAACAGGTACAAGCAAAATAGAAAATCGACCAGTAAACAACTCGATACCCTATTTGTTGTTCAAAATCAGAACCGTATGTAGTTCTACTGATAGTAAGGTGCAGGAATAGTCGTAAGTGTGCAAATAATGCCCTCTTCTTCTGTAAAGTCAACAATACAATTTTCCTTTATGGTAAAAAATAGGTCAAATTCGTACTTTTATGACAAAAGCTATTATTGATATTCCATGTACTACTAACCAATACACTATGACTTTCTCTTGTTTGTTGTTGTCGTTGCTGTCATTTTACAAATCCAAGTAAATAAAACAATTGCAATTCTCCACTCATGCCAACAACGAAGAAAACAGTAAAAGATAGAAGCGCCAATCATTCTCTTTATAGACTTGATGACTAAGCCATAATTTACTAGCCTTGGGCTCATATTTGTTGTTGTTGCTGTTCTGGTTGAATTTCAAGTAGTGGCGAGTGGTTTGATTTTGCTGCGATAATAGAAAAATGTTTTAGGTTCGTGTCAATGTGCAAACCACTCTGTTCGTCTGCGTATGCTTTCTAGGAATTATTTACCAAAAGTTGGACTTTATCTTCAGAGTCAAACCAAAAACTCTAGTCGGAAACGATGACATCAACGTGAGCACTCGTGTAACCTTGTAGAAGTTCACCCAATCTTCCATGAGTTTCTTTCAGAGCTACTTTGTATACTATCCAAACGCAAGCTGTTTGCACAAAATGTGAAGTTTCTTTTTCACTTTTTGCCAGCTACAACTACCACTACTTTCAACAGCATGACTTTCAGTGTGTTGGAAAAAAAACAGATCAGAAGCACTCTTGAAAAGGCAAATACTGTTATACACAAGTCGCCTTGTTTCCCATTCACACCGTACTACTAATGTTACCCTCCTCTTCAACTATATAAGGACCAAAGACGATTTGCAATAGATGCCTTTCAGAAACAGCAGCAATACTGGCTTCAACACTATCACTCTTACGACTCACACATTCTTTAGACAAAACTTAACTTTTGGTAAACCCAGTAATTCAAAAAAACAAAGGCGTTTCTCAAAACGGACTAATAGCTACAGTCGCCATCGTCAAAACATTTTACCCAGGTGAACACAACCATGACTTTCAACAGTGTCCTTTTGCTTGCTTTATTTCACGGTTCCCAACAAGGTGAGTATACTTTGAACTGAAAACTTTTCCCTTGCTTTCAAAAAGCAAGTTTATTCAGCTTTCGTTTTCACAAACTGTCAAACCTTATGGGTGTCGTTTTCCATACTCGAATCAATAGAGAATTGATATAAAAGCACAACAATACAAACAACCATTGAAAATAAGCAATGATGGACTCAAGACTTTCCTATGCTATTCTGAGAAATGCCTGTTGCAGAGTTACAGACCGATTTCTCCATCTTGAAAAGAGTCATATAGAAGACAAGGAAAACTACTATACGGAATATAATTCTGTGTACTGACTAAAAGACTCAACTGAGTGTCTGACTGGTTTCTTGTTCTTGTAGAATATCTTTGAAATAATAGCCCCAAGCCTGATTCTCAGAATCTCAACAACAGACTACAGGACTTTCAACTGCTAATAAATACGCAAAACTGCTCTGAAACAATTTTCAGTAAAACAAAATGGACTTGCGAGACAACTAATTGACCAAAGTACCAACACTCAACCACAGCTTGAATTCCTTTGTCTTTGCTCTCTTCTCGACAACGGTAATCTCAAATTTCCATACAAGACCAGAAGTGAAATAACAACAAGTGTTGCATAAAGGATATAAACTCCAAAGAGATAATAAAAGTTGTACATACTAAAAAGAAACTACAGTCTACATGGAACTCAGAGCTCAGGACTCGATGGATTGTTCTAAAAGAAACATTTGCAGGGCTTAAAAAAGAAACGTAGATAATAGAAATTCACTTGTCCAACTAAAACAAACGACGAATTCGCTTTAGAAATTAAAGTCTGAAAAGTTTCACTAGCAAACTTGAAGCAGGTCCACAGCCTTGACAACACTCACTGAAACTTCCTTTCCATCCAACAATCAAACCATTGTGTTGAATTTCTAATTGGATTGTTCTGAGAAGGATCGCTTTGTATTGTCTCCTTTCACTGGAGATATATTATTTTGAGTGACTAGTGAGTTTTATGAAAGAAAATATTTCACTTGGAGATATGTAAAAAGTTTCTGGAACAATAAGTGTGCTAGATACAATCAATTTCACATCTCAGTATTGTTGTGAAAAGAGAAGAACAGTGTCGTAACAAAGGTCCTCGCAACTCCCTAGCGACAGTGTAGCCTTTTAACAGAGTTGAGTTTGTTCAATCTCGTCTCTGCAAGGTAAATTTTTGACTACTTGTGACCCTATTTTGATAACAAATCAAGAACGGGTTTTGCTACAACCAGTTTTTGACTCGTTCTCGATCTGAGAACCTTTCTTTGTTGGTCGTTCAAAATTAAGGAAAACTCCTTAAAGATGTAAAATGGTCATTTTCTAATCTCAATGACATTAACTCTGTTTGGCTTGCAACGTGAGAACTATAACCTTTCCTTCTATGCAAATACGCTCAAGGAGCAATCTTTGTTCGATTACGAGTTGTAATAAAGAATAAATCATATATTCAACAGTAGAATTGGAAAGTATACAGAGAACAAGGCTACAACAAAAAACCGACCAAAGGTTTGAATTCTTTTGTCTATGTACAAATACATAAACTATTTACGTCAAGGAGGATCGAACCTTAAACGTTACAAGGGTCTAGGTTTGATCTCTGCATAAAGAACTTCTAAAGAGTTTTGACTGGTATAAGAGTAAAGGTGGTGGTGATTTTGCTTCTCCTTGCACATATATTTCAAAATTCACCTTTCGTTATTACTTTGCCAAGAGGAGATGAAAGCTTCTTATTTTTCCATTATTTCTACATTTATATATATTCTTTTTTTTTACTAGTAGACGAAATTTATTCAGTATATTTAAGAGAACAAGACCTTTAACAGTTTGGATAATCACAACCACAATACAATTTAAGATTGACTCTGCAAAAGAATCAGATAGATAAATAATAGACAATTAGCTTATTAAGGAGTCATATTTAGCGAGATTACAGGTTCGAACGTGTTGAAAACTGCTTGGGTCTCTATTGTTCAGAATGCCTGTACTTTTCCTGCTCCTATCATTGCTGCATGGTGTTTGGACTATCTGGGAAGAAAGAAAGTTTTAACCTGGGGTTGATGTCTCTTGTCCTTGTCCAGCTTTCTTCGTGGTGGATTCTACACGGACTTGTCGAAACATACAGCAGCCTTTGCGATCGTTGCAACTATCCCTCTCTTTGTCGAATACTTTATTTTCAATCCACTATATGTGATACCCACTGAAATATTTCCCACAATTATTCGGGGTAGAATGACTGGTATGATCACTGCATTTGGCAATACCGGCGGGATAGCCGGTACTGAAGCTTACATTCGCTTGAAAAAAAGCTTTGGAGATGGAACTTCCGGGTTTAGAGCCATTCAATATCTCAACGGTGGTTTATCTTTATTGGGTTTGAGAATAGCGTTGGTTCTTATTCCGGAGAGAATGGATGCTCTTTGGTAGATGAGGATAGAAAGTATTACGATTTGATGCAGAGGAGTGACCTAGACATGTAAAACTATATGATTGATTTGTAGACTTTCATTTTGTTACAGAAAATATCTTCATCCCTTTTTCATATACAATTTTAGTCCAACGTAGCTGATATTGTTGTAAAAGTAGTCCAACAAATGTCAACATTTCTGTTCGGTATCAAGAGAAACTTTTCATTCGTTTTCGAGATTGTTACTGATCGTTATTTCCTAATTGAAGTATGAAAGTTTCTTGTTCAGAGAGAAAGTTGAGATGTTGAACAACATTGGAACCTTAAACAACTGAAGATGGGCTTTAGTGAACGACCATGGCTATTCTTTACATCTCAAGTTGATTGCCAATTCTACAAACCATTTTGTAAAACGAATCTTGGACATTGTTGTCATGATATTACTTCATGTGTGGTCGACAATTTGAAGACAGAAATGAGTATTCTAAAGCTCAAAGACATTTATGCATTTCTTTTACCATCGAAGGAATTGTATTCATTTATGCAGTTGAAGAAAATACAAACACTAGACACAATAAAATATGTTATTTTGGAGGAAATTCTAGATTCTGGGTATAAACAATCTTACTGCACTTTTGTGTTTTATCTGTTAAAAGTTATGGTACAACACTCAAGAAAATTCTCTCGGAATGGAGGATATGCGGAAAGCTTTAGAAAGTTTCAATGACAATATAGAGTTTTAAAAGCCTCAGAATTCAATCTTGACGCAACTTTCTCGACGAAGATCGGGTTTAAGGACACAAGTCGAGAGACCTTGAGATTCTAAAACGAATAGTCAGATACATAAATAACTTAAAAAATATAGAAAAAGTCAATACAACGGCTTGAGTTGCATAATAGCGATAGAAGCACTGAGTGAAAAGAAGGGGAACTTCACCGAGGTAACGAGTTGGGAAATCAAGCGATGAAGCCTAGTCAGGATATCCAAAAGATGCCATAGTGGCCACTTTTATAAGATCCACTCTACTACTGAAAAGTAACAGCACAGAGTACTTGTTAATATACTTGGCTTTCCGTTTTTCATGGTTTCTTGGATTGGCTCAAGAAGAACACTCAATCAGTGGAGTACTTTTTCTTCCTACAGTCTTTCAAAATACACTTTGCAAAACAACCTCCATCTTTAATAACTTGTATGACTGGGAGGTAGTTTTGCTGAACTAAAACGATCGAAGACGACTTTTGAAGAGCTTGAAGAGTCTGAATAGACCAGTCCAAGCCATTTTAAAAAAAGGACAAGAAATGTATACTAACTTCCTCAATACTTTGCCTTTTTATAGGCTTGTCGTTTCTTTTACAGCGAACGGATAGTTTTTGGAGAAAATCTTTCAAGGTTTACTCGAATTCAATGAAGGGTCAATGAATGGTGTTGCCAAAACTGTAGACTCAAAAGTCTATGCATTAACAGATCGGTAATGTTGAAAGAATATCGACACTGATGCCAAAGAACAGAGTTAGCTTGATCAGAAGCTAGCCTTTGTAGCGTATAATTTAATTAGGACAAAGAGCAAAAGTTCTCGTTACCTATACCCATTATTGTTCTTGACTTGTGTGATAGTTCCTTCAGCAGTATTACAACACCAAGATGCGTTCTTAAAAGTCCAAAATTGTAAATGTTTTCAACTTAAAATCGATACATTTGTTAGTATACCAAGCCTACAAATTATCGAGTTATGAATCTCAAAGGAAAAAGGACGAAAGAATGCTTTCCTAGAACCAGACCTTGTGCAGCCATAATTTCAATGCATTGACTTGTCAAAAGTGCAAACATGAGTAACTATAAATAGCTAAACAAGCCATTTACAAAAACAAAAAGTGAATAATCCGGCATGAGGCTACGCGTGAATAATGTTTCTACAATGACAACCATGAAGAGACTTAAGTTTCCAAAAGAAAAGACAGTCCATGTAAATGGATGCATTGTTGAAAACAACAAATACATATTCATGAAGCAATCAATAGATAAAGAGGATGACAAGAATACAAATCCTTTCCAAGTCCTATTCAAACTTTTGATACATTCTGTATAGCATCAACAAAACTCTCGACCATGTCCTGCGTTTTGATTTGCAATAAATAAAATGCCATGATTACAAGAAACAGTCCTCAAATTGTGTTTCTATTCACAACAATCTCCATAATGCAGAACTTTGGCAACTCTCATCCATTTCTACTTTCTGCCGTGCTGGCCGATTTTCGGACCCTCATGAAGCAGGGAAAGACAACAGAACAACGGCTGCTCTGTTGTATGACAAGTATATTTCGATTGACGGTTTTTTCTCTTTGTTCGCCCGAGAAATATGCCAGGTTATTATGAAGAATATTTTGAAGACTTCCATACTATCTTTAACATTTGCAGTGGCCATTGGAAAACTGCCATCTTGAGGACACTTGTTTCTCTTGGCTTTATCGATATAATTGAAGCCAAAGCAACAGAAACTAAAGGCCCTGTGCTGGCTTCTGAGGTTCCTCTACTCAAAATTCGTCGTTGTATAGAGTTTAAATCAGTTATTTTAGGTGGCTTCCTTATGCCATACTGACAAAGACTTTACGTATAGGCTATTGCGAGCTGCCTCAACACTGAGCCTAGTGAAAGAACACGATTATCCACAATACTCTTTTACTGTTACTCGACTAGGAAGCCTACTTTTGAAAGACCGCGAAGACTCTGCTCGAGGTTTGATATTATGGGAAGGAAGCAAAGAGCTGTGTCATATTTGGCTCGAATTAGAAAAAGCTGTAAAAACCGGAAAGAAGGTTACAGGTGACATGTAAGTACTCAGTACCTCTTTTTTATATGCTCGATTTTCTGAAAATAGTCAGGTTTTGGTTGTGAATTTTTTGAGTTTATTACTCGTTCTGATCCTGAAAGTACTGAAATATTAAAGAGATTTGAGTCTGGTATGGCTTCATTGAGCAACTTTGACACCAATGCAGTCCTTAATACTTTTGACTTTTCCAAGTTCCAAAGCATCTGTGATGTTGGAGCAGGTCCAGGAACACTTTTGAAAGCTATTTTAAAGAAGCATCCACAAATTCGAGGTGTTATTGCAGATTTGCCTCAAGTCATAGAACAAGCCGTATTCATTGATGAATGTTTATAAGACAAATGTAGCAAGGAGCCATGTGATTTCTTCCAAGGTGTTCCTCGCAATCATGATCTTTATATAATGAAGCATGTCTTACATGATTGGGATGATAATAAGGGAATACAAATTTTAAAGACTGTGAAGGAATGTAGTCCTTCGCATGCAAAGTTAATGCTTTTGGAATATGTTGTTCCAGGTTCTAATATCACATCCAGTGGAAAGCTCTTTGATCTTCACATGGGAATTGTAAACAACGGTAAAGAACGTACAGAAGAAGAATGGAAGAACATGCTCGTCGCTGGAGGTTGGAATTATCTTGGATATGAAAATACTAAAGGGATCATTAGTGTCATTTTAGCAAGCAAAGATTAGAATATTGCTAACATTTTTTTGTTTCTTTCATTTGTGTGATAGCTTTTAGAATACGATTATTGTTTTTGGAGTTATAAACGGTCTTTGACTTACTTTGGAATGCTATTTACAGGCTTCACTTGAACCATCCATATCACAGTTAGGTAAACAGAAAATAATTCTTATGAAAATTGTGTCAAGCGTCCAAATACTATCGGCAAAGTTTGTGGAAACTAGAGTCAATATTAATCTTTGAACACTTCAAATAGCAGAATGGACAAAGTGTCAAAAGTATAATTTTTTGAAAACAATAATTACACATTCATACAGAGCAAAAGTGCTCGTGACAGAATCATATCTGAAGCAAATGGATTTATTTTGTGTTTTGTCATCACTTCAAATGAAACATTGAATTCACTGCATATTAAATTCAAAAAGAATAATAAAGTTATTCCTAATAAATTTCTTGGTGTGCCAAAACCAGTCTTCGAAAGGATCACAGCCAACTGAAATGAGTGAACAGCAAAAAGAGCGAAATATTACTCATTAAAATAACAAACCATTTGAAGCTCTCTTTGAACAAAGTTACACTTTTCATAAAAGGCAACGTTTCCAGGTGAACAGCTGAGTATGACTTTGTAACAATTCCGACTTTTTGCTTCTTGTACTAATTTATCTACAAGTATTTTCCCTAGACCAAGGCCTCTATACAACTTGGACACAACAATATCTTCTATATGGCCGACGGACTTACAATTGTGAAGAAACTTAAGTTCTACAAGTAAAGTACCACTTGCAATCACCTGTGACTGAGTCACATCTTCTGCCACTAAAATGTAGTAATCTGGATAACTCTGTATTTGATGGAGACGACTTAAAAATTCACTCTTTTCCACGCTTCCCACAGTACTAAGTTCGCTTAATAGATTTGTATATCCTTTATCAAAGTCGCTACTAGAAAGGGTTCGCCAAATAATATTCTCTTGAGAAGACATGGCTTGTTGAAAATCAATCGTCCCATTTTTGAAATTGAGTATTTTTGCATATTTGGTAATTTGGAACTGTTGAGTTTTTTTGGTTCATGAATAGACAACCATTTGTGAAGTTGGAAAATGATGAAACTGAGAAAAATGGAGATAATATACGCTACTTTCACCATAGTCTTATATCACCAATTGTTATTGAAGAATATTTGAAAGCAGTCGACCCTGTGGTAGCGCTTGTTATGGTGTTCAACTTTACTTCCAGCGTGAGCATTGTCTCGGTCAACAAGTATGTAACCCAATTGGGTTTTCGTTTCAGTAAGATGTTATATTTGTTATCAGCTCGTTTCGTCTTTAACTTTTTCTGGGTAGTGTGTACTCTTACCTGCATCCATTTTATTGTCACCTTTTTGGGTTTGGTTCTTTGTTCTTATTTGGGTTTATTCAAACCTAAGAAACTAGATATTTTTGCAGCGTCTCGTTTAGCTTTGGGAAATATGGGATTTGTAGTTTTGACTAATCTTTCTCTTCGGTATAACTCAGTTGGCTGCTATCAAGTTTTGAAGCACTTGACTACACCCGTTATTGTATTTATAGAAGCTGTATTTTACAAAATATATTTGGAAAGAAAGTTTTATGTTCCTTTGACTTTAGTTTGTGTTGGTGTAACCGTTGCTACCCTAACTGACCTAGAGTTGAATTTTCTCGGCATTTTCTTTGGTTTGACTGGTGTAGTTGTTACTTCACTTTATCAAGTTTGGTGTGGGACCTTGCAAAAGTATGAAAGACATGTTATAGTTAGGTTTGCTTATTGAACTGAAATAGGTCATTGGAAGCGAATCCCTTGCAACTTCAATACTATATTGCTCCTTTAGCTGCTCTATTTTTAGCTCCTTTATTGCCCATTTTAGAAGACTACAAACCATCTTCGCCTTTTAGTATTTTTCAGTTCGATTTTACTGTGAAGAGTGTGGTAAGTTTGGCATTCAATAGAGAAGTTTAATTTTATCGCTGCAGTCTATGATTTTGCTGTCTTCTCTGATTGCTTTCTGTGTAAACATTTCGATATTCATGGTTATTGGAAAGACTTCCGCAATTACTTACAATGTTCTTGGACATTCCAAAACATGTTCGATATTCCTTATTGGCTTTCTCTTTTTCAAGCAACAGTTTTCTTGGTTGAATTTTAGTGGTATCATTTTAACACTATGGGGTTTGTTGGTTGCTTTGATAGCTTTAAAATGCTCTACTTACTGAAGAGATAGGTGTTTTCTGGTATACCAAACTGAAATTGGAGTCCTCCAATCCTCCTTCTGGAAAATCGTAAGCAACTTTACGAGCCAAACAAATTCTATAAAGTCTTGATACGTTTTTTTGAAACATGGAAATGAATCTGGAATATTTCTTCTCCTAAAGCTTTATTTCCTATTCAGTCACAAATACAAGACGCGAATAAATTCACCTTTTAGATTCAAACATACGGAAAAATTTATGGAAACGATGCAAGTCAAGTTGTCGAATATGACCATCAAAAATAGCTTGAGGAAACACCAAGGCTTTCCATCTAATTCACAATATTCAGGCAGGGAGTTCTCAGTGTCCAAAGAAGAATAGTGAATATGTTCTAGGCCATTCCGTTTTTAGGCAGCAACTTGAGTTGTAACGATTGAAAACTTCAACTTGTCAAAGGAAACCTGAAAGAAAATGGAGTCGGTTATGACATTTAACATCATTCAATCACAAATAATCCTCCTCCACTAATGAAAAATCTTTACCCATTTTTTCCAGTTGTTGGTCGTCACAATCTTCTGAATGGTCAGTTTTCTGGATATTCCTTCTGTATGGATTACCTCCAGCTCAAGAATATTAAGCAAATCCAAATCTAGCTGTAGTAGACGAGGAGACTTTCCATACTCCAAAGGGTATTTCGCAATGGCATTGCCCAAAAATATACAACCTTCCAACGGAGAGGGATTGACACAGAAAGATGCAAAACAACGAGCTTTAGAAGGAGTCCTACAACAAATAGAAAAAACTTACGGTCGTGGGTCGATAATGCGTCTGGGTGAGATCGAAAGTATGAAAGTAGAAACCACTCCCAGTGGAAGCGTTACACTGGATGCTGCTTTAGGTGGCGGTTATCCACGAGGACGACTTGTTGAAATATTTGGTCCAGAAAGTAGTGGTAAGACGACCTTAGCTTTGCACGCTATAGCGGAGGTTCAGAAATCGGGAGGAGTTGCCGCTTTTGGTATGATTCAACTTTGATAACTCGTTTTCTTTCTCAATCTTTTTTTTCTTACAGTGGATGCGGAACATGCCTTGGATCCAGCTTACGGTTCTGCACTAGGAGTGGATATTCAGTCCTTGTTGGTTTCGCAACCAGACACGGGAGAAATGGCGTTGGAAATTGTGGATCAACTCGTTCGTTCCGCTGCAGTAGATATTGTCGTTATTGACTCTGTAGCAGCCTTGGTTCCTCGTTCTGAGATAGAAGGAGATATGAATGATCAACAAATGGGTGCTCAAGCACGACTTATGTCCAAAGCTTTGAGGAAGATTACTGGTTCCATGAGTCGTAGTCAGTGTACAGTTATATTTTTGAATCAGTTGCGACAAAAAATAGGCGTTCTATTTGGTAGTCCAGAAGTAACTTCAGGCGGAATGGCATTAAAGTATTATTCATCGGTGAGATTAGATATACGACGCAAAGACACGCTCAAGGATAATGTCGGCATACGATGTAAAGTCAAAATTGCCAAAAATAAGATTGCTCCTCCGTTTCGTGTAGTTGAGTTGAATATTTTATTTGGTAAAGGAATTGATACTTATGGCTGTCTGTTGGATGCAGCAGAAGAACTTGGTTTGGTGATTCGAAAAGGTTCTTGGTATAGTTATGGTGGAAACAATATTGCACAAGGAAAGGATGCTTGTGTGGAGTATATGAAGGCTCATTCTGACTTTGTTTCACAATTAGAGTTGCAGGTTCGCGGTAAGTTGGCAGGAATGGTGATTCCCAGAGAGATGGATGTCGACGTGGAGCCTGTTTATGATTAGAAGTTTTGATGAGCTTTCATGAAGCAATTTGACTTACTAACTGGTGGCTTATATGGTTGAATAAGGGAGGAGGAATTGAGAACAGTTATTTGATATTCTTGGGTATAGTTGACATATTTGTCTTCCATATGCGTCATGACCTTTATAAACGATATTTCTATGGGAATCCTTTCTACATATTATGTTGATGATACCAAAGCCCAGTTAGACATGGAGTCAATGCTCTTTGGATAACAAAGTGAGCTATTTCCGATGCATTTGCTGAAATCCGTTGTTGTCGAGCACAATGTCGACTCATTCGAACCTTATCAGTAGTCTCCAGATCATCCAAATGAAGCGTTTGTTGATATATGCCACGATGCCAGTTTTCTGCCTCTTGACGATATGCTTGAACTAGTTGGGAAAGAGAATGTTGGTCCTGTTCATATCGAAATAGACAATCAAGGAATGTTTCTTCATCTGGATTGGAAGATACAGAATGATAATCCAATCCCAAGCTCAATGCAAGTTCTTTAAACATAACTGCCGAATATGAAAATGGAAGCACTTCAATGACAGTAGTATTGGGACGTAGCAATAGGAACTGGCTGTTAGCAATGGAATGATCAGTGACTACAACATCTACTGCTTGAAGTTTCTCTTTTGCACTTATCCAATCATCAAGATCATTAGTATGAAAATCTACCAAACGAATATTTATGTCCTGTCGATAAGTTTCGGTAGTAGACTCCAATGCAAGTCTAGGAATCAGATTGGCAACTTGTTCAAATAGATTTTCATGAAAAGAGTTCAAACGATTGCTTGAATATCCAACACTATTATTCTTTAATGCAATGGTGATCATGCACTTCCCAGTGTCTTTAGCATTCTGAAAGGAACTTTTTAAACGGTCTTCCCTTAAGATTCCATTTTCTAAGAAAAATATGTCTTCTTGAGATAACACATGTTTTGGAATATGAGCGGGTCGAAGTCTACTAAAAGTGACTGACCGAAAGCAACCTTGAGATTCGGGAGAAATGGTTTTCCATTGTGTTGGTATGGTACTCAATAATACTTGTTGTAAGTATTGCGACGTCCAATCTTCTTCTTTAGGTCTTTGATAGTTAAGTAAAACTGGTTCCAAGGCACTCCAAAAGAGAGTTGTAATACATGGTCTGGAAGCTGAACTCACACATGTGAATGACCATGACTTTGTATTTTCAGAGTAATAAATAAAATGCCTCCAGAGCAAGATCCATATTGTGTCGGCAATGAGATGAGGAAGCTGCCAACGTAAGACTTGAGTACCGATAAGATCACCTTGGAATGAACTATTATGCAAATGGATAGGATCCTGAATATCTGCATACCAAACTAAGGATTGGTTGAGACCACATTTTTCTAACCAGAAATGATAGTTATTTAACCATTTTGGAAGTATCCATTGACCTTTATCAGTTTTACAAACCCTTTCTAAACGACAAATAGGAAAATTTTTCAAGTTTTTGTGCTCCCAAACCTCCAATTTCGAGGCGAGTTGTTCTACACTGTGATAGACGTTCCAGTAAGAAGGGTCTACTTTTTTCTTTGTTCCTTTCAAAGTATTTATGTCAAGGAAAGGATATAAACTTAAATACAATATACAAATAATTCTCACTCCAATAAGGAAGTATACCTTTTTGGTATTTTTCGTTGAAAGACGAAAGTGCTTTGGGTCCGAATGAATCATTCTATACATATATGATGAGAATCGTAAGCTTTAACGCTTTTCCTGTTTCAAAAAATTCCCAACCCGGTCTTTTTCTATTTTGGCCAATCACCGTGTCTTGTCTGTCTCATCATCTTAAATTTTCATATCTAATGAGATGAATAGATATTGTTGACACAAGTTAGTGAGAATATCCTATCAAGGTTACTATTACAGTCAACTAATGTTTCGTTGTTTCCAATCGACTTGTCCTTAAAGCATGAAAACAAGTTCTGAGATAGAGTCTTTTTATAAAAAAATTTTCTACAAAGGACTCTTCAAAGTCCATCACATCTTCATGGCTAATTTATCTCATTGAAAGGAAGATTCTCGTATCCATTTTCGAAAGTCGTCCTGCGTCCATGATGCTTTAGTTGTCGTTTGCGATGAAGATTCCTCAACATCATCCACTTCCTCCTCAGTTTCTTGTAAGACTTTCGTTTTATCACTTCTAGTACCAACTCTTATTCCTATCCTACGACTTGGAGTAGAAGACATTTGAAACCTGGGAGGCTTTGAACGTTTGACAATGATCTTTTGTCCCAAGAACATCGACTGATCTGCCTTCAAAGCTTCCCTAACACCTATGTTATTCTGAAATTCAACATAACCAAAACCTTTGGGTATCCCTTCCCTGTCCTTGACAAGTCGAGCTTCTAAAAAGCCATCTACAGATTGAAATAGCGACTGGAAATCTTCTTCTGTTGTTGTCTTTGGTAAATTGCTAACGAATATAGTATGAAGATCCTTGTGCCATTTCCTATCTCCGATAGAAGTACTCTGCAATGAATTTAATGACAACATATTGTTTTGATGTTCCGAATCATCTTTCTTCGTTTTCATTCTTTTCGGTTTGCTTCGGTAATCTTCTTTTTGCGAAAATGAAGGTTTTGCATTCGAATTTCGTGAGGGTTGCGTAGAAATTCTTTCGCAAAAAGTCTTTCGCTCATTTGTGACTTTGAGTGCCTTTTCGTATTGAGAATTATCGCCATAAAGACCTTCAAATCCTATCCATTCTTGTGCTAAAATCTCGACTTCTTCTACAACAGTATGAATACCTCTTCTAAATAACCTTCTTGCGTTTTCGTAGTTTTGTTGATGTATTTCCCAGTGAATATATCTTAACCAAGTATTTGCGAGTTTTCCGTGTTTTCGGAGCATTTGTTCCCAAACATTTCGAATATTTTCCACACTTCCCCTAAGAACAACTTCAAAGCAACCAGCAATGAACCTTAAAATTTGACAGGATGGGTCAGCTGAAGCTAAAGCATCATTATCAAAAGTCTTTTGAAAATCGCTCAGAATTTCGGAAAAATATTTCTTGTCAAGCCTTTCATCAGTGCAAAGTCGTCTCAAACAGTGCAAGTAGCTAAGAGACAGTTGTACCAAATGCTCAGGAAACATTGACATAACAGACCACGCTTTCCAAAATATATTCGATAACTCATGGAAACCATTATCACTTCTTTCCTGAGCTCTCATTGCATATTTTGCAATCTCTACAGAATTGGGTACACAGGAGAATGCCTTTTTTGTTGTCGCTTGAGTATTCAAGTCGGATAAGGGGAAGTGATCAGTCAAGAAACCCAAATAGAACAACCACAAGTCGGGTACAAAATAACAATTTCTCAAACCCCGTTCATATATCATTTTGGCTCGCAGCAAATCTACGCTAGTTTCGAACTCGGCATATGACTTCCAGGCTTCCACCATCTTTTCCATTTCTATTACTTGCTCAGTTGCTTTAGATATATCAAGGCTAAATATCAGATTTTCATATTTGTTCCTCTCTTCTCTCTTTGTTTGATTTCTTCCCATTCTTTGGAGTATATCTTCGTCCTTTGTTTCCAACAACACTTCGGGATATCTTGAGAAGGGTAAAGAAGCACAACGCATCTTCAACTTGTCTACGTTGTCTTTGTTCCCATATTTGTCTTCGAACTCCCAATATTTTTCGAATACTTTCCAGCCATGTCGAAAATCAAGTGCAACTTGAGTGACTGCCTGTTCGAATCTTTCACGTACAACGTTCTCTGACAATTTGCTTTGCTCACAGAGTTGTACCGAAAGGTCCAAATATAACAACCATAGTTCCACAGAATACAAAGTTTCGTTGAGTGCTCGTTCCACAATTTCTAAACCACGTGTATTTGCAAGTTCACGGTCGTGCTCCATCAAACGATGCCTCTCGTCGTTTACCCACTGTAACCATATCTCTGGAGGAAGAAAGTAAACTAGTGCAAAGTTTTCATAGGCTTGGTTCAAAGCATTCAGGTCATTTTCGTTCCTCAGTTGTTCTAAAATATCTAACCAGTCTTGGTAAGTTTCCAAAGTCTCCAGGTTATCACTCCCCTGATCTACGAAATTCCCAGTCATATCTCATACATCATTGGAATGTTGTTGTGACTATAGAATATATATATATATATATATATATATATATATTGAATCGATACAAGAATAACCAAAAGTATATATATATATATATATATAATGATATGGATTATATATTATGACATAAATAGAGAAATATTATTGAGTTCTGTGTGTGAATGGTCTGTGTACAAGTGATTGAATTTCATTGTATATATATATATTAATATATATATATCTGAGAAATATCTTCTCCTCGTCTATTTCTCTGAAAAAGACATTCTCAAATTGAAATCCGTTTTGGTCAGCACTGAATTTGTGGTGCATTTTCATACGCGTGTCTCCGATTTTGCTTTTGTTGACAAGGATTAGACAAAAAGTGTGACGGTTCATAACTTCGAATAGGCTGTTTATTTGGGAAACCAGACATTCAAGTCACTATGCCAGATGCTTCTGTCTCTTCTCTAGTATATAAACTTGCAACTCTACAGAAGAAGAAGAACCAAGGGGACTCTGACCAGAACTACACTGCTATTTCAGAAGGCAGGTTACCTAGGGAGCCTTCTCCCGCGTTGCTTGAATCTAGTCCTTATCCTAACAAGAATAACCCAAAATCAGATTCAAGTTGCACACTTGCATACAACTCAGAGAGAAAAAGACAAGCAACCCTTGTGGACGTAGAAACACCTTCCAATATTCTTGAAGAAGCAAATACAGTTATGGTCAATGGACCTCCCAACTATGGAACCTCTTGGTTTATAAATATTTGTGAATCTTGCGGTGCAGCTCACGACGGTCTTTATGGCAGTGGTAGGTTCTGTAGTAAACACTGTGCAAAGGGAGTGGGTGCAAGATGTAAATGGAATATGGTGAAAGCAAATAATACTCATTCAAAGGAAGAATATCAATATTGGAGCTTGCCCAATACAGAAAGAAAAGCTAGTGACTTGAGGAAAACATCGGAAGATTCTAAAATAGTGAAGAGTAGTGATCCGTTGCGTAGGTTGTGTCTTTTAGCAGAGAATGAAAAGAAATTGTTAGCTACGGAAGACGACTCACAGCCTGAAGTAAAGACGAAGCTCAAAAAAAGACTTTACAAGTATCAACTTTGGTTATTGGAGCAACAAAGAAACTGCTATTTTGTGGATCACTTGCAACGAGGAACAGACAGTGATTCAGTTGTAATAGATGAATCTCAAATGCTTGAAAAGGATGCTTCTGGTGGTAACTTGTGTCATTCAAAAGTCCCTGAGTGGAATGAAATTCCTTTAACCACTAGTTTTTCCCCCACAAGTTCCTATGAAGAGCCAACGATGAGAATGGTACAAGAACATGGCGACTTTTCCGTGCAGATTCTTTTAAATAATCCAACAGAGTCATTTGAAAGCAGTTCTTCTATTAGTTTACATGGTGGACAATGGAGACTGCCTCCTTTTACAACATTGGAAAAAGCAGCTGAACAAGGTGACCGAGAATTTGCTTCAAGAAAGTGGTATCGTCGTTGAGTAAATGAAGAATATCATTCAAAGGAAAAGAACTTGTTTGGTGTTATCTAACTGAGCTGTCAAGTAATAACAGTCTGTGTACTGTGGATAGTAACAATATTCGCATATTCCAATCTACGTGTTTTCGAAACAAATGTCGAGTAAATGTAATTTGGGACTGATGTAGTTTTTCGACTGTTATAGACATAACAACTAGTGTACCAGGTTTGAAACAAAACCAAGTTCTTTATCAAAGCTTCTGCGAACCCTTGGAAACACTGTGAACCTCCAAACAAGAAATAGATACTTCACAGCAGTTGAGTAGCATAAATAACTTCCACTGCTTGAGAAAGCTATTTTAGCTCCGTCCTCCGAGGAATCGCTTCCACTACTTGGAACGTTGTCTCATCTTTCTTCTCTTTCGCTTCAAACGTCGTGTTCTCTTCTTTTTCCACTTTGCACGCATAGTTGCGCTTCAGTTGCCACAGAAAGTACTGAGTACAAAAAAAACCTTCAAAATTTGTGCCCATAAACTGTGAAAATAACTTGTCTTACCTGCCCTTGACTATTCCAACTTCAGTTGTGTGAGGGCGTCGTCGAATGTCAATCTAAATCAACAAATAGAGTATGGAACTATTCCATAATTTTTATTATTTTTTTATTCTTTCGATCGAAAGACTATTCTCTTGGAGTAATGGGAAATAAAAAGTCCAACAAAACGGAAAACAAAGACAAAGAACTGAAGACTTGCAACTTTGTAAAGGTTGGTCTTGCCACTTTCAATTGGAAAGTGTCTGTTCACACTTTGTTTCAAGGCACGTCATATATTATGTGAAAAACAGGGAAAAATTATGCAAGTTTGGAATATGATTGACACAGAATATCTTCAACTGGATAAGAATGTACCACCGACTCGATTCGGTGAGCTGGCATTGCAGTATAGTGAGTGCAGTTCTGCAAAGAAAGGTGGCGACCTTGGATGGTTCCCTCGTGGAAAAATGGAGCCCACTTTTCAATCTGTAGCCTTCAGTACTCCTCAAGGCAAAGTTAGTCAACCTTTTAAAGGAGCCAACGGTTGGCATATGTAAGTATTTTCTTGTTTCGTATTCGAACTACAGAAAGTGATGCGTCTTCAAGTATTCTTGTTGAAGGTCGTCGAGCCTGACTTAGTCCTCTGACTGTCGAAACTTTGTCTGCTTGGTTCTACAATATCAGAAACCTGTTCCAGGTTACGTGCCTCAAAAGAAGACGGTGAACGAGTATCATAAAACTCTTCATTTGTCGTATCTATGCTGTTGGAATATGTCGTATCCTTTGTACTGCTTTCGTTACTTTCTTCACTATCAAGAGTATTCGGTGTTTCAGTCGTTTCTGCCTGTTTAATATATCGTGTGAGCGTCTTGGAAGTATTTCTCCTGGGTAGTTGATGAAGGAGACCTTTCGCTAATTCGCAACCTAAACTGTATTAATTATTGAATTGTTGATTGGTCAGATATTTGTACCTAATAAAGGTGTTCCTTCCTCAGTTATTTCAGGTTCCACAGAAATTAGTCTCTGTAGTTTGTTTCATCAGTGCCTGAATAAACTCATGTTTGAAAGGTTGACTTACCACTTTCCCAGTGGCTTTTGACCAAACCATCAGATCGAGAGGATTCTGTAAATGTGCAGCATCATAAACCTTCTCAAGTTGTTAGGAACACTTGAAACCTTGACATAAGCTTACCAGTTGTGGAAGAGTATCATAACTACGGAAAGCCACACTGGGTGTACCTACGATATAATCCGATTGTGGCATAAGACCTTAGAATATGTTACAAGTCAATAAAGGAAAGACCATCGATCAACCTACCCACTTCATCAGCAGGACTATTGGGTACAACACTAATCACATGCCAAGAGTATTCGGCTGCTTGGAACAGTGACTCGTATCTCACAATCACTCCAAGATAGCCCATATCTTTTGTTGGCTTATTTACAACCAACACAACCTTTGGAATAACAGAGCAAGTTGAAAGGAAATATGAAGAACACACAAAGCTTTCAGAGTACCTCTCGCTCCTCTTCGTCAAGACAGTTCCAAACCACCAACTTGACTTGCTGTCCTGTCTTTTCCTTTAAATATTCTGGAATTCTTTCTTCCTCTTCTTCAACAATCAAGTCGTCAACGGCAACGATGAAATCTTCATAAACTCTCAGTCCAGCTCTCATACCCGACCCATTCTCCAATAACTATCACATAGGTTTACTCTTTTTCTACAAGTGAACTACAACTTACTTTCATAATACGGTATCCATAGTGACCTTCTAGTTCGTCACTGTCGACTTCACTTTCTGTAAACTTGGAACTTTCAATGCCCATCCAATGGATTGTCTATATCTCACTTTCTTTTATTGAAAAGATATCAATTTCAAGTAAAAACTGAAACTTGAGAAATCTTTTCGAAGAGTCATAAGTTGATCATGCAAATTTATTTTAAAGTTTTTGTATAGTAGAAATGACTAAAACTTGAAATTGTCTTTTGAAAAATAGATATGAAACAAGAGGCAACTCCGTTGATAGAAAGGTCAGCCTCTTATCATAAACGTCCAGGAACTTTGAAGGTTCTCGACAACAGTGTTGGCTGGACTCCTTCACAAGCTGAGGTCTCAGTATTCTTTGCATCTTTATTCGGACATAACCGGTCTTATAGTTTCCCCATTCGGTTTCGTTGTCGTTGTTGGATGTAAAGAGTCAGATGGTCTCCGCACAAGGAAGCAAACAGGTGAGATGGCAGTGAGAGAATAGTGCAGGATCTAGTCTCAGCATACTATAGGCACTGTTGAAGCTTACAACCTTGAACAGTTCGGAAAGTTATGTATTTGAATTTGTTCGAGCTGCCAAGCCGGACTTTGTTTCTAGAGACGAAATAAAAGACTTCATATCGAGGCAATTGGCAAAACTGAAGGCTTCAAAGGAGAAAAGGTATGAAGTGATATCTCGTGTGAAGTTACCTTTGAGTGAAATATGTTTTGTATAGTGGCACAACAGAACAACCACAAAAAGAATCGGAAAGTACTAAATCTGGTGTCTCATCTGAAGAAGCGAAAAGAAGGCTGGAAGTATTGAGAAAACGTCCAGAACTGCAAAAACTACATATGAGTCTGGTAGGAGGAGGACTAATTTCTGATACGCATTTCTGGAATGGCGTTTGGTACAGACTACACCAGTCGGAACAAGAATTACTGAATAAAGGTGCGTAATATTGTAGTGTTGATATCATGTTGTGTTACTCATTTTTCGTAAGAGGAAGAACAAGCCTCCGTAAAGCAGACTCGAGGAATATCTTCGGAGATACTTTCGGAAATCAATCCAGTGGAAGAGAAAGGGAAAACTGTGAAATACCGTTTAACTCAGGATATCATTCATAAGATATTTCTAGAAGATCCAGCCGTCCATCTTGCCTTTCAGAGTTATGTACCTGCTAAAATGTCGGAACAAGCATTCTGGACGCAATACTTTCAAAGTCGTTATATATGTCAAGGAAAGAAATCAGGTAAGTGTCTCGTTTGCTGCTGTTATTTCAGTCTCATTTGTATATTGATAACTGGATCAGAGAAAGATGATATTTTTACTCCTTTTGAGGCCCAAGTACAGAAAGGAAAGGTTGTAAAGGACAAAAAGGAAATCTTGAAAGATGTAGAAAATGAAATCAACCTGTTTCTTGATGACAAAGCTTATCAAAGTGGTTATGGAATCAATGAACATTCCATTACTAAGCAGATTCAAGAGGTAAGACGCAAAGCCTTTATTAGGTGTCAAATGACCATTCAACAAATATGAAAGGATCCATCTCTCCCATTACTGCAAAGACTGAACCGCCATAGCTCGTTGGTAGTAGAAGCAAGTAATACAAGCAATGCTCATGCTTATAAGGAAGACTTGTATCAGACACTTGCAGAACAGCATTCGCTCCAGAAACAAGAGCAACTTCTCAGTTTACCATATTCATTTCTTCCCTCTTCGCAGTCCAAGTCGATATACAAACCACATAACTGGAAATATCTAGCAGCACATTTAAGGAATGCGCCTGGAAGTCTTTACTCTGTGAAGCCCTCTGTAGATACTTCTAGAAAAGTGTTGGAGGAACTTTTTGATAACATGTGATATAGTGTATGCTATTCATATCCATATGGTACTTACTTTTTTCAGCATGGATGAATGAAGATGTAGTGAAACTTTCGTTTTATGAATGTAACTAGGCATCATTTAAGAACAAAAGTTCCATGAGTGATTGCTACAAAAGACACATTTATTTCTTTGTAAGTATTGGGCACATTGGCCCATATCCCTTTACATCTCGCTTAATATGCTGATTGCGATGAAACTTGTTGTGTTTGATAGACTTGCTGTGAAGGAGAAACTTGTACGGGAGTAGAAATTGGAGATACTTGCTGGTAGCAAGAGGAGCCTATTTACAAAGTTACAAGGCAACAAGATTGTTAGACGTATACACTTACATTCGATACAGCATTTTACTGGGACAGAAACACAAGAAGGTGCTGGAGCAGGAGCTACCGATTGGGAAGAATATCCACCTCTTGAAACCTCATTTCGTCCGTATGCTGATGAAACTTGTTGACTTTGGACAACCTGTTGAGTCTGAATAACTTGTTGGGTCTGAATAACTTGTTGAGTCTGAATAACTTGCTGAGTCTGGACCACTTGTTCACAAATCTGAGTGTATTGACCTAGTCGATGTTCAGCAGTGCCCCTTGACGACTTCTGCATACTTACAGCTCAATTTGCAACAGCCGGGACTTGGTGCGTGGCTAGGTGCTTGGTAACCACCTCGCATAAAAGCATCTAAAGTGTCTTCAAGAGGAGAAGCTTGGATAGCGACAGTGCAAAGTGCTACAACAAGGAAAGCGAAGATTGCAGATTTCATATTGATACTTATTTCACAAATTACCAAATTCTATGTAGGGCATCAAGAAAAATTGGCTTCTTTAAAAAGCTATAGTCTGTGGAAGATCCGGTGAAACGTGGAAGCTCGTCCTCCATTCTGCAGTGGTGTCTGCCTGTGGATTGAACAAGTGGAGTCGAAATCCTTGTCCTTTGCAGACTCGGCCAAATTTGTCTTTTCCTGTACCAATCGGTCAAAAATTAGTGTCGCTTCATTCATTTTCTTTGAGACAAATGAGTGGAAGAAGAACGAAGGACCAGACTTTGGAGTGTATTTATAGTTTATTTCATTTATATAAAACTTATACAAGCCTACACTCTCTTGATAACTTGAAACGGAAGGATTTATCATTCATTGGAAAAACTCAAAGTGGCCCCCTAATCTTCTTTTATATGATGACTTTTCGATTCTGAATCGACACATGAAGAAAGTCATTTGTTTACTCTGACGTGGTAATAAATGATTTCATTCCTTATAAGGTGATTGTGCCTTTGAAGTTCTTGCTACTACAGTGTAGACAATGACATTCACGAAAATATACCTTAGTTTCATATGGCTTTCAGTTTTGTTAGGAGTTACTTTGGCGGCTTCTAATGCTACAACAATATATTCGTTGCTACAGAGTCAAAAAGACTATACGTTTACCGTACAAAGTATGGAACTGACCAATCTGACAAGCATATACAACAACACCTTTCTGAACTATACTTTCCTTGCTTCAAATGACACTGCCTGGGAGAATTCATCAGCCAACGCCACTGGTGCACTAAGTGCAGCCAAGCAAAACGTAACTGGAGCAATAGACTTTTTAGGTCGTTTACTGGTAGCTAGTACAGTGAATACAACAGTGGAGTTTAGTTCCCTTTCTAGTGGTACAACAGGCGTTGTTTCCTTGATAGGACTGCCTCTTAACTTTACGAAAAATTCGACTGGTATGAGAAGCTTATATGAATAAAAAGTATCACTAACAGTGTTATCGTAGGAGACTCTGTCGAAGGTGACCCAGTTATTTCTCCTGACGTTGCTGCTGGGAACTCTGTAGTTCAGTTTCTGGAGTTTCTATTAGTTCCTCCAGCACCACCAACAACAACTGCTGTTCCGACGGCTGCTGCTTCTGCTGTTCCGACTTCTGTTGCTACTGCCGCTCCGACGTCAGCGATAATACCATAAATGAAAGCGGTTACTCTTACATGAATACCAAAGTGTGTTCTTAGAAAAAAATAAATGTGAACGATTGTATTGTTTTTTATTGCTCGCAAGGCAAACGATATCAAGTTCAATCTTCAACTCTTTTAATATACGATTCCTTTTGCCCACATTGCCACATTTTGGATATCTTTATCAGGACTCTTTGAACACTGATCGATCATCTGCTGAATCCACGGCATCTGTTTCAAAGTGGGACGCAAACTTTCCAGAGCAGACGCAATATCTCCAACCACACCAACAACAGCAGCAATCAACTTTTCGGTGCAACACAATTTTTCTTGAATAACACGTTCACAGAACTGAAGTATCCATTCTGAATGTCTTCCAGAAATAATCAACTCTTGCCTAAGACCAGCAAATTGAGTTTTGTAATCTATCAAAAATAAAATTTGGATCATTGCAAACCTATTATCCGTTTTCAAGCCCTGAATAATGGAAGTACATGTTTGTAAAATGCTTTCTCGAAGTTCAATAACCCAATCTTGAGTATCAAAGTCATCCTCAGATACATGCACAGCCAATGAAGCTTGAGCTGCCTAGTCAATGCAAATTAAGTTGCTGGCAAAAAATATTGAATAATACATACTTGTTGTAATATTGGCATAACATGAGAGAAATAACGCTCAAACTTTCCACTTATCGCTAATGCAATATCACCAAAACATGTGATAATGGGAGGTTTTACTGTTCGGTCCAATTCTGGACTACTCAAGGCACTTAATAAATACATAACAATATCATCAGCATACGGAAGAATTCCAAGTTCCAATGAGCGACAGATATCACTGACTACACCTACAGCCACTTTACAAAGGTCCACCTTGTAAATTGTTAGAAAATCGTTTGTATCATTATACATAACAAAATCTATTTACCTGATCCCAATTTCGAAGAGAAACACTCAAAAACGGAGCAAAGTGAGACATATACTTGTTGAAATCTTCTCCTATAGCATCTGCTAAGCTTCCTATAGCTAACAAAGCATCTTCATGTTCAGAAGAAGAAGATCCAGAAGATAAAACAAATAAAAATGCCTGCATCATTCGATCACTATATTCTACAACGTCATGTCGAAGGCGTTGTATGATTGCTTGTAGTGAAGCACATATAAGGCCTTGAGTTTCTGCTTGTTCGTTTCTTGCTTCGGTTCCATTCACTTCCATTTGAAAGGTTGCCTCCAATCTACTTAAGAGTAGAGGTATACTCTAAACAATTCACAACTTGTCATTGACCAAAAATTCTTAATGAGACCGACACATGCCTGAAATATAAAATTCTGACAACTAACAGAAACGCAATGTACCAGTGGCGCAAATGCTTCATAACTCGAAACTTGAAGATGATGTTCCGCTGCATCTTCTCTTGCAGCAGCATAGAAGAGACTAGACATTATTTTCTCAACATATATATCCAACTCATTATTTAATTTGTCATGGTCCTCTTCAAAAGACTCTGCAATATTCAAAAAGATCCAAGCTGCATTGGATGCTACTCGTGGTTCATCTCGTTCCAAAGCCTAAATATCATCATTCCCTCAAAAAGTCTGAAAATGAACCAAATGTTCATCTCTTACGTTGAATGCCGCTTCCGTTAATGGTTGAAGATATCGTTTCGTTGCTTCTTTACTTAAAGAACAAACTCTTCCAAGAGTCCAAGCAGAAGTGTCACGAACCACCACATTTGAGTCTCTTGTCAATAGATTGAGCAAAATCGGAACGGCTTCCGTAACAAGAGGTTCCAATCCTTGTGCAGAAGGTCCATCTGGCTCCAAAATACAACCAAACGCCTTTTCCTCATAAGTGCCAAACATTCTCTTTCTTTGAAAAATAAATACCTACCAATGTTGCAGCTTCTCTCGAACGCCAATCAGTATCATTTCCAATATGTTCTTGTACAAACTGAATCACAAAGGGAACGACAGCATCTTTACTCGCTTGAGCAACGAGCGTAAGACATGTGCCTGAAGCAGTAGCTCTATTCCAACTATCTTCGTCTTGATCTTCTTCTTGCAATAAAAGACAACGCAATAAGACTGGACACAAATATGGCAATGCCTGAACGATATAGTTCTAAAGTGAAGATAGTACAGTTCATGAAATACTAAAGAATGAAATAAAGCAACGTACCATTGAGGAACTCTTTTTATTCAATTCTTCGGCTTCCTGATTTCGATAAATTTCTTCCTCTGAAATGGTCGTCCAAAATTCAATGGCTTGTAGAGCTACACTTTCAACATCATTAGTAATAGCATTCACAGTTAATTGGAACAACATGTTCATGTAAGCATCCAAATGTGAATAATAGTACTCTGCAATCTTTTACAAGTTAAGTTTATGAACACAAGTTGAGTTGGAGCACTTACTTTTACAAAACATTCAAATGCAACTATCCTTATGCGCTCATCTGAACCCGATGCAACTTTACAAACTGTATTCATGATATATGTCCTTTCCGTTTCACTTTCAAAGTTAGCCTTTGCAAAGTCGATAGCATTCAATAAAGCAGATATCGCGGCAAAGCGTATATTGAACTTTTCTTCTGGTTCTTCTATTCCTCTTACTACTGCAGTTAAAATTTGACTACTTCTTTGACTTAAAATATCAACTTCTCCATTTTGTGAAGCAGTTTCACACATATAACCCAGCGTCATGATGCTCGATTCTCTAAGTTCGTCGCTCGAATTCTGATTGACTACATAGCCCAATAATATTTCAATAAGCTCATTCCACAAACCCAATGGCAGCTCAATGACTGCCAAAGCAGCAACCACTTGTGCGGCTGTATGTCTTGCCTCTTGCACCTCAGAGGAAAGAGTTTGCAACAACAAAGCCTTTACTTTATGTCTGGATTCAGTATCTTCTACTGCAGCCCATCTCTTGGCAAGTTCTTCTCTTCTTACGCTGGAACGTGCATCAAATTTGTTTTTCAAGACAAGACCAGCTAACTGTCTTACAGAGGGAGGTTTACTCTGGTCCGCTAATTCTGTTGCTAAACTAGCTGCAAAAGTGGGGAAGTTGGTTTCTTCAAGTTGCTTCAAGCTTTGCTCTGCTTCATATCTCAATTTAAAGTCCGCTGACTGAGCATGGAGCAAAAGTTGAGTCACGTCCATGTCTCTTCTACTTGTGATTGGTTTGAAAAATAAAGTAGACTAGAGGTGTGTTCTATTTCACTAATCAAAAAGGCAATAAATTTGAAAAAATATCGGATAACCTTCTCTTTTTGGTTGTCGCGGTGATAATAATAATAACAATACCCCGCAAAGCGTCGAGCAATTCAATGAGTGCAATATCCGAAATTTGCCTCCAGATTTCAAAAATGCTACTGTCACAAATCATCATATAGAAAGTAATGAAACTTGGAAGTATGCAGATGCAAGATAACAAGTAAAAAAAGTATTCATGGATTTGGTAGAAATTATTTAAATCACGTAGTTGAGAATGTTCGTTGAGTTAGCAAAGTATTCGCTGAGAACATCAAACTCTACTATTTGTCTGCATGGATTAGAATAAGAAAAGACTGCAGAAGAATAGCGCTTTTAGGTTTTCATTCCATAAGCAAACAAAAATGATTCTAGATCATTCTGTTTGGTTTATCAATTCGTGCAACACTAGAATGGGAAATTAGTTATTTCCCGTCTAAGAGTACTTCGTATAGACATTTCAAATATTCAAAATAACTTTCTAGCTTGGCCTTGAAAATTAATTCAAGGAGTCACAAAGCTATGCATAAAGTAGCCACACTTGTTCGAAGAATATTAGGTTAGTTACTTTTAGTGCGAGTCAAACAAAAGCCAATTCTGACAAAGTACAAGTAAGACGGATAGGCTTATACTGAAATTTGTAAAAGAAAAGCATAAAAAATATTTTTATATTTCTATTACTTTCTTGGCTAAAAGATTATCTTTTATCAAAATGTTCAAAGGACTGATCACCATAGTTACAAGATATATGAGTTATAACACAAGAGGTAAACTTCGTATGGTCAAAATATCTCCAGAAAGTCTCCCTCAAATTGTATTGGAACGAAAACGACTCTACTGAGAGTGAAAGGACGGTAAATTTTCAAATAACGAAGCAACCTACCATTCATTTACTGTTTGCCAACACATTCAAACGAGATTGGATTGGACATTTCTTTGGATCGCTCTCAACCAAACATTTCTTGCAAAATGACGTGCCAGTTTCCATAGAAAGAGCTTTAAAAGAGCAAAACATTTCATGAATTTCATTATAATTCGTTTATTCATAGAATATTTTGAAACTTAACCAAGTATCTAGTGAAGCTAAATATGAAGTCTTTTGGAATTGCTGTAATCTTCTTAAGCTTTGTAGTTGCATCATATGCAGCAGTTGTATCAGAAATGGCATCCAATGAATTCTTGAGAGGAGGTTACTCTTCTTCTTCTTCTTCTTCTTCCTCCAAGGAATGCTGTATGACTACTTGTATGTATAAAAAAAAGAGAGTATCATCCAATTTAGCTTACAAGGTTATGTAAACTAGGTCAATATGCTGAACTTTGCCCTATTTCTCAACCAACTTATAGCCAAGCCCCAACTTATGCTCAACCTCCATCCTATTCTCAACCTCCATCCTACGGACAATCATCTTCTTCTTATGGCTCATCCAGCTATCGCCTTTTGAATGCAGAAGAAAATCAACTTGTCAACAGAGGAGGTTATGCCCCAACAAGTCAATGCATTCTGGTGCCTATTGAATGCTGTACAGACTGTGAGTAAAGACTTTAGGCAATGGTTACAAAGTTTGACATCTTCCTTTTTTCAGGCAAACAATGTTACGCTGCATGGAGTTCCTAAATAACTCTCTACTTGCAAAGAACATATATCAATGGATGTGTGTTCGTTTGAGTGAATAAAATTTGTTCGTGCAACTTGACTTCGTAACAATTCATTCCAATGACTTTATTAGAGTGGCAATTTCGTAGGTTTCCACATTCACTCTCAACATGGTTCTATATATCATTCCGAAAACAATCACTACAAGAATTCAATAGTCATTAGGACAATTTATCAAGCAACTCTTGAATGTTTAAACACATGTTCTTAATGGATTCATCATTCATTTGATATTTCATTCTACTTCCCAGCAGTTCACCTTTCGTCATCGAACAAAATGGAATGCCACAGTCAGTAGAAGCCATGCCAGTGACACCAAAGTTGCGCATCAATAAAGACGACGATTGTGAAAACATTTCACATAATTTGTCTTCGTCCTGTGTATCGTCAGGTAGTGGATGATAGAATATTTGACTGAAATGCTGTGCAACCTAGAAATATCAAAAATAAGAGATATCTATCTATATCAACGGAATACTTGTATAACATACCCTGGCAAGATGAGTGTTCAAGTCTTTAATCACACTCTTCACTGCATTCGTAGGAGTAAAGACATTTGAAAAGGGTTTCCAAGGCTCATTCTTTTGAGAATCAACATTATTCCAGACAATACCTAATATCTTTGCATTCCCATTTTTTGATTCTTGCAAGGCATAAAACTCTTCTAAAAAGCTTGATACTCTGCGAAAGTCTATATACGAAGGCATCAATGGAATAACTACTTTATCAGCAAAACAAAGGGCAATTTGGGTATAACAACTGAAGGTCAGGTCTCCGTCTGTATCTAAGAATACCTTTTAAGAAAGAACAGTTAAAGAAACTTCCATGAAAACTTTCAAAAGTTACCTTCCAAGAATCAGAGTCTTTATGAAGCGACTCTTTTAAAGTCCCTATTATCCTTTCTTTTTTATCTTCGTCAAACACAATTTGCTCTTTAGATCCTCCACCCACAGTTAAGAAAAGATTGGAAGGAATGTGGCTGTTGATTTCGGATACTTGCAACATATAGTTTCCCACTTCAATGTTTCCACTACTTGAATTATTTCCTTTAGGTGGAGGAGAGTGTAAATAAAAGCTAGACTCGCGTTTCTTGGAATTGGTTGTCGACAAAGGTTTGCCCACACCTTGTGCTGCTGCTTCTAAAAGAAAAGTTGTCGAATATTTTTCCGCAACTTCATCCAAGCCGTTCAAGTTTTTGCTTTCGTAAACATCACCGCCCAATAAAAGTCGAGATATGTCGCCAATGACGGTCATATCCATTACACACACCTTTTGCTGAGGATGCTGCTTTGCATATTGACAAGCAGTATGGAACAGGAGAACAGTCTTTATAATAACAAGTCAACTGATTATCCAATCAATTGCAAATAGGCTTCAAGTTACCTTTCCACAGCCACCTTTATGGTTGGCAAAAACGTCAACGCTTTCTAAAGTCATCAAACCAAATTAACCCGCCCAAAGTGATTTGAGACTTTTTGGGTATGAGAGACGGATGAATATCGAGTTGTGTTTATACAAACTGCACACATAGTCATACTAGTAATACAATAAGAGTCAAAGAGTTATGAGAGGTTCTTTCTATACACCTCTAGTTGTCCACGGCAGGGCGCTTTGTTATTCTCCTGCTCAACGAGATCTTCTCATTGACAGACTTCATATATCGCTTTCACCCGGTAGTGCTTGTATTATTCAAGGTGCCAATGCCTCTGGTAAGTCGACCTTTCTACGTGATCTCTTAAATCTGGGTGACCACGTCAGTGGTTGGCTACAGAGGAACAGTACTATTCATTATTTAGGAGAAAATGATAAGGACAGTTTTCGACAAGATCTAACTCTCTATGGTTGTTTGAAGTTATTTTGTCGCAAAGCTGGTATGCCCTATCAAGAAGTATCTTGGGCTTTACGAGCAGTCAATCTTAGTCACGTCCACGATCAAAAGTATTCTCTTCTTTCACAAGGTCAAAGGAAACGAGCTTCTTTGGCTAAGTTGCTTGTAGTTCCTCGTGCTTTATGGCTATTGGATGAGCCAACGTTAGCTTTGGATACCAATTCTTTGACTATTTTGGAACAGATAATTCATTTCCATCGTATGCAAGGAGGATGTGTCGTTGCAGCTACTCATACACATATTGATATACCTGATTCTACTCGGATACGCTTAGGAGACTTGGATACTTTATAACAGGAGTCTTTTATTCCGTTAAAGACAAATGATATATTATAGAGAATATGGTTTTAAAAGTGTTTGAAATTCTTCTTATTGGTCATTTGTCTATATATATATATATATATATATATAAGAACTCTACATTTCTTATATATCGTCAAATGACCATAAAGAAATATGTCAGTTACAATCCCCAGAGATAGGAACCTAAGTTTATCTTTGTGGTTCATGCGCTTGACTACATGTTCGATGTACTACAAGTGAAAGAGATATCCTATCGCTATCCTTACTTTGTTTAGCGAATTCTTTTTAAGAATCAGAAAGCAAAATGAAATCTTTCAGGATGACATGTCCTTCCTTTTCAGCCCAGTTTTCCTAGAGCTAATAACTAAACTCTATGAAGAAATGTCCATTTCATTGTAAATATGTGGCATCAACTTCATCCTATATTTGGTACAATAAAGAAATATATTTTGTCATTTTACTAAAACCATTGGATAATCAAGGGACTTTCCTTATGGAGTCCTCTTTCTATATATGTGTACACAAAGAAACAGTAGCTGAAGTTGATTGGGCACCATTGAATATAAACCAACCACTAAGTGGCCTAAATTGTTTGGTCACCAGTTTGACAATTTCTTGTGCAGCAACTCCACCAGTCAAAGCTGCAATACTATGCAACTCTGAACCTCCATAGCGACACATTTCTCTTAGGGTTGCATCCAGTTTTTCATTCTTTACAATATCGCAACTTTTACACCACTTTTCAGCTAAATGAGCAAGTTGAATATAATCTTGCTCATAATCCAATAGAGATGGTTCCTTAGAACTCAAACTACCATTCATTACTTGCCCTGGAAAATGTCCCTGTTGATGATGAAATTGTAGACAAGCACGAAAGGCAATATAAAAGTAAGCGTCTTCTTCATTTCTATCCAAACAACTCTTCAAGGCATCTTTCAAAACTGTATTATTTTGAAATTCATCTTGTAGAGAACAATATCTCATCACCTAAGAGCAGATATTCCTTATCACTATATTTTACAGTAATAACAAAATACATACCGCAATAGACCTAATATTTCGACAAAACTCGAAAACTTCCAAAGGAGAGAGAAAGTTTTCCTCTAAACCAACTTGTTTGCATATATATTGAGCACGTTGATAAATGATACGATGTTCCTTTTCTGCTCGTTTCTTATATACTCTTTGTAGTCCAATAAAGGATTCTGTATCAGATATCATATCAGGTACTGAACTAGATAACTCACTCAATACCTATTCCTCCAAGGAAAAGACAAAAATATGTCTAAACTTACCCTTTCAAAGGTAACTTTCCTTGTCCGTCTTCTATAACAAAATGTTTGACAGCAGCAACAAGAATCCAAAATTTCAAGTTACGATCCTTTCTATCCACTTGTAGCTGAATGCCTTCCATTTCAGTTTTATAGTCCTTCAAAATACTCTGAAGAGACTCATTGGGTTCTGCCAAAGACTTCATCCAAATGAAATGGCAATGCTTCAAAGCTTCCATAAAGTTTTCTTCAGTTGGGGTTCTCATCCAACTCCTTAACAACAAACGAATAGCTTCCTGATCTTCTCGAGTTTCCGGTCGACGACCTTGATGTGAATCCATAAAGGCTTTGAAGGCTTTAACAAGAATAACTGCATAAGGAACGAGGGAATGGTTGGCATCATCCAAACTCTCCAAAGGAAAATTATTACAATATTGCTCGAGTTCTTCAAAAGGTTCCGATAATCGCAACTCTTGGGCAACCATCTCTTCTCTTGCGTCCCATACACAATGTTCTGGAATAGCTATTCTTACTAAACCCAATAGTCCATAAGAAACTGCATATACAAAAGGAATTTGGTGACGCCAACAAAACTCGGAAGTTTTCAATAAAATTTGTTCGTCAAGACTGCAACAAACAAATATTGGAAGCAATCTATCTTCTGATGAATATTCTTTTAAGAAACGATCTATGGAAACTGTTTGACTGTATCCCACCACTTCATCGTTCAGCTCTTGTAACAAACGTTGAGTTGTATCTGCACGAAACCTATGATTGAATACTGCATCTTCATCGACAAAAAAGTTTCTTCCCAGGTCTCTCCAACTCGTTTCCTTGTCATCGACTACTAAAAAGCTTCCTACTCCAGGAAGGATCAAGTTCTTCAAAGTTTCTGTTCCTGTTGCTGAAGCCTCCAATAACTAAATAGAGCAGTCTTTTAGAGCTGCTTGGCCGTGTTCACCCCAAAACCTGTAAAAATAAGTTAAGCTATCAAAACAACTTGTACCAAAACAACTTGCCTTATTTGACGATCATATCTTTCAGCCATCATAATCCAACACAACAATTCCAATCCATGTCCAATTTTGGACGTTGGAGTTGGCTTACCTAAATAAATATGTCGTCTTCTTTTGAAGACTCTCCTACTAGTACAGAAGAAAGTAAACTAGAAGAGTTATTTCAATCTAAACTAAAGATTGGATCATTGAAAATAAGAGGATATCGAAGAACCAATCCTTCATTTTTACACTCCTTAGTTGCACCTTCCTTAGGTGGTGAGAACTTTCGAGAGGTTGTTAAACCAGAGACTTTAAAATTCATTCGAAATAAACTGTTTTAGGTCATTGAGAATCTGTCGATTGCCATAGAACGTCTTCGTGAGTTGGATATATTCAAAGGAGTGGACGTATTTTTGGACGAGTCTTCGGTACCTGATCAGACGGATGTTTTGGTGACTGTTTCAGAAAAGGGACGTTTACAACTTCGATTGGGAACTACTGTAGAAAGAGAAGGATTCGAAACGGGTTTAGAAACTTGCGCAACTTTGAGAAATATTTTTGGCAAAGCGGAGAGACTACGATTCGAGGCTGGAACAGAAGGAACAGATCTAGCTCGAGGATATGGAGTGGCTGAATTTTATAAACCGCATGCTTTTGGATGCGATACTTTCTTTTCTGCTTATCTCAATCGACAATATTTCAATGAAAAACAGCGATCTCATAATGAAGTGAGTCGCGGTTTTGTGACTTCATTTGGATTTCCACAATCATTAGGAATATTCTCATATGAGGGTGCGTGGAGAGAAATCAGCGTTACCGAACCCTCAGCTTCTTCAACCATTCGAGAAGAAGCTGGATTCTCATTCAAGTCTTCCATCAAACATACTTATGAGATAGACTCAAGAGATAATCCTCAAGCACCTATTGAAGGAAAGTGTTTCAACGTTCATACAGAATTGGCTGGATTAGGTGGCAGTGTTCGATATATTCGGCAACAACTGGAGTCTCAACTACATATTCCAATTGGAGATACTGAAGCTTCTTATGGAATTGCCTGTAGATTGGGTTACTTATATACTCCAAAGAGTTATTTATCAACAGTTTTGGATCGATTTTACTTGGGAGGACCTAACAGTTTTCGAGGCTTTCAAACTCGAGGAGTAGGACCCTATGAAAAGGATGATCCTTTGGGAGGAGAACTTTTCTATACCATATTCAGCTCTTTAAGTATTCCACTCCCGGTAAAAGGAGTTTTAGGAAACTTATTTAGACCCAAAGCTCATATTTTTGCCACTATTGGAGACATCTCTTCTGTGAAGGACTCCCAATCTCTACTTGGTCAAGTTTTTACTAGACAACTTCCCTGGAAGAACTTGTTTGAAACAACAAGAATATCAGTAGGATTAGGTGTAGTTGCTGATACTCAGTTGGGACGTTTGGAAGTCAACTATTGTCATGTCTTACGGAGAACACAAGGCGATCGCATTCATTCTGGAATTCAGTTTGGCATTTCTAAAACTTTTGGTTAAAAGTTGTATAAAAATGTTTTATGAAAGTAAATCCTAAGAATGTTAGAGTGGTTGATATTTTTATATTTATTAAGTATGTTTTGGTTATTTCTGATGCCTCAAACGAAAGAAGGTGCTGTACTAGGTGTTGGCACTAGAAAGTTTATTGTATGGATTGCGTTGTTTCCTTCTTCTTTGGTATTTAGTTTGGAATATAATCCAAAGATATGTCGTTGGTTGGGATATGTGAAAACTTCTTCTAGTCGTTATTTCTCTTGTTATTCTTTTAGTACTTTCTATTTACTTTGTTGTATTCTATTGTTTTTATCCTTCTGTATGTTTATATGGTTGCGAGTTTTATTTCCAACAAGTCGCCATATAAAGTATCTGAAATTGGCAGAAGAAGCAACCAATTCATTACCAAGTGTCTCCAGTGGACCTCATATTATTCGGTTGATGAGTTATAATGCCTTTTGTAGACCGCCAGGTATTGCAGGAGACAATGGTGAAGATTTCAAGGATGAGAGGCTCTCATTATTACTTAAAAGGATTGGATATTTGGATATTGTTTGTTTTCAAGAGTTGTTTGATGCCTTTTGTAACAGAAGGGAAGCCTTTATTGAAGCATCCAAACTTTTGGGTTTCCAATATGAATGTTTTTTACCTCGCAATTGTTTTAGAATACCGCCTCGTATTATCGATGGAGGAGTAACCATTTTAAGCAAATTTCCCATTTTGTATACAAACTATATTCATTATCGACATTGTGTTTATTCAACAGTGGATAGTTTTGTAGGAAAGGGTTGTCTCTATGCTCGAATCTCGTTGACTCCAACATGTTATACCCAAAAGAGTAGTGAAGATTATAATAAGAATTCTAAAAAAGAGATGAGAATAGAGAGAGCTCAATATTTACATGTCTTCTCTTCACATATGCAAGCGGGAGATCGTATTGGATATCCACACGAGTCTTATCATGCGAGAATACGAATTGGTCAGTTGGAAGAGATGAGAGACTTTATTCATTGGAATATTGTGGATGATGATGGACCAGTAGTTATTACGGGAGATTGGAATATCAATGCAAGAACTTCGATGGAAAATGATTCGGATAGTTTTTGGTATCAAGACTTGTTGGAAAGATTGCAAGACTCTCCTTCTTCATTATATTTATTACAACAGAAACGAGCACAATATTTTCAAGATAATACGATACGTAACCTTTGTTTGAAAGATTTGTTGAGTCTTTCTCATCATGGAAGACATCCTATTACGGATGGCACGAAATGTATTGATTATGTGTTGTTCGATCCTAGAAAGGGAAATCTTCATGGAGCTACAGAAGGAACCTTGAAAACTTTCATTGAACCATTTCGAGTCACACAAGAAGAGAAGAAAATGTATTCTTTGCAGTTGCCAAATACATTATCTGATCATTATGGAGTCGTAGCAACATTTGTGAATGATTACGCTGCAAAATAGAGAAAGACAATGAAGTTGATATATATAAGACTAGTGTCATTGGTTTCCTCCAAAAAGTGTTTTATATTACATATCTATTCTATCTATTCTATCTATATATATATCTATCTATATATATATATGTATGTATATATATATTCATACTCGTTCATTCCTTTTCCAACAATCTGCATTGATGAATGGCAAAGTCGTGGTGGTCCTCTTTGTGGAAACTGATATCTTGGCTCTCTAGTCTTATGTCTTCGTTATTGGATAAAAATGGGTAAGTGAATTGTAGTAACAGCCAAAGTTTAGTCCATTACAATCATACAGAGTTTCTGTAATATTTGCTGCAGTTGCTGCTGTGGCTTTGCTTGTTTCTCTTCGTAATAGAAAACGTCGAAATAATCCAACGACAACTTCTTCTTCAAGTAGACCAGTTCATGTAACGGAATCTTCTTGTATTGAATATGGAGGAAATAAATCTTCCAGTGATAGTGTTCCAACTGGTCCTTTTGCAACTATGGCTAGAGGCACAAGTAAGGAGGACATATTGTGAAAAGTAACTGTCGCCATTGTTTAATAGTTGAACTCTTTAGGTTCTTGGAAACTGAAAAATGTCTTTCGTGGTGTATCAAGAATAACTTTAGGAACGGACCTAGAGAAGAGTTGTTTGTTTCGACGAGTTTCTAGTTCAGTCAAAGAACAACTGCAAGTGGATCCTGATAAGTTATCAGGGTTTTTACAACTCATATCTCTCTTTGAAGTTTTTTTGATTATAAGAGTAAGTAGTGATGAGGAAGAAGTAAGTTGTAGAAACGCACTTGAAGTGACTGGAACCTTTCAATCTGGTTTGCATCCAGCAAAGGTATTATTTTGTGAAACTTTACAAGGAACTACAGCCATTGTGAGGTATGCAATTGCTTGCTATTGTATTTCGAGACTCACTTGGATAGGCAATTGGAACCTCAAATGCATATCGATAGCAATCCTTCTGTTATTGTTGACTTGGAGCGTTTTATTCAACGTCTTGTATATATTGGTTCGGGTGGTTTCTGTTCTAGAATGAACAAACCCATCGTCTTATTGGAACAACTTGCGGATATTTTCCAATAGAAGACGTTATTTTCTATGACAAAGACGAGAGCACATAGACCCTTGTGAAAATATAGAAAAGACTGCTAATATCACTTTTGTCAAGTTTCATATAAAGAAGAAGACTATAACAACTTTTGCCAGTCAGAAATGGACTCAAGTCGTTATGAGTGACCAATAGGAACACAAGTGGTGAGTTGAAGCGCATACACGGATAAAGTATCTCATCCGAAAAGTATCGCATATGTACTTTACTTTTGTACTCTTCTCGAATATTCTATCAAACGTTCGTCTCTACTATCCATAGTTCGATCCCATTCGTCTGTTCCAACCCGTTTATTCTAAGTAATATTACTTATCCATACTCCGAGAAAGTCTTTCCAACTTACTCTTCCATAGTGAAAGGCACGGTGTACGACTCCTTCTAAAAACCCGATGGAAGCAATAGAAAGACAAATAATACCCATAGGAACAAGACTTTCTACCCAAGCCATTCTTCTTCTTCGCCCAAACAAAAAGTAAAGTCTCTTTCAATTCTCATTCACCCAATGAAAACTGATGATGATACAATGACTCGTATCGACTCTCTTTCCAATGAACCAAGTAGTCTAACAGATGTTACTGAAAAATTTATACAAGCTGCCAATCAACTTGAAATAGGTGAAATGATACATTCCAGAGACTTTTCTTTACAGAAAACCCTCACTGCAGTTCTGGTGGGTGATCCTTTCTTTGACAAGACACTCGCTTCAAATGTGAAAAAGACTTGTGAAGAAAACCAAAATTGGATACCTTGTGAGAAACTCGATGATAATCAGTTGATTTCTTTGATGTATAAGTTCATTGCTTATTTTACGAGTTGGTTGGATGGACAGAGTTTTTTTCAAACTGTATACTCTTGCATATATCTCCGACAGTTAAAGTCCTTGAATAATATGAAACTGAGAAACTTTCTTTTTATGTCAGTGAAAGCCTGTCAGTTGATTGATAAATGTATTATAGAAGCACAAGTGGTCGAAGAAGAAGACTTTGTGTTGGGCCAACCACTTTTGGAGTCCATAGTCTGGAGTGATATGGAAGCAGATTATCTAATAGCACAACAGTCCATATTAGAGTCATCTTGGAAGGAACCAAATAGATGGAATAAGCCTTTACAACTCTTTTACTATATTTGTAATATTTTGGATTCCAATTTGAATCAGTCCTTTGAAAAGTCGAAACAAGACATCATTGCTGCAAAGAAAACACTTGCAGATATTTCAGTGGATGCATCGAATGTTGACTTGATGGAGGAGACTTTATTTGGTTTTGATGTTTGTTTACAAGTCTCTAACTATGAAATTCCTCGTAGTACTACTCCTTATACAATTACAATGGCGCTACAGAAACTTGAACATTTATTGACAGAGTGGGAAGAATTGATCGATTGGATTAGAAAATATACTTTGGAAATAGAAAACTCCAATCATATCTTTCCATTATTATGTAACATTTTCTCTTTCAATCGCTCCAAACGTCATATTGTTACACGTTCTTTACTTTATAGTCGTTGTGTCATTTCGACCACAACTTGGAGTCGTACCATTTGGTTGAAGAATATGGGATGGAAAGTTTGGCAGTCTCGTAGCAAAGATTGGAATTTGGATTCTATATCCAAAGTGAATCATTCCATTCATCTATTAGATTATCTTATTCAAGACCTATTTCATGTATTATGTCTCAATCGAGGAAAACAACGTAGGAAGTTGCTCAATCTGTTGAGTCATGTGGAACAATTGTATACGCAGTCTATTGGTAAAAGGGAAACAACCCAATCTGTATCAGGAAAAGAAGACAATCCCTTATCTTTGTTTATAAAAGAATTGGGTTATATGATTTCCATTCAACATCTTTTATTAGGGTTTGACTGTGATTTGTATGATTCGAGTGAATATTCAGCTGTTTATTTTGTACTTGGTTATCTTTATGAATGTTGGTCAGGTATTATAATGCATTCTTCTTCTTCATTATGTTGGAAAAGTCAACAACTAAGACTATTATGGGAGAGTTGGATAAGGTTGTGTAGCAAATTGTATAGGAGCAGTTGTCTATTATTGGAATGGGAACAAGAAAGAAAGCAATGGTTATGGAACAAGTTGAGCCAAACACGACAAGAAAACTTGGAAAGGAATCCTTTATTTATTCATCCTTTAACTTATGAAATACGATTCTCAGCATTGACAACTTGTAGCTTTATGCAGAAGATACAATACTCGTTATATTATAGGGAGATTGTTGAGCCTATTTCACTTTGTTTTTCCAATTCTACTATCCAGAATACTCTCAACTACTGGTTAGAGCCACTACAAAGTTCATTTGAGTCTATCAAGAAGACTTTAGAATATATGCTGAAGAATGATACATTTTATTTTATGATTTCGACCAAAGTAAGCATATATCTCCAAATATTTCTCCTCTTCTTGTTCTTCTTTATCACAAATACTATTAGGAATTATTGCGTTGGAGTATTCATCATTTGGTTCATTTGAGTAAAGCCAAATTACTTTATAAGGAATGGAATAGAAAGGTTGGTTGGTTTGTATTATTAAGAAATGGCATCATAAGAAGTGGAATAGGATACTTGCTGTTTTATGGAATCTTGTAAGATTGCAATGATTCCTATAAAAGGAGAACCCTATTTACCTCAATTGGAGAAAATGGAATAAGTTTTCATATTTATTATTTGGAAGCCCATCTTTATTTAGGATCGACTTTATTCTTAAGAGGCCTTTGATAATAAAAATTGGATAAATTGTCGATAGTAATATTGCAAATATTTCTCAAAGCCACATCCGTAAGAAATGCTTGATGACCAGTTACTAATACATTGGGCAAGGCTTGGAGTTTGGCTAATATTGGATCATGAACAATGGCACCCGAACGATCCTATTCCAACTCAATATCTATTTGAAAAGATTCCTAACACTTACTTCAAAGAATAAATCTCCTTCTCCTTCATAAACATCGATTGCCAAAGCACCAATATGTCCTGAATATAAAGCATCCAATACTGCTTGAGTATCCAACAAGGCTCCTCTACTTGTGTTGATAAGATAAGCTCCAGATTTCATTTTAGCAATCGTTTCAGAACGGATAAGATACTTTGTACTCTCATTCAATGGACAATGTAAACTGACAATATCTGACTGTGATAATAATTCATCCAACGAAAGATACTGACCACCCAAATCAATAAACTCTTGATTATGAAATACATCGAAACCAAACAACTCCAAACCCAGTCCTTTCAAAACCTTGGCTGTTGCAACGCCAATCTTGCCAGTACCCACTATGCCAGCTTTCTTTCCTCGAATTTCAATTCCAACCAATCCTTGCAAATCAAAATTGTTCTCTCGTACTCTATTATATGCCTTGTGAATCTTTCTAGCCAAAGTAAGTAACTGAGCAGCAACAAACTCTCCAACTGCATTGGGAGAATAAGCAGGAACTCGAACTACAGAAATGCCCAATTCTGAAGCTGCTTTTAGATCTACATTATTAAAGCCTGCACAACGCAAAGCTATTAGTTGGATTCCTTTGTCATGTAGAATCTTCAGAACTTCACTATTCACCTAATTAGGAAAGATTCATAACAACAGTTCCTCAAAGTATATAATCACTTACTGTATCATTCACAAAAACACAAACAGCTTCTGCGTCTTTGGCCAGTTCAGCAGTACTTGCAGACAGTCTTGAAGATAGAAAGCGAAAAGAGATGGGAGCAGCATCTGAAGAACGTCCAAGAGCTTCAGTCAGACCAATTTGATCATAGTTTTTGGTACTATCAAATATTAACCATTTTCATTCAGTTTCAATATGCATACCTGAATACAACCACTCGAAATAACGACTTTGACATGTTTCAATGAATCTCAAATGAAATTACAAATCCAATGCACAAATGTCATATCTCATCCAATGCAATTTTCTTTATTTTTCTTATCAGAAAAGTAAAAACTCAGAAACAATCTTATGAAGGCAACTTAATATCTTGTCGAGGTTCATAACAACCTGTTCCTCCTAAGCCACAATAGCCATTAGGGTTCTTGGCTAAATATTGTTGATGCTGAGAAAGTATGAGTAATATAAGAAACAGTTGGCTATTTATAAACTTACATAATCTTCTGCAAAGTAAAAAACTGAGGCAGGCACTATTTCCGTGACAATATTTCCATAACCTTTCTTTGCAAGTACTTCCTATCGACAGTTTTTATCTGATACTATTCACCATCTTTAAAAAAGACTTACTTGAAAGTGTCTTTTGGTTTCTTCAGCACAATTCTTCTGAACATCATCATAATAAAATATAACGGAACGATATTGGGTTCCTCTATCATTGCCTTGTCTATTTAACTGAGTAGGATCGTGATTGGCCCAAAAGACATCCAATAACTGCTCATATGAAGTCTTTTTGGGATCATATACCACACGAACAACTTCAGCATGTCCAGTACGATCTGTACAAACATCTTCATATGTAGGGTTCTTGGTCCTTCCTCCTCTACAGAAGAGTATGAGGGATTCCTATTGGAACTGATAAGACTATTACTTACGCATATCCAACTGCTGTAGAATAGACACCTTTGGTTTGCCAAAATTTACGTTCAGCACCCCAAAAGCAACCAAGTCCAAATAAAGCATACTGAAACCCCATCTCTTCAAAATTGGCAGAAAGTGGAGTTCCCAAAACATAATGTTTTTCAGACTATACAAAAATAAGAACAACGCTTTTAAAACAACTGCAAACAACTTACAGGTATAATAGCTTCTTCTCTATCAGGAGGCTCATATCCTGTTCGCTTTCCTATCTTTTCGAATACTTGGTCAAATAAACCCATTCTCGTTATCGTTTGTTGCTTGACAAACACTGAATGAGATAATGTACGATAATAGGATCTACCTGGATAATAATAGTTGCTGTGTTTCCAACAACAACAACGACTCTTGCCAAAAGACAAACCCTTGGACACTACCAATGAGCAGCCAACAAAAGTCCAACGTGAAGGATTCATTTATTGAATGTTGGGAATGTGAATTAGCCAACGCTCTATTTAAGACTGTTTGGGAATCATTCCACTTTGACGAGCATATTCAAATAAACCACCAGCATCTATAACAGGAAGAACATCACCTAAAGGTTCCAACTCAAATTCTTCCTTTGAAGACAAGTTTCGAATCATATTTCGACCAAAGTCAATTTCTGCTTCTTCTCCCTACATAATACAATAGGATAGACCATCTCTATATATATATATCGGATGCTATACTTTCCAAAACAGAATACTTACCGTATGAAAATGATTCACCAAATATTCCTTAGACTCCCAAGGATAAAGTTCACCAGTTGCAGAGCAATTGCGAAAGAATATTCTGGCATAAGACTTGGCAACTACCGCAACTGCTCCAGCAGCTCCTAAAGCTATAGGTGCGTGCTCTCTTGAAGAACCGCAACCAAAGTTGTTCCCAGCAATGATGATAGTATATGTAGTATGTAGTTGATTCTTTTCAATAAAGCGTATAGGATACTCCTTTTCTGGTAATCCAACCAAGGCATAACTTCCTAGTTTCTCATATTCCTCAGGAACGGAAGGAACCAAAGTAAGAAACTCTGCAGGAATAATCTAGGAATCTTCTTTTAACTTTACACAACTTTGGTAGAGTCACAGTACCTGATCGGTATCGATATTATCTCTAACAACAAATACCTTTCCACGTAAAAGGTTTCCGCTTCGTTTCTTACCCACCTTGGAAACTTGTTCCATTTGTTTGGCAGAACAACTGATACTAGTAGAGTGAAAGGTTTTTTTCTTCAACACAGGGATATTCTGAGATGGAGAGATTGAAAGTGGTTTACATATATGCGAAATGAATTGCTTATTACATATTCGAAATGGAATAGCAAGTGCCACAGAGAAACCAAGTTTTGGTTTCATTTTTCGTGTTGTGGTTTCAACAGGGAGAAATGGCCAATGTGTGAGACAGTGAAGGGACGAATAATTGTTTATTAAGCATCTCAATCATTTCTTAATTGGTAACTTTTCATAAGAGATGAAAAACAGATTTTCTATCAGCTCAAAAGACATTTCCAAGTAAGCACTCATGTAGAGGAGAATATTACGAATTCATCAACAGATTTTATAGGAATACGGAATAAGAATCATTAGAAGAATCTGCATCACAATCGATTCGGTTTCTTTGCTTGAAATATCCAGCTCATTCACCATTGACGATTCCAGGTTGTCAACTGTTCATTAAAGATGAAAAGTAAAATATGGATGACTATGGCTATAGCTTTTCTCATTCATTGTGTTTGTATGATAGATGCAAAGCAATGGAGAGAGTTTTTACTAAGTAAAGAATCTGCAGAAGTAAAGAATGACATAGAAAGCTTTGCTGGATTAGAAAGAAGTAAGACAAAATTTCATTTGTGTTGATGACATCTGTTTATTCAAAAATGTTTTAGTCTATGACTTGCCAGATATGAATGGGATAACAGAAGTCTCTTCTTCAGCTTCTTGTGTACACAATAGAAGAAGTAATCAAACAGGATTGAATATGAACAAGGACCTGAATACTATGGTGACCATTACCCAAAATGAATACAACTTTTTGAAATATTTGAGAAAGTTATATGCTTGGCTCATCTATTTCCCTAATCACTTCAATGTAAGAGAGGCTCTATTAGAAGCTGGTTTTACAGATGTTCAATCAGATGGCTTTTGTAAATGTTGTGACTCAGAACATCCAACCAAACCTGAACAGTTTCATTTAGCCTTGACAAGCAATCCAGGAGAAGTAATCATTTCGTATTCTACTCTCAGCAATCCGGAACCTTATGGACAATGTGTTACTATAGAAGATGATATCGATGGCCTTGGAAATACTTTTACTGGAAAAGTGTTTTGTACAAATGATACAAGAACATTTACTATTGGTTCAGGTCAACCTCCACTTATTTGTAGAAACTATACTGGTTATTTCCATCATGTGAAAGTAACGGGATTGATTCCAGGAAAGAAATATTATTATTCTGCTAATGCTTATTCGAATAGATATTCATTTATTGCTCCATATGGAACAAATTCTTCTCATGTAACATTTGGTGCCATAGCAGATATTGGCACTCAAGGAGGTAAACTCACAAGAGAAGCATTGAAGAAGCATAAAGATGAAATGGAATTTCTTATGGTAATTGGTGATCAATCTTATAGTGATGGATGTGAAGCCGTTTTTGATAAATATATGAGAGATATGGAAGATATAATAGCCCATGTACCTTATATGATAGCTGCAGGTAATCATGAAGGTCCTTGGAACTTTACTGGAATTCGCAATCGTTTTCGTATGCCTTTAGAAGAGAGTGGAGCAGGTCCAGATGCATTATGGTATTCATTTGATCAAGGACCAGTTCATTTTGTAGTTCTCAGCTTTGAAAATTATTTAGACTATGAAAAAGGAGAGTTGTATGAAGAGACTTATGCAGAACCACTTTACATTTTCCAAGATCAAGTTCAATGGCTGGAAAAGGATTTGGAAGCTTTTGCTAAACGTCGAGACCAAAATCCCAATTTGTGGTTGATTGTTATGGCACATCGACCTATTCGGTGTTCTTTGAATGTCTCGGATTGTTCCGAATTGGCTCCTCAATTGAGTGCCAGTTTAATGCCTTATCTTGTGAAATACAAAGCTGATCTCTATACTTGTGGACATGTGCATACTTATGAAAGAATGGATCCAACTATTCCGGAAACTGGTCAAGTATGTTCTCAATGCAAAGCAGTCAACAATGTTTATCATCAACCTCCTTATCCAGTTCAAGTTATGAATGGCTATGGAGGTACTGTGATTGAAGGTCATAATATCTATACGGGTCCTAAACCTGATTGGTCTGCAGTTCGATACAACTCATCATATTATCCTTATGGAGGTTATGCTATTGTCAATGTGAACCTAAATACTCTCAATTATACATTTTATCATACTAGTGGTGAAGTTTGGGACTCTTTTGTTATTCAAAAATAAGTTTTGAATGGCAATATCGTAGCAGAAGTTTATGTTTTGTTTCACAATTCTAAAGTCTTTGTGTCTTTTCAATAATCGTCTCTTGAATCTTATATCCTAATTGAAGAAGAAGAAGAAGGATGATGATCACATTCTTGCAGCCTTGTGTTCTCAAGTCCAATAATACTGTCAGTCGACAACAACTTAGTCGGATAGAAAAGAGAAATCACAAATTATGTTGTTTGCCTCGTTGCTATAATACAAGGTCACGATCCTCCTATTTTCCAAGTTGGGTTATGCACTGCACGGAAAGAACTTTTGTGGCTATCAAACCAGATGGTGTCCACCGTGGTCTGATTGGACGAACTATTGCTAGATTGGAAGATAAAGGATATTCACTTGTTGCCTTGAAGTTGCTTAAACCTTCTAGAACGTTGGCAGAGAGTCATTATGAATCCCTTCGGTCGAAGCCTTTTTTTGGTGACTTGGTAAGTTTTATAACCAGTGGTCCTGTTTGTGCTATGGTTTGGGAAGGAAAGGTATATAATAACAATAGTTTGTAATTGTTTAAAGTGAAAGTTGGTTACTTAGGATGTTATTGGTCAAGTTCGAAAGTTGATTGGAAATACCGATCCTTTGACTTGTGCACCTGGAACGATTCGTGGAGACTTTGGTATTGATATAGGTATTTAATTTTTTTACAAAAGACTCTTATTGACAAATATTACTATAGGTCGAAATATTATTCATGGAAGTGATAGTATCTCCAGTGCCGAAAGAGAAATACAATTGTGGTTTCATTCGGAAGAACTGGTAGATTGGAATCCTAGTTTACATGAATGGGTATATGAAAAAGTATTCAACTAGTCAAGAAAACTCAATAACATATCGCATTTGTTTCGAAGTACTTTTAAAGCTCTTAGAAATAACTGCTCCGTTGGAATGGCACCAGTTCCTTCTATACTTAAGAAAAAGTGGTCGCGAACTTTGGAAAGTTTGATCATCTTATCCCAACCTTCTTCTCGGATACACTCACGGCACAATGTACATCGACGAGGTTCAACTACTTTAGCAATAACATGAGAGATTGGCTGTTGTTGTTCTACATAAGAATGTTTCTTATCAGCCATATCTTCCAAGTCAAATACTTTCATTGGACATTTTTGTATCAATCGACGAGCATCTTCATCCAATATATCTTGTAACAACTCTACTTGTGGCAACATGGCATAATAGGCTGTAGCAACTGGTGACCATTTTGCGTGTTCTTTGCCGATTCCTTTTATACATCGAGCTTCCAATTCTATTCGTTGTTTGGGTCTCAACTTTGCAATCAATATATCCTCCGAGACAGGACGTATTCCATTCTTTCCAAACTTTTCCAACTGATTACCCAAAGGTTCCCAAACCAAGTCTCTGGAATAGACATTGCTGTTGATATACAACTCTTCTGGTTCTGCTCCAGGTCTTGCTTGAGGATTCTGTTTGCACTCTACTTGGAGTTTCAATACAATGGTGTTGTTTTCACGAGGTTCTTCTCCTTTACGATAGTCTTGAAAGCCGTCTGGGTCTGCTTGAATAGGAATTAAGCCTAAACGATGAGCCAATATTTCGTCGTGAATCACACTCGTATTGTCACTGATAAGAACATATTCTATGGCCATGGTAGGTACTTCCGCAAAGAGAATTCTTCTCAACGCATTTATCAAAGGAGCAGCTACACCAACTAGTTCCAATATTATCTCTTCTTCGGAGTTCTTGACCAACCGCAACTGCAACTGATTAAGAAAAGTTTCCAAGTCCAAACTAAAGCAGAGTTAACACAACTTTCAACAAACTATTCGATACTTACCTATGATCTATACCAATAGCACGATAAACAGAACTTGCATACATTCCTTCAGTATTTGTTGGTGTCCGACTACCTATATGGACATATCTGTGAAGACTGCTTGACATACTATGTACAACACAGTTCTTCTGACCCCGATATCCAAAAGTGAAATGATCAAGTATCAAAGCTATAACAGAATTCCTTAAGAGGAATAATTATGAAACCAGAAATAGCAATTATTTCATTTTAGCTTCACAAGTATTCATTTTTCATATAAAAATTTGTATGATAATATTCTCAAAGTCTTTCCCATGTTTCCTTTAGGAGGTGGTGGTGTTTTACCAGGCTTTCCTTTTCAAAGTATGCCTTTTTGAGTTTTGTTCACTTTGTTTGATATGGTTTGAAAAAGGTCCCTTTCCAATACCTTCTGGGTCGTTTCAACGAAACTTGAGAGCATATCCTGTCTCTTTTATTGATAAAGTAAGTAGAACGTGGATATCACAATGGGTGAGGAATATAAACTTTTTCTTTTTAGCCTCAACTAGAAAATGGAGATAAAATAGTACTTCCTCCTAGTGCTTTGGATGCTTTGACGCAAATGCAGGTTTCCTATCCTATGTTGTTTCAGTTGGAAAGTTCAGCTGGAAGAGTTACCCACTGTGGAGTTATGGAATTTATTGCAGAGGTATAGGAAAAAAAGTTTGTTATTTTGTAAAAAAAGAGTAAAAAGGAGAGAATAGGAAGGTTTTGCTTATTTGCCTTATTGGATGATGCAAAATATGGCTGTTGGAGAAGGTGAACTGATAAAGGTGATTGCCATGACGAACCAATTGACTTGCCAAGTCTTATATATGCATATATAGATACGCAATGCTAATTTACCTAAAGGAACTTTTGTCAAACTTCGACCTCAGAGTTCAGAGTTTTTGGCAATATCGGATCCTAAGGCAGTTTTAGAAGCCAGACTTCGAAACTTTTCATGCTTAACTCAAGGTAGATAATTTCTAAAAGATGAAAGGAAGTTGTTTGTCATTAGGATATGTTGTATAGGAGATACTATAGCCATTCACTATCTAAATAGAATTTATTGGATCGATATTCTACAAGTACAACCAGGAGATGCCATAAGTATTATTGATGCTGACGTCAATGTAGAATTTGCTCCACCTGCAGATATGGAAACAAAGCAATACAATGAAAATAACAACTCTTCAAATAGCAGTTTGCCTTCTACAAACGTAAGTTGAGAACATATAGATAACGCTTAGGTAGTTTACAATGGTTCAAGTCCTTCGGTACAAATATGAAGAAAGATGATACACAAACCAATTTTATTTCAGGTTAGAAAGTCAATTCTCCTGTTGAAAGGACAACTGTCTCAAGTCGGTGAATAGACTCCAAAGCAAAACTCGAAGAAAGAAGAAATGCAGCTATTCAATCATTTCGTAATGCAAGACAAGGACATCGTGCTTTACATGATTCGGACTCTGAATCTTCGGAAGAAGAGGATTCTCCGACAACTAAGAAAGCATTCGTTCCATTTGGGGGTGAAGGCCGAAGTTTACGTGGAACTGTTTCTTCCAAGGTTCGGGTGTCTCAAATGAGTCTCTTTTATCTTCCATGTTTATATAATCAAATCGCAATTAGGTAGAAAAAGAAACGCAATCCAAAGAAAATTCTACCAACGATAAGACGAATCCTTCTGCTGCTAGTTTTGTTCCTTTTAGTGGAAAAGGGAGAACTCTAAGAGATTAAATACTTTCGAGAGTCATGCAAAGAATATTAAAAAGTAGTTTCATGATATCTCATGAGTCGACTTGTTAGATAGCTGTCGAGCAAGAGCTGCACGAGCTGCCGAAGCTTGTTTCAACCAAGGAGCTTCATATCCAAGACTCCAAATAGAAGAACTCGACGAAAGTTCCCTTTGTGACTCTGTACTACAAAGCTTCTCAACATCATATATAACGTCTTTCGAGCTTTGGTCTATATACAAAAATAAGCCATAACCGAGCACTACAAAAAGCACCATAAAACTTGCCTTGTGCAAACTGTTGCTGAGACATAGTGGCAACTTGAATAAGACTCGAATTGAAACAATTGGAAGACATCGGACACTCGGGCTGCAGTGCACACTTCAACTGAAGTAAATTCTCTCTCAACTCAACTTGCCTCTTCAAATAGCCATTCTCCACTTCCATAGCTTGCAAAGACTCCAATTCCTCTTGTAGTCGCTTATTATGTGCCATCAAATCTTCAATCCTGGAAAGTCTTCTTCTTCTGGAACGTTCTGCTGAAATTCTGTTCCTGACCAAACGTTTCTGTCTCCGTAGCTCCTCAGCAGATGGTCCTTCCCTGCCACTAACATCTTCTGTGACAGAACTAGTGTCCAAAGTATTGATATCTTCACTTTTCAAGGTACTATCCACGCTATTATGGGAATAACTGGAGGCTTCGTTCATGCTCTGAACTTTCTCCAAGACAGCAGCACATCACATTGCATATTTCCAGGAACGGATGCAAAAGACTAGATTATCTATTCAGTAATATTTTTTCAGAAATGTTTTCTTTCTAACTTGATACTTATCACAGTGACCAAGTCTAATGTTATAAATTTCTTTTCGAGTTGAGAAAATTGTCATTGGCTCAATGTCTAAAGTTTCACGGAATACTGAGGTCGAGAGATAAACGTTCGTTTGACGATACAAAAACTTATTTATCATGAAAGGAATAGCCTTCAACCAAGTCAGTATGTTTCTTTTTCACAATAACTTGTGCCTATAACTATGAAGTTTAGAGATTCTTGGTTGAGAAGTGTTGAGCTGTCTGCAACTTCAGATAGCCCGTGTCAGTTTGAAACTTGACAATACAGATGTGACTTTTAGATATCAACTGCATTATGGTGCTTTGTAAAGAAACTATAAAGAGAACAAATCACCAGGGTAGGCTTCCCAAGAGGAATAGATAGTAAGCCAGCTTTGTCTCCAAGAGTTGGAGGCTTTCTATAGCTTGGTTGGATAAAACTGGCCGATATCTGGTTTTCCCAAACTACTGACTATCTTTCACAGTTTCCCTTTGCTATCGAATTTGAAAAGTCTGTTTTGAGACTCTTATAAACCTGTAGAAGAAACTTCAATACAAGTAAGTTTTGGGGAGAGAGCAAGGATATAACGTTGTATTTTATTCAACAAAGCTTTCTCTCTCTCTCTCTCTCTCTCTCTCTCTCTCTCTCTCTCTAGGAAAGTCCTGTCTTTGAAAAAGACTCATTCCCAACTTGAGGAGAACTACCACCTGATAGTCAGTCGAATGGTTCTCATTATTGCCAAAAAGAGCTACTTCTTTAGAATAGGCTTTCTCCGCTCGATGAAAGCCTCCTTGTAATTCAAGTTTGTGCAGTTTTTTAGGATGCCGAAAATGTTGAAGCGATGCATGAGATCCTAAAAAGAACTTCCTAGTGAAAACGACTGTAGGAAGCGAACAGATAACAACCCGAGAGATGGATTGAAAATATCCTTACGATCGCTCGCCCGTTTTGCTTAATTTGGCCGCATGTCCATTAGATATTCGGCCAACAGGTGGATTAAAAGAAGTAGGATTAATGAGAGAAGGGCTTATAGAAAATGTCCACATGAAAGGACGCCAATGCAGTCAATGATTGGTTAGTTGACAACTCGTCGTGCCGGCATCGTCAACTGGACAATATGAAAGGAGGGAACTGAAGTCTATTAAAGGCGTAACATTTCCCATTTTTTGTTGTCTTCGAGGATGGAGGCTATAACCGAATTCCAGCAAGCTGCGGAACCCAAAAATGAAGACTACGACTCGACAGAACTTCAGAAAGAAGCTGGTGTAACCGACTTGGATGATGAATACCTTACCGAAGAGGAAAGACTGCACCCTTGGCGTCAAACTCGCACCTTTTATTGGTCCGTGATAGTTGCCTCAGTAGCAGTTCTTTTCTATGGTATTGACATAACTGCCATAAGTGGTGCTCAAGTTGGTTATATTCCTCACTTTGGTTTGGAAAATCGAACGTATCATCAGGGAGTAATGGTATCCTGTATTTACTTTGGTTGTTTTGTGGGTGTTTTTATTGCACTATTTACAAATACATACTTTGGAAGAAGATTTACTATATCTCTAGCTTCTTTTATTTCCACTGGTGCCTGCATTTGGGAGGCAGTTTCTCCATCATGGCAAGTTTTTATTCCTGGACGTATTATTCTCGGGTTTTCTTATGGCATGATTGGTGAGACGGCACCTGTTTACTTGGCAGAAATGTCACCTGCAAGTATTCGTGGAGCTATTGTTTCTCTTTATCAACAAGTTGTGACCATTGGTATCTTCCTTGCATATCTCTGCAACCTTATCTTTGTCTGGGTCAATTATCAAAATGTTGGTTGGCGAATTATGATTGGTTTTCCTATGGTGCCTTCTGTTATTGAAATGTTTCTTATTTGGACGGTGCCAGAATCGCCTAGGTGGCTCATTAAGAGGAGAAGATATGAGGATGCCAAGAGGAATCTTTTCAAGTTACGTCGTACAGCAGAAACTGCAGAAAGGGACTTTGTACGAATCAAGAAAGGTGTAGAGGAAGATGAAATTTTACAAAAGGGAAAGAATCTACTGGTTGAAGTAATTCGTGTTCCTTATATCAGAAGAGCTCTCTTGATTGGAATCATGGAAATGCTTTTCCAACAAATGAGTGGTATGAATGTATTTATGAACTACATTGATGAAGTCTTTGAGGAGAATATCAATATGGGAGCGAGAACCTCAGTTGCAGTAAGTCTGTTTCCAGGTTTTGTCAATATGGTAGCTACTGTGATTGTATACTTTACTATTGATCGATATGGAAGAAGGACTTTGCAGTTGGTTACATTCCCTGTTATGTTTCTCATGTTATTGATGGTCCTGTTTTCTTTCTATGGAGATAAGAAAGTGAATTTGGCATTCTTCATTATTGGCGTTGTTTTCTTCATTGTTGCTTACAGTCCTGGAGCAGGACCAGTTCCTTGGACTTTTTGTGCCGAAGTATTTCCTACTTATGTTCGTGCAGCAGGTACCACGATTACTACATTCTTTGTGAATGCTTTCAACTTTGCACTTTCCTTCTCTTGGCCATCTATGAAGGCAGCATGGGGACCACAAGGAGGCTTTGGGTTCTATGCTGGATTCAACTTTCTTGGTATTGTGATGCAATTCTTATTTTTACCAGAAACCAAAGGCTTCACTTTGGAACAGATGAGAGTAGTATTTGAGGAAGGTTTATTTACCATTGCAGCTTATCATTGTCGTGCTGGATGGAGATCTTTGCGCAAGTTATTGGGACTTTCAGTTCCAGATACACCTCTTGTTTCTCCTTATGACAAGGCATTTGCTATTGATCGTGCCAAAAGAGAAGAGGAGATGATGCATGCTGGTGAAGTTTCTAAATAGTGTTTTGTTTGTTATGATTCTAAAAGAGTGATATGACTTATGTTGTTTGTCTTTTGCAGGTATTACTGACGAATAAAAGCTTATAGAGAGATACTTACGGAAGCCAAGTCCCCTGAAATTGGGAGGGCAATTGACAGAACAATTCAAATGTTTTCATTTTCTATTGCCAAAGAGTTTTCGAAATTCAGTTGAAGCACAACGTGGAAGCAATGGATTGGAAGAAAAAATGCTCCATTGCATTTTTTCAAGAAACGGACAAAAACTTTCTCTTTGTTGATCAATGGATTTCACTTGTGCTTTAATTATTTTGGAAAAATTGTTTCTCAACAACAACTATTATGATGATGATGATGCATAGACTTTATTCGATTGTAGTATTGACACTATCATGTATAGTTATACTTGCTATGGGATCTCCCATCATGGGAAAACAAAGATGGTATCCTTCTTATTCTACATATTCCAGTTATCCTTCCTATTCCTATCCAGTATATCCTTCCTATTCTTATCCGGTGTATCCAACTGTGCAGCCATATGTGTATCCAACAGTACAGCCTTATCCGACAGTTCAACCTTATCCAACTTATACGCCTTATTATTCCTCCAGTTATTCTACTTATACTCAAAACAGTGGATTCTACTTCCCCAATTATTCGGGACCAGTCCAAATCTATCCTCTCTTCTCATGAATGAATAACGGTAAGTCTAAAATGATTCCCATTCACTTGTAAATGTCATTTGCAACTGTAGAAGAAGAAATCAAAAGTGGTTGAGTTTCTTTACATTTTTTGATCATGTTGGGTTTTGTGAGTTGTTTCTCTTTTTTCGATAAAGTTAGCTTGTTAAATTTGTCGTACTTTTGGATTGTTCATCTGAAGAATAATATGTCTTCACTGGACGCATTGATTATCGAACTTTATGATAAACAGGTGATCCAAGTGGGTTCTTTTCAACTCAAGTCTGGGATCACTTCTCCCATCTATATAGACTTACGTCTTACTATCTCTTATCCCTCTTTATTACGTCAAGTAGTTTCCTGCTTGCAAGACGTTTGTCGGTCACTTTCGTACGATATTCTATGCGGTGTTCCTTACACTGCTCTACCTTTTGCTACTCTATTAAGTGTTGAAAGTGGAGTTCCCATGGTTTGATTTCAATATTTATTCGTTCCTTCTTTGGTTTACTTGCAGTTAGGTGATGAGAAGAAAGGAAATAAAAGACTATGGTACCAAGAAAGCTATCGAAGGCGTCTTTCAACCTAATCAAACTTGTCTGATTATAGAAGATCTGGTTACTTCTGGTTCTAGTGTTTTAGAAACTTTGGAGCCGCTACTCAAAGAAAGTTTACGGGTAAAGGACGTGGTGGTTCTATTGGATAGAGAACAAGGCGGAAAAGATAATTTGGCAAAACACAACGTTCGACTTCATTCTGTATTGAAAATGACAGATATTTTGGAAACTTTGAGACACTCAGGTCGGTTATCAGTTGAACAAGTAACCGAGTTGTTTGATTATTTCCACTCAACCAAAGTATCATCGAGTCCTCTGAGTAACTCTATTCAAAGTGGATATAAAGTGCATCCTCTTTCCTTTGAACAACGTCTTTCATTGATTCGAAACAAAGTTGGCCGTCGGCTATTGGAAATTATGTTAAAGAAGCAGTCGAACCTTGCAGTGGCAGCGGTAAGTTTTGTCATTTTCAATTCTATCAATCTCATTCTTTATGAGGATGTAACAACCAGTGAAGAATTATTATCCATTGCCAATGAAGTGGGTCCACAAATATGCATTTTAAAGACACATATGGATATTATTCAAGATTGGACGGAAAGCGTATCTGAAAAACTCGTTCATTTAGCTAAGTTGCATCACTTTTTGATATTTGAAGACAGAAAGTTTGCAGATATTGGCAATACTGTGGAATTACAGTTGACTGGAGGTATATTTCATATTGCACAGTGGGCAGACATAGTGAATGCTCATATCATTGCTGGTCCTGGAACTATTCAAGCGCTAAGTCGATCTGCTGAACATTGCGGTATTTTGTTATTAGCACAAATGAGTAGCAAAGGGAACTTGGCAGTACAAGAATATACGCAAAAGGCATTAGAATTTGCTCAACAATATGAAGATGCTGTTTTTGGTTTTATATCATTGGGTTGTATTGGAGATCCAAACTTTCTTTATTTTACTCCTGGAGTGAAGTTAGAAGGAGGAGGTGACTCTTTAGGTCAACAATATACGGATCCTAAGACAGTTATTGCTATTCAAGGAAGCGATGTAGCTATTGTAGGGAGGGGAATTATTCAGTCTTCTAATCGACGTGAAGCAGCATCAACTTATCGAAAAGCCTGTTGGGATGCTTATTTACAACGACTTGAAGAATACGTTGAATGAAATAAATAGATCAAGTCCAAAAAAGGAATCATAAAAGCCAATCAATCCGAAAAGGAATAACGTTTGTTCTTTCTCTCATTGTTGATTGTGGAGATCCTTATTCCATATAGCTATGTTTCTATATCATAATCATTTATTCAGTAGCTTGATATGTCAACCAAAATGTTGTGCTGCGTATCATTTCAACTATAACAGAAACTATTATCGCTGTATACCACAAAAGTCAAACACTTACCAAAGGAAACTCAACTGGAGAATGGCAACAAGTCACGACAACTTGGAAAAGACTCAAAACTTTTTAGGTAATCTATTCTCGCAATTTTCCAAGTTGGGAGACGAACTGTTGGGTAAAAGGAAATCAACTAGAGGAAAAGAAGTGGAGGTAGGTCTCTTGGCACATGTTGATGTTATTCAATGCGTTGTCTAGCCTTTGCATGAGGGATACTTAACCTCTTTAGACTTTGAAGAACAAGAAGAAGATAGATGGATATTATGCTCTCGGATAGTTTGTAACTCGGAATCTCTGCGTTCAGCTGTGAGTGGCTTCCTTAACTTGCATATCTCGTGTTTCAAAGTAGAAATAGAGACAAATTATTCAAAAGTTTGTACAAGAGAGTCGTTCTAATGATTGTCCTAAGCGGTTGTTATCCATTTCTTGTCATGAAGATCCAGTAAGTAACATATTTCTTCATGGAGTTGCTTTATAGACTGAATGATCATGCACATAGGATGTTCCGGGAGTATTTATGTTGATAGAAGTATTCCAAACACAACTAGCAATGGTAGAATATCAAAAGGAGAATCTTTATCAAAGTTTTCTTCGACAACTTCAACCTTTGATGAAGGAACCTTTGGGAGTTCACTTGAGTAAAGAAAGAAATGGAAAGATCTTATCATCTTTATATCCTTATGGACCTGGAGGTGAAGGTGGACGAGATGATATGGTTTATCGATAAACAATAAAGTACAGTCAACTTATGACGTTCCAAAGACTTGGTTTCTTAGGGCGTTCCATTCTTACAGTTGGAGCTTCCATTATGGCACTGAGAAACCCTACCAGAGCAGACTTGGTAGCCACAGTAGGAGAGTTGACGGGAGTAGAAGCTTTGAGAAGACTTCGAGATCGACTCTTAAGTTCTCCTAAAGGCAAAGAAATATTAAAACAACGCCCAAGAATAGATGAAACGACAAATAGTATTTGTAGAGATAAACTAAAGCTATTGGAACCACATACTTTTGGCTATCGCTATGAAGAGTTTCTTTCACACCATCAGTTTTCTCCTTTAGAACGTCCACTAGTGCGCTTTATTGAGGATGAAGAATTGGCATACATTATGCAAGTAAGTATCCTAATCGTATCTATTTGCAGTGTTGATGGACGTTTTGTACTTAGCGTTATCGTGAAGTGCACGACTTTTGGCATGTCTTGTTAGAAATTCCTCCAACTGTCCAAGGAGAAGTGATACTCAAGTGGTTTGAAGGTTTCCATACTGGACTTCCTTTTTGTTTTTTGGCAGGATGTAGTGGGCCTTTTCTATTATCTCAAAAGCAACAAGTTTCACTCGTACAACATGATATTCCTTGGGCTTTTCATACTGCAAGAAACTGTGTAGACTTGTTAGCTGTTGAATATGAGAAACTATTGGATAAGGACTTGTCAAAAGTACAAAAACATTTGAGATTGATAGCTTATTCAAGTCGTTGATCTCATTTTAGGAAAACTCCAACAGCAATGCTTACTAAACGATTCTTTTATTATTCAGTTACCGAACAATATCTGAATAGTTTTCTTCTTTCAAGTATAGTTCAACTCAAAAAACAAAAGTATACGACAGAAACCTTGTCATCTTCACAATATGCCACAGCGGAGAACTGGTCCGAACAAGACTATATTGTTCAAGCAGAAAAGACTTTAGAAGACCTGTATGATTGTTTAGCAGAACAAGGGTATGAGAAAGTGGCCCAGTTTGATGTTGAACTATCACAAGGCGTATTAACTTTCAAGTTGGACGAGAACCGTACTTATGTATTAAACACGCAAAGGCCGAATCGTCAGTTATGGCTCTCGTCGCCGTTTAGTGGTCCCTGGAGGTTTTCTTGGAACTTTGCTCAACGAGAATGGAAGGCAACGAGAACAGGAATACAGCTTCGAACGTTATTGAGTGAAGAATTGAAAGGATTGGTAGGAATTGATATTCCTACTCTTGAAGTATCATAAAAGACCTTGCAGTTCATATATAATATATATATATATATATATACAGAGAGAGAGAGAAAGAGCTGTCACTAAAAGGAATCGTATTCTTGCCATACAACTGTTGTTAGTTATCAACTTGTAGAGTTTCCTTTTGGTGAGTATAATATCTTTGTTGTAATTCGATACCTTTTCGTATTGCTAAGTGAACATCAATTCTCAACGACATATCATGAATATATCGAATCAAGTCATCAAAATCCATTTGTTCTCTTATGATTCTTTCTCGATGTAAGACAAGTAAACCTGCTGCTACAAACAAGTTTAGGTCTCTCTTTGCGAATGTTTCACAAAAGAAAACCTATTTTCAAACTTTAGAAAAGAACTTTCATTGGAACGATTCCTTACATCCCACAATTTCAACACATCTTCCAATACGAATTCTCTTTTAAACAACACCAGTAACCAGCGAAAGCAAAAGATATATTCTGGACTTTTAGACTCTAACCATTTGGCTAAATTCGAATCAAAAACTTGCACAATATGTTTTAGCCTTGCTAATTGATTGGACATCCCACTTTGGTCAATACAGAAATGGGATTGGATTCGTTGCATAAGACCACTAAAGCACCAGAATATATATACTTCTTGTTCTTCTTCCATTTGCTTATCTTTTTCTTCCTCAGAAGAATAAAAAACAAATAGAATAGGAGATAATATATCGCTCATTCCCTAAAACCCATCCATATGAACTTTGTGATTACTTCAAAATCAATCAATACCTGACAATATCCAATATCAAAGTTATAAAATGAATAAGTCAATAATATTTCCTTCATCTTATGAGTAGCAATACTATTATTATCTTCATAAATGGAAATATTTCGATCCGTACGAATCACATCCTTTTCAATCAAATCTCTCCTTTCACGGAATGCTCGGAATTGCAATTCCTATCCAACATGATAATTCGAATAAATAAATAAATAATTATAAACTGTAGGCAGAGTATTATATACCTGTTCTGGAATGATATTTTGCCATTGACTCTTTAACAATCGATATTGTCTCGTCTTTTCTAAAAGTATGGCTTGTCGTTGTTGACTATTGCTATGCCATGGAAATATTTGCAATAAATAGGGCTATATAGAGAAATGATCAATAGTTCAATATACCAAATGATATCTTATGCTGTGTATATAAAACTTACCCAAATTTGTCTTCTTACATGGCAATCATGACAAGTAGATCGAAAGACAATATATTCCAATAGAGTTGAATAAAATATTCTTCCTTCTTCATCTTGATAAGAATATAGAGTATCCAAACGAAGTGGAATAAAGCTTTTCATTTCATCTTTGAAAAATTCAGGCAAGTCTTCTTCTTTATCCAACGTTCGAACAGCATAAGATACTTGCTATATCAATATCTTCAGAAATCGTTAATCACTTTACAAATTTCCTTACCTCTTCTTCTTCCAATAAAGACTCGTTCATTATATCCAAAGGCCAAGCACACTTTTGTAACTTTTCCAAGCTCAACTCTGACAACTCATCATTTCTAGACTTGGGTGAGCGACCAAGCTTCTCAAACAATTCATTCCTTGCTTCTCTAGTGATTCGTGCTATATTAGCTAAACGTTCTGCAATTTCCATAGGAAATAGAAAACGAGTCTTTGCTCGACTCTCAGAAAACTCCGCATTTTCTCTGTCATTAGAAATATTCGTAGTATTATAACCTTGTTGCTCTGCTATACTAGAAACAATCGAAGCTTCGTTAGGTAGACATTCCAACCATTCCTGTTCTTTACGAATGAACAAACCAACTGGAGAACTCTCAGAAAAGTCACAAGGATAGAACAGAAACTCATCTTGCAATACACACAAAAGAGAATTCTGCGATTTCACTTGACGAAAACGAAAAATGGGACCGCGAGTGCCATCTTGTAGAATAAACTCCAAACTATTTCCTTCGACTATGCAAGCCAATAAACTTTGTATACGAACCACTAAAGTGTGTTCCAAGTCTAACCAGTCTTCCAACTTGTAATGAGCAACTTGGTTAGATAAGTAAACATCGGGACTAAATAGTAGAAAAGAACAATCAATAGCACGAATACAACACAAAAATCCTGTCCACCATTGAGAACTACTTGCTTCACTATTGCCAGGTATTTTACAATGTTCCAAAGTGACTTTACCCAAGTTGAACTGAACAGACTTGACAAAAAATAATATTCTGGTAGATTCTGTGCTATATTGGTCGTTTGGTGAGCTGGATTGTAGTAAGTCCTCATCAACTTTTCCAATATCAGTTACAGGACTATGCACTGACATGATCGGACTCACTCACTAGTTCACAGAGAAATGATGTAAAATGGAGAAGCATTTGATTTTCTCGATGAATATGACAGCGAAAGCCATAACTTGCAACTCTGTTTAATAAGTAGATTGAGAAAACCGTATTTATTTAAAATATAAATGTACTTGTCACAAACTTGTGGTATTGACAGATTTCCATACATCCGACTTGCAAAGAGGACACAGACTGCATCTCATCAACCATAGAATACTACAACAACTATGAAAACAATGCATACAAGGAAGAACTCTTAGTCTTTCACCAATACAAAATGTTTCCAAACAAATGGAACAATCAGGTTGCTTATTGATAATATTCATTAGCGCCGTATCATTGGATGGATAGGAATGATATGGAAGAGTATCTATTTTTGAATCAAATGTAACAATATGATATGAATGAGAGGAATGGAAAGTATTGAAAGTCAAGTCAATCGACTCTTGCCTCTCTTTGGACATAGTTTCGCTTCCAGCTATTCTCTCCATATGAATACACTTCTCTTCTTGTTTGTAAATAACTTCAGGTGCCATCTTATCCAAATCAACTAGAAACTTTTGATAGCTACGTTTAGGTATCGATATGTTGTTGGAATTTGAGATATGCACATCTCTGGGTGGACCTTCTCGACATCTTTTCGAAAACAACACAATAAAAAATACAAAAAGGCATGCAACTCCAGCAATAATCCAACCACCTTCGTTCTATATGACCAATGTATTTCTTTTGGTTATTGTCTATATCATTTTGGCTTGATACTTACAGATAGAAATGAGTTCACCATGAAGACATCAAGTCAACTAGACACGTCAATTGACCCAATTTATTTTTAAAAAGAAAAAATGAATGTGCGCCTTTTTTGGGGCAATAATAGTTTTCTAGTTGTGTTTCTGTTTTTTGGTTTTTTATACTTCAGTTGGGCTGAAGACGACCCAGAAACTCTTCAGTTAAGAGAGCAGTCACTTTTACAACAGTTGAAAGATGTAGATAGAGAAGCAATAGAATACAGAAGAGAAATTCAACTGTTGAAAGAGGAAGAGAAGAGGATGGAAGCTGAATACAAAAAGTTGAAGCAAGCTAGGGATTGGGAGCTGAAAAAGATGCAGGAAAAAGAGAAACAAGTAGAGCAATTACAACAATCTACAAATCAGAAGCAGCAAGTTGTAGACACTCTAGTGGAGAGAATTGAAGAAAATAAGAAAGAGATTGAAAAACTGGAAAAGCAACTTCAAGAGTTGACAGACGACAAGGAGTATTTAGAACATCGCTACTATTCACCATCACTTTCAGAAGTTTTGGATGAATTGAGCACCAAGTGGGATCCTTTGTCACGTAATATGTATGTGAAAGCGAAAACAAAGTTGCTTCCTGTTGTTCTCAACTATAACGAAAGAGCCAAACTATATCGACAAAAATGGTCACGAGAGTTGACAGAGACATATAGATGGGCTCCTCTTTTGTCGTCGTGTTTTATTTACGGTTGTGTCACTATAATTATTCTTCTATTGATATTAATTATAAGAAGAGTTGGAAAACGTTTGAGCGTTTCAAAGTTACTCTTTCTATCAGATGTGACCTTCACTGTTTTCTGGTTGATTATTCTGTTTGCTTCGACCATCTTTTGGACCGATGGCTTTCAAGCATTGGCTGAAAATAATGAAGTCTTGTTTCTCTTATTGCAATTGTCCTTGTTCACTTTTTACTCAGGAATTATAGCTCTGCGTGTCTTTCTATTTGCAATGTCCTTATCATGGCAAATACTTTTGGAACTTTTAATATTGTTGATATTGTGTCAACATTATTATATTCATTTATGGCAACCTTCCATGACTGATAGTCCATTTACAGCAACTTGGAAGAGTTATTTATTCTATTATTTGACATTTCAATTATTGATGTGGTACAAAGCAGCAAAGTTTGGTTTGGTGCCCAGTCTATCTACTCTTCGAATACGTGGACTGGCTTTTGTATGGAGAAGAGGAAAAAATCGACTGTTCATGGAACCCGATCTGACAAAACAACCATTCACAGTGAAATATGCTTAAAAACAAGTTGCATAGTTTTAATCACAAACAAACCAACATCACAAGATAAAGTGTTAGGTATTTCTAAGATCGCAAATTTTCCAATTTGGCTATGATATGTTTGCCATAAGAATATTTCTTCAAATAAGGGATTTGTTCTTTCAATATACTAACTACTCGCTTTAAATGATCCTCATTGGCTACGTCTAATATTCGTTGAACTACATAGTTCCCAAATTGGTCCTTTACCAAATTCGATAATGGACAGTCCTCCGCAGAATCCTTGCCTCTTACCAATACTTCAATAAAGTCCATTCGCTGTACTGGACTTCCATACTGAAGACAACGTTCCACAACATTACTAGCAAATTTATGTTGTGCAAAAGCAACTACTTCATTCAACACAACTTTCATAATGACAGCCTTGTTATCTGCATCACCTTTCTCTACAATATGTTGAATGACATAGTTACCATACTGGTCACGGATCAAATCCCTAGCACAACCCATTATTTCTGCCAAGATTTCTGCTTTGTGTTCCTTCGGGCAGTGTTCCAAAACCCTTTGTACAACTCGACATCCATAAGCATGTTCCGCCAAGGCAACTGCTTGACCTTTCACCGAATCGACGATGAAAACAATGTTCTCTGGTTCAACCAATTCGATACATTTCTGAATAACATGGTTACCATTCTGATCACGAATACACTGAAGGACGTGACCATCCAATTCTTGGACCAACTGTGTTCGTTCATTTCCTTTCAAAACTTCCAAGGCCTTTTGAACTACACGACAACCATACATATGTAAACTTAGGGATAGCATGTGACCTTCCAATTTCTTGGTTAACAATTGACGAATATTCTCATCACCATGTTCCAACAACTTCTGAACTACGTAGTTTCCAAAAACATCTATCACTAATCGATCTATATCAGGACCAAGTTCTGCAACCAACGACCTAATTTCCTCCAAGTTCGCCCCTTCCAGTTTTTGTTGAATAAACCTTGAACCGTGTTGATCTGAAGCAAATTCTGCAATGTGCCCTCGAATATCTAACAACTCCCAATTACGGACAGGTGCAGAAGAAATGAAAGCTGAAGGATACAACTGTGAAACTGACTGAGCATTCGAACTAGGACGTCCAACCAAACAAGTCTGACGAAACTCTTCTAAAAGTGGAGATCTTTTCGTTTCGACACTATTCGACCTTTCCTTCGGTAAATATTCTTGTTCTATTTTGGATTTCATTCCTTTCCGAGTCTTTCCTCCTCGTTTTGAAGGTGAAGAATAAAATGAGGATGCTCCTATGGAGTTATCTGCTGCCACTCTATTGTAATGTGCTTTTATATCTGCTCCTTTCTCCATACTGTGGCCTTGAGGACTATAAGAACTACCGAAAAACTTGGGAAATGAGACATTGTTCATTGGATGACTCTCCCAAGCTTCCCTGGTTGGTCTATTATTGGATGGAATGCCTATTCCAGGATTGAGATACAAAGGCGTCGCTCCTGGAAATGAAACACCAGTCATTGTAGGAGAGGCATAAAAAGCATTTCGCGAAGGAGGATTTCCGGTATTCGCAGCAACGGCAGCAGCGGCATTATATGCTGCAAATTGTGCAAATTGTGCTGCATACAATTGTTGTGAAGGTTGACCTAAATAGGATGACGTAGGAACTGCATTATTCATGTCATTAACAAAATGATTATCCTGTGCTCCGATAAAAGGAGAAAAGCCCGTTTGATCAAGAGTCTCCATTCTTGAGTGTACTTGCGAGCTATCTATATTGGATTTTGGAAAAGGTCCACCATGCGAAAATCCACTCGTTTCTCCAGAAGAATATTCCATTCCTTTGGAGTGCATCTTCCAAGGAACATTTCTAGTTTGAGAATCCATCAATGCGTCTTTTGCTGCAGCAGAGACTTGCCAAGGGTGCTCATTTTGCAAGCTATCTCTGGCAACTCTGCGTGAAACTCGACTCCCATTGGTTATTCCCTCACTTGTGGATCCTTGCATCAACTTTTGATCTCCAACCGTCTGCAGAGTTGACTCGATAGTAGATGCAGCAACCTTGAGAGTATCGGTATCATGAAACTGAATATCCAATGATGAACTCCTGTCAAGTTGTTTTGTTCGTTGTTCCGTTGGGGGTGGTGAAGGACTCCCGGGAGCTAACGAGTCACTACAAGCAATATCCCCAAAAGACCGCACTCTTTCGACTGGTTTTCTTGGAGAAGAAACAGTTTGTTTGCGCAGTGCATTATTGGATAATGCTGGAGATGGAGTACGTGGAAAATCCTCTTGAATCCTATCCATAACACTCTTTGGCCAGGAACTACTTGCTGATGGACTAACCAAAGAAACATCTGAAGAAGCAGAAGTGTTCAAAGGCAAGTTGGACAATTCTACGTTGAAATTAAGTTTGGAAGACACTCGGTCTCCTATAGTGCCAGGAGTTGATGGACGAACTGCTCCTGCAACAGGAACTCGCCTAGCAATCACAGGCTGAGGTTGCTTAATAGCATGACCACTGTTGTTCATACTCGGATTGTCTTCGGTTACATTTTCTACAAGGCTACTCTTTTCACTCGAACTGGCCTCCTTCAAATCGTTCAAAAACTCCTTGCTATAGTTTTTTCCTTTCCTTTCCGAAGCGATACGAAAGTCAGTATAGGATAAAAGGGGTTTAGGGAACCTTGGGTCGTTTCTCTTCTGCGTGTAGTAATATTCGAAATATGCTGGATCAAGTCTTGGGTCATCGGGACGAACGCCTTCATAGACTGTTTCCAAAGAAACGTCATCTTCTCCTCCCACCTTATTATTGTTCCCAAACAAGTCAAAAGTTGAAAAGAATAGGGATGGTGGCGCAGAAGACGATCTCAAGGTTTCCAACCTTCTTCTTTCCTCATCCGCTATAAAAGGGGAATTGGTAGCTGGTAATTGACAGGTGGAGTCCTGTACCAGACTACCTTTCAGTTCTTGATCCAAATCTCCAATATCATTATCCAAATGTAAGAGTTTAATACCTAGCAATGTCTTCTCAGGGTCATCCTTTCCAGAGTCCACACTCATCGTTTCCCGTCAAAGTAGCCTTTGGGCTGGTACCCAAAATATATTCAGGAGTAAAATATGCAATGTACAGAAAAGAGATCACTAAGAGTTACAAGCTTTTTCTCCAACTCTTTTGCTGAAACCTTGCACTTCGTAACCCACCTGCTATGTACAGACTGTACAAGGAGTAGTTGCAAACTGGTTGACACTGTCTTAAATAAAAGTATGGTTCAATCGACAAGAGTTCCCTTATTATAAGCTTTGAAATAGCTCTCTTATTGCAACGCGTGTCCTGGTTAGGTGTGCACACAGGTCAGCCAGCATCCGTTTACGCAGCCCCCTCAACCACGGGAAAGTGCGTAGAATAGTTTTATGCGGCGCTTCTCATGAAGAGGTCAGAAATTGGGCCCCATTTCGATAGCAAATTGGGATTTTTTCGATTGGGGGACAAAATGCACTTCAAGTCTCTCATTTGAAAGCGATATCTATTGAGCACTCTGCCCATTCTTAATGGACAAAGTTGTTTCGCTTCTGAAAGAAGAAGTGCACATTATTTCACATCCTGTTTAAATATGGATATGTAGGTAACAAATAAAGGTCCGTCTTCACAGCTCCAACACTTGCTCTCCATTCACCAAAATCAAATAGGAAATGAGAAGAGAGAAGGGGTTCTTCCCTTTCATTTGAGAACGGGACGCGATGGGCGCCAAAACTTTAAATTTTTCTTTGGTGTGGGGGAGTCATAACGTTTCATTTTTTTCTAAGCTATTCTTGTATACCCTCTCTCTCCTCATTATACGGAAAAGTGTGTAGCAACTATTTTGCGGATGACCTTTTTAGATAACCATAAGCAAACTTTATTTGTCTTGTTTCCATGATATCCCCCCAAGAGCAGCAAAAGCAAGAAATTGCAACTACTCCATCTGGAACCAAAGAAAATGAAAAACTAGTCGTACCAGGAGTACAAGTAGCTCTAGAAAATATTTCGACAAAAAGTGTTTTGAATGCTGTCAACTATAAGTATGCCCAACTCTTTCATAGAGAACAGGTTTCTTCCGCGCAAAGTAATACGACTTCCAAGCAATATATAGAAGAAAGAAAAACCAGTAATGGGACAATAGGTGAAGTGTTGAGAAAATTTGAAAAGGGAAGGCTGCTCGGAAAGGGAGGCTTTGCCAAAGTCTATCAATTAACGGATATTCATACCCATCAAAAATATGCAGGCAAGATAATTCCGAAAAATGCCATTCGAAAAGAAAGTGCCAAGCAAAAGTTGATTTCAGAAATTCGAATTCATCGAGAATTGAGACATCGGCACATTGTAAAGTTTGAAAGTTGCTTTGAAGATCAAGAAAATGTATATATCGTATTAGAACTTTGTCCTAATGGTTCCATTATGGATATGGTCAGACAAAGAGGACGCTTAACAGAATATGAAACGAGATACTTTATGATTCAAATTTTGGATGCTATTCGTTATATGCATCGGGAGTGTTTAGTGATTCATCGGGATTTGAAATTGGGAAATTTTTTCTTAGATGAAAATATGGAAGTAAAGATAGGAGACTTTGGTCTTGCTGCTCAACTAAGCAGTGACAAGGAACGTAAACGAACCATTTGTGGAACACCAAACTATATAGCACCTGAAATATTATCTGGTAAGCAAGGACACTCCTTTGAAGTAGATATCTGGAGCACAGGAGTTGTCTTTTATACAATGTTGGTTGGAAAACCTCCATTTGAAACATCTGATGTAAAAAGTACATACAAAAGAATCAAAGAAAATATCTATAGCATTCCTGAAAGCTTGGATTTATCTACTAGTGCGATCGAATTAATCGGCTCTATCCTAAATTCTGATCCTGCAAAGAGATTGAGTCTTGACGAAATTCGTTCTCATCCTTTCTTTGATGCTAAGATTCCTCGTGCTTTGAGCATTCATGCACTCAAATCGACGCCTGTCTTTGAAGAGTCAGAACTCATCGAACGAAACAAAGAATCTTCAAGTTATAAGAAAGGACGAGAGAATCGACAACAAACTGTTGTAGGATCTTCAGGTTTATGGAATGACGTCATTCAATCGATCTCTCAAGATCAAAGAACTCCTTTACAGAAGCTACAACAGCATATAAAGTCCAATGCAGCAAAGAACAACGACCATGCCGAAAAGTTGCATCAAGCTTTGGAGAAGCATCTTCAGCTCAACGATAATCAAAGCAAGAAAGAAGAAAAGCTTTTAGAGTCCCAAGAGGCTCATAGCAAATCTACGAAAGGAATATTTGACAAAGGTTTAGATACCCAGTCAGAAGACGAAGAACGAATGGTTTTAAACAAAGTGCGTGATCAGCTGACATCGAGTTTTGCATTATTGAAAAACGCAGAACAAAGTCCATATGCATTTACTTCGAGTCTAAACACCAACGATGGAACAACAAGTGGATCGCCATCCTTTCAATCACCTGTAAATGCACTTACTGGAGGAGCTTGGATATGTAAATGGCTTGATTATTCAAAGAAATATGGATTGGGCTATCAAACTTGTTTAGGTTCGACTGGTGTATGCTTTAACGATGGAACTCAAATTATTTTGGAGAAAGGCCAACAAAATTGGATTTATTATATGAAACGTACCGAATCTCACGAAGAAAGAAATGAAAATAAGTGGATAAAAATGACAATGGAAGACTATCCTTCAGAACTCCAGAAAAAAGTGAAACTTCTCATTCACTTTCGAAACTATATGCTCGACCATACTCCCAAAGGTCAAGAGGATCCTTTAATATCTCCTGAGAGTTCGTTTCAAAACATAGATACTTCGAACGAAACTTGTGGAGCCAAAGATGCAACACGTCCTGTCTATATTAAGACTTGGTTTCGTTCTCCATATGCTATTATATTTCGTCTAAGCAATCGAAATATTCAGGTGGATTTTAATGATGGAACTGAGGTCATCTTATCTCCAGAAGTCCATGTCGTTACTTATCGAGGAAAAGATGGACGAAGGAATAGTTATCAACAAGGTCATCTTCCCAGTCTTCCTGAGCTACTAAAACGATTAAGATATGTTATGGATCTTTTACAAGAAATGTTAAACAGAAAAACTTCATAAATTTCAACCATCGCCATAATCTGTTATTGGCAATAAATAATTTCATTTCTACTCTACATGTTGCACTAGAAACAATGTTTTTGTTCTTAAAGTTTTCCATGGATTTGAGGATGATGCAAGATAAGCAACCAAATAATAACTTCCACAAGATACAAACTCGACTTGTAGGGAATGTACCACTTTTTCTCCAGGTGAAATATTTCCACATTCCACATCTTCCCATTGTCCAGCTCCATATACTCCATGAAACATTACATTCGTCCACGTATCACAAACAGCTTGTTCCATTTTCAATGAAAGACACAAATCTTCAGGAAAAGGTTGCCACCAACAATTGGTCACATGAATTTCTATTTCAACAGGTACATAACAAGGTACTTTAAAGAAATTACTATTCTGTTCAACCTGGGTAGAAAAAAACTCAATCTTAGCTCGAGATAAAATCAAGTCAGCATCTAGACAAGCGGATAAACGAGAAGAGATCCTTAGCGGTGTCTTTCCAGACTTTTGGGTCAAAGGACATTCCCAATGACATTCCAATTGCGAAGTGAATATTCCAATTGCTTTGTTGGAAAAAGAATCGTTTCCATTGCTTTCTTTCGCAACTTGTTTCAACATCGATAATAGCTTTGCGGAAAGAACAAAACATATTCTTTGACATTCATCTGGTTCCAAATGCACGCCTGTCACATGACGTTCGGTTGGACTCGCAATATCCAAGTTGATCGGAGCTCCTATCCAATTTTCAAGTTCCAACACCACTTGATAACATAAATGTTCAGTTTCTAACAACGTAGCATCCTCTACTTTTGTTAAGCCAATAAAAGATAGCACTAATGAAGGTTTCATCATCCAAGAGTAAGTAAAACACTGCATCTTCTGAGTTTCTCTTTGATGGATAGATTGACAATGTAATTCTAACGTGCAAGGGAATGACTGATTATCTATGAAATTCTGAGGAGATATAGAAACTGAAGAGAGCAAACAACGACAACTTTGACGGACTGTTCGCTCAAATGAATCATTCTCAAAATTGGTCAACTCGGAGGCTATTTGTAGTAAACAATGATTCATTTCCTTTTCTTCGTATTCTAACGACCCATTTGTTCCTATTTGTTGCAATTCCAACTTCCATTCTACTGACTGAACAGTATGTAACTGACTTATTTTCAGTCCAATATCTAAGTTCACCCTTTCACCATCCCAAAAGACGCCATTATTTTGCAAAGGTCTCCAACTACTAGTAGTATCTTGATTCCATTTATCAAAATGGACACTGGATAAGAACATATTCGTTTCAATGGTTGGAAAGGGTGAAAATATCTCCATAAACACAAATTGACTTTCATCCAACAACAAGTCAATACAAATTCTATTCCATAGTCTTCCTAAGAAACCTACAATACAAAAATGGCCTGCTTTTTCTGCTTTCAAACTAATAGGAATACGTTGTTCTCCTTGAGATAATAGAAAGGGCAAACTATGTATCGAAAAAGTATCCGAATTTCTTTCATCACTTAACGCACGACTTTCCTCGTCCACAATACAAGTCAATATATCCAAAATTTCCAGTGGAATAACACTCTTCAGCTCATTATACAACTCTAGGACAAACTAATTACGGTCATTTGGTTATATATGAATTTCAATGAGTGCATCTTACCTTGTATTCTTCTCCCTTTTCAATATATATTACATAAGGAGAAGTATCGGATACATCTGCTTCTGAATAAGAATTGTTTTCTGGATTGTTCATAAAAGGTGAATAAATAAAAGGGTTGGAAGATAACATCTTTCGAGGTGATGGAGAAGGTGATGCACGGAGATTTGTTGAAGGATTTTGTGATTCATACCTTTGTAAAATGGTTTGGCATCTGGTGTTCTTTGTCAGCCCTTGTCTTTGGTATACTCGAAAAATGAGTGAAATGTCGACAAGGTTTCTTAATAACGAACTGATAATGGAGTACCTTAGCATCCAGGCAATAATTTTGGCATCTTCTGTGGAAACTTTGGACATTTCATCCCAAGGCGAAATGTACTTTGAAATTTCCAACGCCTTCAAACATGACCATAAACAAACTGAAGAATGACCAGAGGCCCTCGATGAAGAAGCAGTTTCTAACAAAGCCAAACGTATAAGACATGGCCATATCATCAAGTCCTTACAAATGCCATCCTTTTGGATAGTTTGATGATCATCATCATCACTGGATAGTGTGCTTTCCTTAGTAGCTAGAGAATAACTATTCCAACCAGCTATCTCTTGGTCATCCAACATAGGGGATCCCTTCATACCAAACAATCGAATTACATGTTGAATAATTGCTATAGCTGCAAGACTATCTCCTTGACGCCTCAATCCAACTGCTTCTCTCCAAAAATAAAAGCTTGCCTTCCTCCAACAACCTGCCTGTAGATAAGCATAGCCTATTAATCCAAGCAACCTAATTCTCTTATCTTCTACAACACCGTTCGGATATCGATTAGGCATCTTCTCTAACACTTCACTTGAATTCTGTAACCATAATAAATGTTCTGAATGTCTACCAGTTTCTGATAAAAAGTTTGCCAATCTCAAACATGCAAACATTTCCATGAAAAAGGCTCTCTTCTTTCGGTATAATTTACAAACTTCATCATAACGCTGAATGACTTGTGATATCAGATCCCTATTCTCCGGTTGAACTTCCACAACGTTTGCTATTCCTGAAAGTGTAGTAAAATCACGTCCTAAGAGAATAGCACAAGCACATGTTCCTTCAATAGCTCCAGCTAACCATAACCAGTCACTATTGGCTCTAGCAGCTGCTGCACAAGCTGAATACTTCATAAAGGATTTATGATAATTGCCATTCATCAGATGGAAATCACCAAAATACTTATCCAAACGAGATGCTCTTCGACGCACCAATTTGGAGAATTTCTCTGCTGCCTTATCTGCATCCATTGGTGATACAATCAAGTCCGCACTAGTCATCATTCTACGAAGCCAAAAGTCCATAGCTTGGTGAATATCTGTTGCAAAAGATATCAACCATGGAGATAACCAATTCTTTAAATTGGAGTCAACCAGTTCCCTTCTATTGAGATACTTTAAAGGTATTGTCGAAGAACTCTCTCCACCACCACCACTTGTCATAGTCGAAACGGATGATGTTGATACATTTGCCAAAGTGTGCTCTGAAACGGAAGAACTGCGATTATGTGAAGTTTTAAAGCTCGCTTTGTTGCTTGAGTTATCTTCTTCACTTGAACTATCGCCTCCATTTCCAGTTGCAGAATATATCGACGTATCATTTCTCGACATTTCCTTTGGATAGGAAGTCGAACTTTCCAAGTCATCCTTTACACTTTCGGCTTCTACTGAAGCAATATCCAGTGAAGTGAACTCTTCTTCCACTTGATTCCAAACTCTTTCCGAATATTTGAGGTCGCGCTCAGTTCGGTTAGTCGTCCTCTCATCTTGGATAACCAGGCATCTCATGACTACTGGTTGCTGTTTTCTCAGTTGCTTGCAAACTTCTGCAAGTTCTTGTTGAATTTTGGCGCTTTGTGCCTGATTATTCGAGTTCCATTCCGAAACTTGTGCTATTCCTATGACACCCCAACTACGTCTAGAAAGTTGAAAGGTTTCCCACTCCGAACTAGGCAATTGTATTATACCATCGTTTTCTTGTGAACAAAGTTGAAACTCAAGTCGGTAAACTGCTGTCTCTTCTCCACTTGCTTTCTCTTGAGAGTTGTTTCTTGTGGGAGGTAAAGCTTCTGAGTGACTCCTCCATCGTTGTGAAAAACTCAATCGCACGACTGCATAGTTTTTAAGTTCTCGAATACTTTGTTCTATCAACGCTTTGGAAACGTTTCCTATAGGAACTACCAAAACTCGAGTATTTGCCAAGTCACGAATAGAACTAGCTACTTCCATATGCTATCTCACCAAGAATCAAACTTTACATCCCAACCAGAAAAGTTATTTCTCTATACATTTTGTCAACTGGACTAACATGGAAAAGACGCAATGGCAAACATTTCCACCAGTCTTATGTGCAGGTATGCACTCTGTAGACCTTTTATTGATCAACTCGGATATTCCAAAAACTCCCGAATCAGTCGTATTCTTTGAAAAGTACACTCATGTTCCTGGAGGTTCAGTTTACAATACCGCTAAGGGTTTCGTGTTATTAGGCATTCCGGTAAAAGTTCTTACCAAAGTAAGCTGTTTATTGATTTTATAAGATCAATTATTTATTATACAGTGGAAACTCTTCTAGGTTGGTAATGATGAGAACGGTCGTTGGTTTATAAAGGAACTAGAAACTTTAGGAATCGATACTTGTGACATAAGGATGGATGACTCGAAAAGCACTTGTCTATCAGTCTTACCAGTTTATCACAACGGAGGAAGAGGCGCATTTAGTCACTTGGGTACAAATACAACAATTCAAGTGGATGATTTGTTGGATGATAAACTAAGACAAGCTCTACAGAATAACGAGATTGATTTTCCTCCTTATTGGGTTTATCATTATGGATATCCTCATATGGTAACTCAAGTACAAGGCAAAGTATTGGCACAACATTTTCAATCTATTCGTTCGTTGGGAATTACGATTGCTTTGGATATGAATGGAGCCAATACCAACGATGAGAGAATCGTACATTCTGCACTTGAGTCGGTAGGAATATTTCATGTCAATATAGAAGAAGCCATTGCACTATCAGGAAAGCATCCACAACACTTGGAAAGAAATTCTAATAACCAACCTTTAGAAGACCGAGTCAACTTTCAACAAGTGAAAGATATAGCTGATTATTTTCATGACTTGGGAGTTGCTTTGATAGCCATTACTTTAGGGCCTCGTGGAGCTTTTCTTTCTACACATTCAAATACTCAAATATTGAAAAAGAATATTCCTTGTTTTCCTTATTTGCCAAAAGGAACACAAGTATTTAGACCCAACTTTCAAACTATGAAAACTATTAATGGAGTTGGAGCAGGAGATACTTTTACAGCTGGTTTATTGGCTATGCTTATATATCAAAAACAGATTCAATCGTCAAGTCTCAGCTTGGAATTATTAGCAGACGTTGGTTTGGCAGCTGCAATGCAAAGAATTGATTCCGGTACTCAACCAAAAATACTTGTGGAACTTGTTCAACAACTCGATAAGATGCCAAGATCTTCTGTTCAACCACTTTGATTTGTCATTTGTAACAAGTCTTCCAGGGCAATCAGGTTTCTATTGCTTCTTTTTGTTTTCTTTCTAGTGGGCCACTTGCTGTTGATGATCCAATCGAATAGGAATATCCCCAAATAAATACATTGGCTCCTCTAAACGATTAGAATTGTTACAAGGCAATAGAGTTATTCCATTTCTTTCTGCAAAGAAACCAACCAAGTCCTTAAAACTTGAGATTGGCATATCGTAAACTTTTCTTCTTCTCGATGTCGAAGATACTAAACTTTCTTCTTCCTTAAAAACTTGTGTTGCTAATAACAGTCGATGAATATCCATGTTTTCAGTATCTTCGCCTGTCATGGCACGATTCATTATATCTAAAGCAATATCAAAAGCTCTTCGAACGTTATTCATTCTTTGAATCTCAACTGGAAACTTTTGTTTCCAAAGGTCATACCAAATAGTTACTCGTTCCCAATCTACATCTTGTAAACTTAGCCATCGCACAAGTGTTTCCAACCAAACAGGAAAGAAACTTTTTAGAAGAATTCCAGCCAAAGCTTCATTCTCAAGTATTCCGTACCAACTAATAATCCAATAGAATACCGAAAATGCTTCCGAAGTGCTTTCAAGGCTTTCTTTATCTGGTATGTCTATTGTCAACTCGTCTTTGAGAGTTGCTTCTAAACGAGGTATCACGTAATGATGAAATAATTTAGATAATGAATTCTTCTTAGCTATTTGTAACCAAGGTTCAACAACCTCTCTAGCAAAACTCTTTGAAGGATGCCAATTCCTAATACATTTTCCAATTCTTCTCCACATATAATCAAAAAGATGAGAAACTCTACGTTTTCCTATCAAAGGGAGCCAAGGGAATATCCAATGATGTGGCATAATATTCTCTGAAAGTTCCCAATCTCCTTCAACTTCTTGTCGAAGTCGTGGATAGACTATATCTGCAGCTACATTTTCAATCAAAGCTTCTGGAAATACTCTACAACATTTTTCTATAAAAGATACCAAATCATGTGGTTGTTGAGCATTAAAGTTGGTAGAAGCTACATGTCTTTTGATTCTTAGGACTACAGTATTCCATAATAATTGCGAATACATCTTAGACTCATCTCTTCCACCAAGCATATTTCCAAGATCAGAGACATCTTGTATCCATTGTCTATCGGGTATCGTTGGTCTCCAATAATGTTCCTTACCTAAATATTCATTCAAGTGGCGTTGAGCACAGGCTGTTAGGGCATCCAAAATGTCACTAGTCTTAAAGCACTCTTCACGGTATTGTTCCAAAGCTTGTCGAACTATGGAAATCAAATCATGTAAAGAAATACTTGAGTCCATTTCCTTGATCAATCCTAAAAAAGATTCAAGAATAGTTCTCTTCTCTTTCAAATCTTCGTAGCGTCCCTCCAAAGTATTCAAATCACTGCGTAATGATATCAATCGTCTCTGTTCCACTTTTAGTTGTTCGGAAGACTGTTCGAGATCACTTTTTGTCAAGTCTTTCAAAATTCGAATATTGTAATGTAATTCTGGAAGAAATGTTTCAGAATTGGTCTCATGTAATTGTTCTACCGCAGGTAATGCTTCAGTAATGTGATTAAGAGAACGCTTTTCAGAACCTCGCATGTCTATAATAACATCATCCAAAGTATGAGTTGATTCTCTATTTGTCTCCAATACACGATTCTCAACACAAACTCTCTTCTTCCACCGTTTCTTATCTGACATGAGTAGTTTTTCCGTTTTTTCATTGCTTACAACTTTTGATTGCTTTGTCTTGACAGCTGAAGAAAGTGAGTTGTTGCTTACACTACTAGTCTTTTCTTGAAATCCGTCGGCTGCCAAACCAAGGTTCTTTGGACGAACTTTTGGTTCTAAAGGCTTGGAAAGTCCTTGTTCATATGCACCCAATCGACCCGTAAAACCCATTTTTTGTAACATCTTCGAGCCAAAACCTTTGGTATACTTTTCCCAACTCCCAAGTTGGTTATGAGTTCCTTGTGAAGTATCCGAGCTTTCATGGGCAGAGAGGTTTCGGTTTCTGTTGTTTGACGCGAATAAATATTCACTCTTCACTTTGCGAACCACTCCAAAGTTTTTAGGTAAAGAGCTGAAAGAATTCCTTTGTTGCCTTTTCAAAAAACCTGGTTCAGTCCAAAATGTCTCTTCTTCTTCTTCACCAGCTTCAGAGTCTTCACTCACGCTCACTTCCGTTACTGTTTGTTCATTGTTCTTCTCTACAGCTGAAGTGCTTTGTGGTATTTCGTCAGACACTGCTTTATCGTCTATCTTTTCTTCCGTTGATGACTTGACAAAGTTCACAGGACGAGGAAGGTCAACAAACCTGTCTTCATTCCTTGTCGAAGAGTTTCCAAACTTGTTGTCCACAACTTCCTCTGTATATTCTTCCCAAAAACTTACATGTTTCCTTTTCTTTGGAACAAATTCTTCTTCTTCTGAAGTACTATCACTGCTATTACTATTGTGCATCAACAGTGGAAAACCACCACAATCTCTTTGAAGATTATTCCCTACTCCAATGTGTGAAAGTCTCTCACATTTTATATGACTTGAACAATTAATATCCTCATCAATAGGATTACTCTAAAAGCTATCTCAATGACTTGAGATTATTATCTTACAAGTTGATAAATCTCAAAGATTATACTCGTCTATGGATCAAGCTATTTATTGAAATCATAATGCTGCAATGGTCCGAATGATTCCTCGTCGGTAACAAAAGTGGTTTTGGATGGATGTTATGACTGGAGCGCCTTTGACCCATTTTCATAGTATCTACGAAGCTTTAACTGAAGAAAGCTCAAAGGAACATACTTCTTCTCATCTATTTGATAATCACTCAAGGAGAATTCCTGCCTGCTTTGAGCATTTATTAGGGTTACCAGACGATGCTTCCTTGAAAAGGAGTTTGGAAATAGTTTCAGAGAGTATTCCACAAGACTCACCTCATCATGCAGTTGCATATTTGTCAGTTTGCGAAATGGCTTTGAAAAAGGCAATAACAAAAGATGGAGTAGTAGACAATAGTACGGAAAGCATTCGAAACTTGTTAGTATTGATGCGTCTGGCCCTACAAGAGTGCAGCACAGGACTTGTTGCTAAAAAAGGCCTCGAATATTTGCAAATAATAGAAACTTTATTGGAGTCTCAATCTTTTGATTCATTGGGCATAGAGACTGGTGAATTGTTGACCGATATTCTGTTTAGAATTCGTGTTTCAGATTGGTCTCAACCTCTAGTGCAACGTTGTATACAGGGAATGGTAACTTGTAGTGTTGTTAGTGGAGCAAAGGTAAGAAAGAAAATGATCACTTTATTGAGAAGTTTGTATGGAGGAGAAAAGGGTGCAATTGCAGTTCATACTTCTTCAACAGTTGCTTTTCTCAATCAAACTCTAAAGTCTTCCAACCATTCTTATGTTTATCGCTCATTACAATTAATGCAAGTTATTCTTCCATTCTTTTCTCGAAAAGATATTTTGCAGTTGCTAGAGAAGTTGTTTTTGTTTGAAAATGAAGATGCCATTTTGTGGCAACTCAACTATGCAGTTGTTTCCTCCGTACTTCGTATAGATTATGAACGTTCCAAAACAGCTGAGAATGAAGCACAAATGAACTTGTTGATGGGAAAGAGACGTCTTGTAGATAGTGATATTCATGAACTATATAACTATCTTTTGCAAAAAGGTTGTCCTTCTCAAAAGATGGGTCTCTCAGTAATATTAGGCTATGTTTGGTCTCTTTGTTTTGGAATGGGTTGTTTGGAAATAGTTCCCAATATATCTTTGGTTTGTTCTGTGATTCAAAAACTCTTGGATAGTTTAGAAGTTTCTGTTTGGTTGGAGACAGCTGCACCATATCGCATTTCTCAAGTTATTGTTCGTTTCATTGTTATATTGGGAGAAAAGTTTCCTTTTGTTTTAGCATCCTCTTCCATTTGCTCAATCTTTTGTCAGTTAACGAATGTGCGATTTTCTTCCATATTTATGTATGCTTGCGAGATTCTCAATGAATTGTTGACAACATTGCTAATGCACAGTAAGAACTCTCATTCTTCATCGGAGAGTAAGGAAGCAGACAGCATCATTCAGATATTGAATCATTTGGTAACCATCCGAAACCATTTGGAATATCAACAAAAGGACAATACAAGTTTGCAACAAGTGCATCATATATTGCAATGCTGTTTAAAGTGTGGAGGTGCAAAATATCTGTTGCGGATGATACCTCTTTGTCAAAATGTTGATGATATCCATCACATGTGGTTATTCGATATGGTGTGTAAATATACTCGTCAATCTTCATTGCAACTATTTTATGTTCATATTCTACCCTTGTATAAACTATTTGCTGAGAAAGTCTATCAAGCTACACAAAAGGGACTAGAAGTGGAAGCAAAGAATTGGAGAATGTATCAATTATCAGTTTGGAATGCCTTTGCTTCCTTTTGTAGAGAACCAGATGACATAAACGATGGATTGATACAACTTCGTGAGCCTCTTATGGAGGTTTTCAAAGGAAAGGATAGCGATGCACAGATGGAAATCGTTCGTGGATTTCGTAACTTGTGTCAAAGTGTTGCAGATGCTCAAACTTATTCTCCAATATTATCCAATGCAATGAAAGAGATACTTCCTGTATTGTTCCGTATTTCATTCGAATGCCCTGTAGAGAAACGAAACCTCGTGTTAGAAACCGTAACATTGGGTGCAAAAGTTTGTTCTTCTCAAAGCATCATTGCTGATTACTTACGAAAGATTATGAAACGGCTAATCGATTCAGTTGCTACAAACACTGATTCGAATGAAGATAACAAAGGTGCTAATCATCAAAGTATTTGGTTACAGTTGGCTACTGCTTTGATGGAATCGCATGTACTTCCATTGGATACTCCAGAAATGCAATTATTGCAAAAGACATTGTTATCCAACTTGGCTGAAAGTCATGATGGATTCTTACAAAAGAAATCTTATCGTGCCTTATTGGATATGTTGAAATTGGAAAATGGTGAAGTTACAGCACCAATTCTAGAACAAGTCACAGGTAGTCCCAATATATGGTATCTATTTCAGAAACTCGTAACTGTACAAAATTCTGTAACTGCAGGTGCTAGAGCGCTAAGAATTGCGTCCATGTCTGTTTGTCTGAAGAAGCTAATTGTAGAACAATTCAAAGAAGCACTACCGCAAGTTCTTACAGAATGGATTTTATCCACCAGAGACCAGTCTGCAAAAGCAAGAAATGCAGCTTTTCAAGCTATTTTGGATGCAATTTCACGTTATAGAAATACTTATTCCGTTGGAAATCTGAACAATTTAGCAGAACAAGAACAATTGGGTTTGCAAGAGATTTTTAGTAAGGTTATTGCAGGACTGGCAGGTAAATCAACAACCATGCTAGCAGCTACAATGGATACTATTGGAAGAATTCTTTTTGAATATCGTGGAGAGCTTCAGTACAATACCCATTTGAAACAAATGATACTGCAGTTATTTATCATTTCCACAGGTCCAGCTTCTGCTTCTTCAAATGAAGAAGCAAATTATCCTGGCCCTGTAACTCTCTTATTGCAACATCCTAGCAATGAGGTTGTTCGTTCAGCTTTAAATCTTGTCAAGGTGTTAGTTACCATCTTACGTGATGAAAATGATCTACTTGTGGTTGCCGATGCCATTATGAGTAGGCTAATGGATGTATCCTTTGATTCTAAGGAAGACTTGCGAAGAAGAGTGAAAGTAATCTTGGAGAGACTGTTACGTAGATGTGAGGTGACAAAAATAGAAAGTATTGTTCCTAAAGAGCACCAGCCATTATTTCATCATGTTAGAAAGACCTGGGAACGAAACAAACGGAAGAAGCGTCAGAACAGAGAAAACAAAGAGCCGAGTACTTGGGATGAAGCTCTTCAAGACGATGATACTCATTCAGCAGAAGATGCAAAAGCAGATCGTCGCATAAATGAAGAAGAGGCAAGTATTGGCACCATTTATTCACTAGTGTAAACTGATCATTTTTGTTAGGAACCGTTGGATATCTTGAGCGCCATGACTCAAGGCCATGGAAGGAGCTTGATGAAAAGGAAGAAGATGGAAATGAGAGACTCAAAAAGAGACAAAGATGCAGTGCGGTACACGGAGACTGGACGAATTATTATCAAAGAGGAAGAAGAAGAGGAAAAGAAGGATAGAAATTTGGTCAATGTGGAAAGAGCACATCATGTCGAAAACTCAAAGTTGAAATCTTCGTTATCTCGTTCCATTGGACAGAAGCGAATAGGACAAGCAATGGTAGACAAACAAAAACGGCATAAAAAGTCCAAAGAGATAGAGACTGGTGCCAGATTTCGATCCTCGAAAGCACAAGGAGATATACAAAGACCTGGAATGCCCCAACCCTTTGCATATATACCACTGCATTTGGGTTATTCTCATGGCAAAATGGGCGGGAAATCCAAAGAAAAGAAAAATGCATGGCGCCAAAGTCGAAAAAAATCCTTGATAAGAACATGATTCATATTTGAAGAAAGAAATGTGAGTTTGTTTGTGGGAATGGCATGAAACGTTAAAAGTATTCCATCTCGATACGGAAATGCTTAGTACATGTCGTATTATGTAACGTATTTTGATAGGAACAATAATAAACAGACAAAACGAATGTTACATTTTTCTTGATGATTCATGTTCATGGCACAAGTGTTGTCATTTCTGGCTTATGTCTGTGAAGAGATATAGTAACTGATTCACAATTATAGATTTGGATGATTTATCACTTGATCTGTGATGAATCATTTTGCTCAGCGAAACCTTTCTGGCTCGAGTCTTGACAAACACTCTTCAAGGAGCAATACTCGTATTGCGTTTCCACCTCCATTATTTGGAAAAGAATTGCAAGTAACTGGTCCAGGTTTTGGTTCACCAATTACTCCAGAAGAACTCGCACGGAGCTTGAGAGAAGCAGATGCAAGTATAGCGTCCGTCATTTATGTAAAGTAGAAAGATTGAGAGTTGGATACGTTAGGACCCCTTATGGGAACTTATAAGACGAGAGGCAGAGATAGGAGCTAGGAACGAGCCTCACTTGGCCAGTACTCTTTTTGCTATTGTTTTGAACCATCGCACTCTAGAGGATGCGCTGTCATTTCATTTAGCAAGCAAGTTGGAATCTGGATATTTTCAGGCAACGCAATGGATGGAGTTATTGAGAGAAGCTATGAATGATTCAGAATTGTATGAAGGTCTCTTTTTCTCCGTGGTTGGACCCCTGAGGTCGTGTTCTTTTGTCTAGGTATCGCAATGCTATTCGAAAGGACTTGATGGCTGTGACGACCAGAGACCCGGCAACACAACATGCGATTCAGGCTCTTCTGTTTAGCAAAGGTTTTCATGCTTTGGAATGTTATCGCTTAGCCAACTGGTTATGGGAAAGAGGAAGGAGACCTTTGGCCCTTTATTTACAAAGTTTGGTGTCGAAAAGTTTTGCTGTGGATATACACCCAGCTGCTAAAATTGGCTCCGGTGTGTTTATTGACCATGCAACGGGAGTAGTTATAGGTGAAACGGCGACAGTAGGAAATCATGTATCCATGCTACACAATGTTACTTTAGGTGGAACTGGTCCGTAACACTTTATACTTGTATCAAAATACGAGATTTACTGTACCAAACTATGAATAGGAAAGGAAACTGGTGATCGTCATCCCAAAATACGAGATGGAGTCTTATTAGGCGCAGGTGCTACTGTTTTAGGTAATATAGTGGTTGGTCGTGGTGCCTATGTTTCCGCGTGTTCAGTTGTAAGTACTCTTTGTACTTTGGAAAATCAAGATTGAAATTCTGCAGGTGTTAAAGTCTGTTGAGCCATTTATGGTAGTTAGTGGTGTTCCTGCAAAGGTGATCGGTATTTTGACTTATCAACAAGGTGTATTTCCATCCTTTGAAATGGATCAAAGAGTTAGTGTGTGTGGAATGTTTATGAAGCCAATCTCGTCAGATTTTGGTCAGGAGGAGAGTTTTGTCGACTTTGGTTTGCATATATAAGCCTGAATAAGAATATTTATTGTTTTCCACACGTTATTGTAGATGGAGACGTTAACATATTGTTGTTCATAGAAAACTGTTTGTGTTGTCTAAGCTAACATGAATCAGCAGCTTTTACTAGTTTGATGAATTCTCTTCACTTATCATGTGATGGTTCTTTTAAAATGGTAGTTTGAATCCAACTCAAGTTTGTAAAGAGTTTCTCTGTTTCCATCTCAAGTGAATAGGAAACAGCATAAATAAATCTCTTCTCATTTTATGTGCTTTGGAGGGAATCCATTCGTTGTTTTTCTTTCATGACCGATGCTCAACGACAGCGCTTTGATTCTCTCATAGAACAAGGTTCCTTTTATGAAGCTGAACAAATGTGTACTGCTTTGTACCATCGATTGCAACGTTCTGGAAAGAAGCAAGAGGCCTTTGACTTGCTTTTATATGGTGCTCGACAATTAGCAAAAGGGGAACAATTCCAGTGTGCTTTTGTATTACTTGACAAAGCACAGGAATATATGAAGAAGCAATACTTTTCAGAGGAGAGTTTTTCACAAGTTTTAAATCTTCTTGGCACCACCTTTCCTAACCACCTGAAACCCAAAGTTACGTTGCTCAACAAACTGGAAAAACTTGCTTCCGAGAAACACTGCTCTGAAGATATTGTACACAAACTGCACAAGTTCCAAGCTGAAACTTGCATTGGAATGGAAGACTATCGCCGTGCACTTTCATATTACAGTTTTCTCAATGATACTCAACTATATACTTCCATTTTAGAGCAGTGGATGTCTGAAGGACTATATAGTGAAGAAGACCTCTTTGTAACGAGACAAATATTATGCTTACTTGCTCAAGGAAAGAGAACGATGGCAAAGGAAGTGTTCAAACTTTGTTTACAGAAACACGACAATTTGAACTCATCTCCATTGATTGGCTTTATATATCTATTATTGGAGTGTTTGGAGCGCAACTTGTTTTCTTCACTAGAATCTTTGATAGCAATATATAAATCAGTTTTTGATAGAGATGCAAACTTGTGGAAGCTTTTACATGAAGCCATTGATTATTCTAAGAAACATCGATAAAGCAAATCATTGCGAGAGAGAGATGATGCAATCCATTGCTGTTGACGAATTGAGAAATCTCTGGTGGTCCTATGAGACTCTCTTGTTGTATATACCAACAACAAGAAGATATTGTATAGCCACAAGTTCCAATGTCTAGTAAAAGTAGCAACCAAACTTCAAGCCAATCTTCTGAAACACCCCATTCCAGCTGTCCAGCCTCATCTACTGAAGAAAAGTTGGTGGAATGGTACGACTTCACTTTGTATTATTGGGCCTTTTGATGAAACTTTGTATATACACTAGTCCTATTTGTTTTACTACTTTAAAAGATTCCTTTGTAACTCCTTGTCAACACACGTTTTGGTAAGTTTTATTTGAGTTGAACTTGTCACTGACACACCACATATAGTTATGAATGTATATCCAAACATTTGGAAACCAAAAGCAGTTGTCCCTCTTGTGGACGATATTTAGTGATGAGTCTCTTGAAACCCAACTATGAAGGTATGTAAAGACAATACTTTTTTTGGGACAGTTGACTGGACGCTCTATACAAGTCGATGAAGCAGTCAAGCTATACGAAGAAAGAAAGCGAAAGAAACGTAGTCGAAGCAATTCCTATCCTTTAGCTGCAGATTTACAGCAATTGATGTGTCAAGTGGATAGTTTATCAGCAGAAGAATTGACTGCACTCATTGAAGACTTGAAAAGTAAAAAGGAGCAACGAGAGAAAACAGAAAAGCGAGAAGATCAATTCTTGCTATTTGAATTCTTACAACAAGCAATATCTAAGAAAGAATCCACTGTTAAACGTTTAGAAGAAGAGTTGCAAGTATTATTACAAAGTCGAAATTATTTGGAATCCGAATCTCCATTATTACAAGAATGGAAAGACAATTGGTTAGAAGAACATATGCACAACTCTTCTTCTCTGCATATGAATAGGCGACAACGTATTATGGAACATTTTGACTATTTAGAAGATCGATTTTATTCTTTGCATTCACAAGAAAGAAAGTCATCTGATTCTGAAACGAGTTGCATTGGAGCAGTGCTCGATACTTTTCGAGAAGATTTGTATAAATTTTCCAAATATTCGGGTTTACATTGTAAAGCTATTTTGAAACATGCAGAGATACCGAACATTTCGAATATCATTTCGAGTATTGAGTTTGATAGGGACTCGGAATATATTGCAACTGCAGGTGTTACTAAGAGAATTAGAATATTTGAGTTTGGAAGTATATTAGAGTCAGTCTTGGATACGCATTATCCTGTGAAAGAAATGGTTTCTTCAACCAAATTGAGTTGTCTTAGTTGGAATTCTTATATTCATAATCATCTTCTTAGTAGTGACTATGAAGGTGTTGTAACATTATGGGATGCGATAACAGGCCAAACTTTGAATGAGTTTGAAGAACATGAAAAGCGTATTTGGTGTGTTGACTTTTCTAAAGTGGAGCCTACGAGGTTTGCTTCTGCTTCAGATGATGGAAAGGTGAAGATTTGGAGTAGTTTACAGTTGAATTCTGTAGCAACAATAGAGAATAGGTAAGTGATAAAAAAGAAGAACAAGTGAAGATGGAATTGATTTGTTTAGAGCAAATGTCTGTTGTGTTCAATTTCATCCTACAATGGAACATTTGATATCTTTTGGTTCAGCTGATCATCAAGTTTATATGTATGACTTGCGTCAAACCAAACAAGCATTGCAAGTATTAAGAGGTCATCGAAAGGCAGTCTCTTATATCCAATTCTTGAATGGTTTTCATTTGGTAAGTTTTATGTTTTTGTAAAGAGTAATAGTGCATAAGATTGTATCTTCATAGGTCAGTGCCTCAACAGATAATACATTAAAGTTATGGAATGTATCCCAGTCTAGTGTCGTACAAAGAAGTTTTCAAGGACATCGAAATGAAAAAAACTTTGTTGGATTATCGACGAATGAAGAATATATTGCATGTGGAAGTGAAAATAATGCTGTTTATGTGTATTATAAGGAAATAAGTATTCCCATGTTATTGTATCGGTAAGTATTCTTATTATCATCATGATATATGAATATGATTGGCATAACAACTTTATTAGAATGAATAGTGAGAATCCACTAACTGGTGAAGAGACTAGAGGAGATACTACACATTTTGTCAGTTCTGTTTGTTGGTGTCCTAAAAGACCTCAACTGATTGTGGTTGCCAACAGTCAAGGAACCATTAAAGTATTAGAAATGATTCCTGGTTCCTAACTGTTCTTGTGAGATCCTATTCTACCACAGCCATAGGCTTCCTTATCCCTGGACGTTCATCGCTGATCAATTCTATATACTCTTTTAAGAAAATATTACAACTTGGGTCTCTTAGTTTCCTTAAAGCCTGAGTTTCAATCTGTCGAACTCTTTCACGAGTAACACAAAATAAATGACCAACTTCACCTAAGCTTTTTGTTCTTCCATCATCTAAACCAAAACGCATACGGATGATTTCTCTTTCACGAAGATTCAAAACAGTCAAAGCTCTTTCCAAATCATATCTTAACGAACTACAAACAGCATTCTCTTCTGGAGTTTCTCCTGTGGAATGAACAACATCTGCCAAAGTAGTACGACATTCCATATCATGACCTATTGGCATTTCTAAACTCAAAGCTGATTGTGTCCGTTGTAATAAAAATATCACTTTCTCTTCTGGCATACCCACTTTCATAGCAATCTCCAACTTGGTGGGTTCTCTTCCAAGACTAGTCATCAATTCTAATGAACATTTACGAATATCTTTAATCATTTCATTCACATGCACTGGTAACCGAAACATTCTCGAACATTCTAAAAGTGCTTTATGAATTCCTTGTCTTATCCACCACGAAGCGTAAGTAGAAAATCGAAATCCTCTATGAGCATCATATTTTTCTACTCCACGAATCAACCCAATGCTGCCTTCTTGAACCAAATCCTGAAAAGCAACACCTCTATTCCTATATCGCTTAGCAAAACATATCACAAGACGAAGATTGGCAGCAACCATTCGATTCTTTGCTCGACGACCTTTTATTAACTTTCCTCTCAATTCAGAAACGGAAAGATTAGCTTCCCATGCCCATTCATTTTCTCGAGGCAAACGACCCATCTTTCTTCTCAAGTCTTCTCGAACTGCTTCTAAACGTGTCAATCTGGCAATTTCTTCACATATTACTTTCTCTTCTACTAAAGATAGACGATTGACTTGGCCAATTTCTGATAAATAAGTATTCAAGGAATCGACGCGACGAGAGTTTATTCCTTTTCCTTTCTTTCCATTGGCTTCGTTATTATTACGATATGAGTCGCGATAATCCAATAAACGAGCAACCGTATTAGCTGCCATTTCAATTTCCTTGATCGTTACTTCTTCTTCTTCTTCTTGAATCCTTTCCAGTACTTGAACAACTCTCTTTTCACGTAAGGAACGATCTATTTCCACCAAATGATGACCAGTGGGAACTACAACTTGCTTTTGTATTCTCTTTCTTCTCTCATTGACAAAATATTCCCATTCCTTCCACCATTCATGCAATGATAAATATCCTGTTGTGCTTTCTAATCGTTGCATCACATTATGTAATATATCAAAAACTGCTTTTTGGCATTCCACTGCATCGTCTTCCCACAATTGAGATGAAAATATCGAATTCCAATCATAACGATTTCGTTTTCTACTTTTGACTTTTTTATACTTTTTGTAACTCGTTGCCTTTACTTTCTTCCATTTCCGTTTTTCCAATTGGATCACTTTATGTTCATTATGACTATTCTGATGAGATACACCGGTTGTCGTAGCTGTGGTTTCCTGTTTCCTTTTTAAAATACTTTCCAATGCCAATTCCACCAAATATCTCTTTTCAGGGTCTGCTCGAATAAACTCGTTGGCTACTTCTATTAACAAAGCATCGTCTTCCGTGGTTGCCAACTTTAATAAACCTGCACGTATGAGATGAAATGACTCTGTTTGTTCTTTGATACTAACAGCTGCAATCATTTTCCAACCCTAACCCCAGTGTTAGTATATATTCACGATATGACAAAGAATTCTCAGGAGTATGTGAGTGAAGTTTTTGACACTGCAGTGGCTATCCAAACTACCAAAAGCCACCGAGTAACACGACTCACTATATACTATCGCAAACGATTTGAGCATCCTGTTGACCCATTTTCCAACAAGAGCCTTCGAAAGTTTGCTTATAAAATCTCTTAAGCTTCCTTACCATCGATTGGTTTCCATAGTCCAACCCACGTCTCCATCCCCTTCTGGGTGCATATCCACGACGCAAGTGGTCTTTCCTTGCCACAAAAAAACTACAAGATGCTTTGGTACTTTTCCTAAAAGCAGTGAATATTCCAGTGCATCCATAACATGCTGCTTTCGAAAGCATCCCAAATGGGCCGTTACTACAAGAGGGAACAAAACAAGGCCGACGACTGGAAAAGATCCACTCCCGGTGAGCGTGATAGCAAGTCATAGTAACGATACAATTGATTTCTTTTTCCAACACACTTTTTCTAAAATCTAACAAATGGAGCGATGAAAGAAAAGGTTATGGGGTTTGGCTTTCTATCGATGATAACCCAACGAGCACGCTCAATATCACGCCACCACCACCACCACAATGAAAACAAAAACTCCTTGAATCGATCTCTCAAGTCTATTTGGATTTTTTCATGGATAAGCAAACTTTGTGAATAGAAGAATGTATATATATATATATATAGTATATAGATAGATATCGATATATCTTTTAGTGTAAATGAAAGCTATAAATAGAATGATTTTCTTATTCCGATGCAAGAAATGAACCCTGAGCCACCTTTATGGGTCGACTTGGAAAGAATATCCTGTAAAGAGTGTCAAAGTCCTTGTGTTTTCAACCACGGTACTATTGTTTGTTCCAACTGTGGTTTAGCTTTTGAAGAAGAATCGAGTTTGTTGCAATTAGGACAAGAAAGAGAGACACGTGGGTCGTCCTTTATAGGACGTTCCTCTCCATCTTTTCAGTGTTCTTATTCTTTCTATAAGGATTCTACCACTCGTCAAGAAAGAGCAACAAGGATGTTATTCAACAAGTGCAAAGAAATTGTTGGAAAACTAGCTCTAGATGGTGGTTTATTGACTCCTTTGGATTCCCTCGTTACTAGGACAGCTCTACTTGTATGGCCCTGTCATAAGCATTGGTTGTCAGCCTCGTGTGCAGCTTGTGTCTATATTGTTGCTCGAATGCACTTCAAAGCAGTGAATATGACGGATTGTTCAATAGCCGCCCGTTGTATGGTAAGCGAAACGGGTAGAGTTTATCAGCAGTTGGTAGCTGAGTTGGAGTTGGCCATTCCACCTGGAGACCCTTTTGCACTGTTATGGCGTGTTTGTCATATTCTGTTGACTTGTTTATTTCCCGACTCAGAAAAGCAGCGGTCTTGTTCATTGGGTAATTTGTATCACTTGAGTTGTAATCTATTGTGGTATGCTGAACAAAGGTATGTTGCTTATTTCATCATATTCTCCATTCTTATGTGGACAATTACTTAAAAAGATGGTTGCTTACTGGAAGAAAACCTATTCATATTGTCATTGCTGCATCGACATTGGCAGCAACTTGTTGTGGTTTGCTCAACCAAGAAAGACGTAGACAATTGTGGATAGATATGTCGAAGCATTTATCGAGTACAGAACAGAGTATTCGACAACGATACAAAGAATTCATAGACTCTTTATTGAAAGATGCAAAAGTGTTATTACCTTGGGCTGACCAACTTGATAGGAAAAACATATATCAGAATGTTTCCTTGTTATTAACTATATTAGGATATTGTTCCAACGAGGAAACGACTGATGAAGAAGATCATTCACAAACCACGGAAACGTTTTTGCCTCCTTGTGTTCAACAAGTAAAAAGCAAATCAAAACACAAAAATAAAGATACGCTCCACACCAATTCTATGTAACATTGGAAATAGAAAGCATCAACTTGTTCCTTCCATCCATCGACGAACTTGAACGGAATTGACAAAGGTGCCATTGGATACCAACATATCACTGAGTATAACTATCAAGTCTCCACATTTGGCCATATTACGTTGTGTCATCTTCTTTAAAGCAGCAGAAACTGTTTCTTCTGGATGGTTTGAAAACGCTATTTGATATGCTTCAACTCCCCAATACAATGATAGTCTTCGCTTCAATCCTTCATCAGGTGTAAATGCCAATACAGGACAATTGGGACGAGCAGCAGAAACAGAACAAGCAATCTTTCCAGTCTTAGTAAATACGACAAGAGCACGAGCACTCAAATGATTAGCTAAGAATGCTGCAGATGAACACAACGCAGCTATAGAGGAGTCAACGAGGGAAGAAGAATCCTGACTACTAAATAATGATGGATATCGTTCATATTCATAAGGAAGTGTCCAAACACTTCGTGCAATAGTGCACATAGTATTCACAGCTTCCAAAGGAAACGAACCATTGGCCGTTTCACCACTCAACATGGTTGCATCGGCTCCTTGACGAACTGCTTCTGAAACATCCGTCACTTCTGCTCGTGTTGGACTGGGAAAAGATATCATAGATTCCAACATATGAGTAGCAACAATGGTTGGTTTTTGTAGTCTTCGATTAATTCGAACAATTTCTTCTTGTACAAGAGGAACATCTTCAACAGGAATTTCAGCTCCCAAGTCGCCACGAGCTACCTATCAAGTGTGTCAGTTTCTTCAGTGCGTCATTAAAAAAAAGTAATTACCATTGCACCATCGGATGCTTTCAAAATGGGCTCCAGTCTTTGCACTGCGGCTGCTGACTCAATCTTGGAAATAACCAAAGCAGATGAACCATGCTCTAATAAATATTTCTTCAAATGTTGTACATCATCTTCATGTTTCACAAAAGAAAGAGCAATGAAATCTACATCGTTTCGAATCCCAAAGTCGATATCTAACCAATCTTTTTCCGTAATAGCTGGTAGTGAAGCGGTCTTTCCTCTTACATTGAGATGTCGGCGACTCGTTAATATCCCACTTTCTAAACATTCCGTGATCACATCCACATCTGTTACTTGCTTCACAAGAAACGAACAGATTCCACCATCTACTAATAACACATCTCCAGGACGAATATCGGATACAAAATCATCATAATTCACATCGGTGGTAAAAGGTTCATAATCGACTTGTCTACGAATAGTAAACGTGAATCGAGTGCCTTTTTCTACATAAACTGGTTCTTTGAGGTCACCAGAACGAACTTCAGGGCCTTTGGTATCTAACAAAATTCCAATATTCCATCCAGACTCTTTGTTCAACTGTTTGACATGATTGATCACCTGTTGATGCCACTCATGGGTACCATGTGACATATTCATTCGCAAAACATTCATACCGTGCTCAGCCAACTTTTTTATCATCTCGAAAGAACAAGTCTTTGGGCCAATGGTGCAAACCACTTTGGAAGGGTGCTTCGTATTAGCTAAGAGTTCCTTGTACTCTGCCAACTTGGACAATTGGTTTAGTTCTTCTTCAAGTACGCCATTTACCAGCTGTGTAGCAAATATCCCTATAGTCGATTGTCTGTAACGATCGGTATCAGTGGAAGACGACGAAATAGACCTGTTGAAAGAGCGGCAACCAGAATAAGCTCCATAAAAGGTACTCTTGCTACTTGTCAAGCTATTTACTGAGAATCGTGAGGCTTTCTTATGATATGAACTATAGAGCACAAATGGTACAAAGCAAATAGACGACGAATGCTTCTCCATCCTGGGTGACCACATCGGTTGGGTTGATTGCTAACGGGAGTTTTCAAAATATTCGTCTGAAAAAGAAATGGGATTTCATTACTAGAAAACTTGGAAATACTTTTCAACTGTTGTTGGTGAATGCAGTCCAGAATGTTAGCGTTCATCGATGTTGCAGCCAACTTGACAGATCCTATGTTTCAAGGAATATATAACCAAGTAGAGAGACATGTACCAGATTTGTCTACTGTATTGGACAGAGCTAGAGAAGCAGGTGTGTTTCGTATTTTGATAACCGCAGGCTCTGTAGAGATGGCAAGAGAAGCAGTTGAGTTGATAAGTGAGTCACCGAGTCTCTTTAGTACTGTAGGTATTCACCCAACAAGATGTGACGTTTTTGGGGATGCACAGAGTGTCAGCAATATGAAACAGATACAGAACCTTGTTGATATAGCGTCCTCTGCCAAAGGAAAGGTAGTTGCTGTTGGGGAATGTGGACTTGACTATGATCGAACGACGTTTTGTGATAAAGGTCGACAGCAGATAGGATTTGAATATCATTTTCTACTAGCAGAACAACTAAAGCTTCCAATACTTTTTCATAATCGCAACACAGGTGGAGACTTTGTCAAGATAGTTCAGAAACATCGCGACAGGTTCGAAAACGGAGTTGTACATTCGTTTACAGGAAACAAAGATGAACTGAAGCAGCTACTAGACTTAAACCTTTATGTAGGCATAAACGGCTGTTCTCTTAAAACCGAAGAAAATCTATCTGTCGTTCAAAAGGTGCCTCTCGAGCGCTTAGTCTTAGAAACCGATTGTCCTTATTGTGAAATAAGAAAAACGCATGCTGGTTATCATTGGATACAAAGTCATTGGAAAACTGTATCACACAAGAAATATGAAACTGGAAGTTGTGTCAAAGGAAGGACTGAGCCATGTCATATTCGACAAGTTGCAGAAATTGTTTCCAAACTTCATGAAGTCTCCATAGAACAAGTAGCCAAACAAGCCTTCCATAATACTATGAAAATATTCTTTCCTGAAGAATCCGCCAACGGCATTTATGACTCACTTTTCGAGACAATTCGAAACCATTCGTAAATGAAACCATTGCGCGCCATTTTTGATAGCATTTTTTTCACTTTTGACAATTTAGCTTTTCTATAACATTTGCCATTTGATATTTCATAATGGGCTGTCCTTTACGAGTTCGCAAAGTTAATTTTCTATGCTGCAGATAATATTTTAGTGAAATTGTTTCCAAAAATATATCTTACACCTACCTTGTTCTTACGTTTCTGTAGATGAACCATTTTTTCTTTCTTTCGAGACTCGAGTACCTGTTGAAACGATTCCATAACAGGCGTTGCGGTGTATTGTTGTGAAACAGTTGCGCCCTCATCACAAGTTTTTTTGCTTGATAAAAGTGTTTCTTGTTCGAAGTTCTGTACTTGTTGTCTTTGACAAGCTTTTGGTTCCTCTTTCTTATCTTGTTCCAGTGACGTAGTTTCTTCACCATACCAGCCTTTTATACTGTATTGTTGCAATTCACCTTTCTTCTCCAACTGAGCCAACCATTTTTTATATTCTTTGACTCTGCGACGGTCTCTATTTTTCTTCTGTTGCTTTTTGTTTAAAATAGTTTGGAAACGTTGGACTTGGTCTCCTTGTCTCTTTAATAACTTGTGAACTTGAATACCTTGTCGTCCCGGTGGTGGTGGCATTGGAATAAGGTGAATCAATGTTATTTTGTCGATGGTGTCATAACCTTTTGATGTTGGAAAGACAACAGGACTCGTTTCGTTTTATATGCAGAACGTGTCCTTTTTATTACCAAGTAGAAGGAAAGATGGAAAGAAAGGTATTTGGTTTACAGAAAAAGCAGGAAGCTGATATATTGGGTGGTGATAAACAATGGGAGTTGGTATGTAAATCCCTTCGTTCAATAGCAACGATTCGATTGAAGCTATTTTAGGCCGACCAAACAGATACCTTGTGTCCACGTTGTTCTCATGGAAAGGCTTATTTCTTTCAAATGCAAACGCGTTCGGCAGACGAACCTATGTCAACGTTCTATCGCTGTGTTCATTGTGGACATCAGTGGAAAGAAAATTGAATACTGGAACATATACTTGTGGAGTTATGTATCACTACAACTCGTAAAATTCTAATATGAAATAGATTGATTACGATAACAAGAGTTGAAATAACCATTTCGTATCTTATACAAAAATGGCCATTGCTTTTGTGATAGCGTTGTGTGGATGGAAACACCGTCGACAGTCTTACGACTTTGTCAAACAGCGAACAACGCAAACCTCTTTTTGTCAGTTTTACTACAAGAAGTATCATACTGTGTATTCTCAATTAGATATTCAACGAGAGTTTTCTTACTTGAGAGAACGAGTCGATGATGTTTTCAAGTCGATAGCTATGGACCGACTGAGGAAAGAGGTTAGTGCATCTGGGCTATACTTAAGTTTCTGGAAAATGGATTTTTGTGGTTTTAGATAGAATTACTTCAACTGGAAACCAACGATGCCAGCTTCTGGGAGAACAAGACGCAAGCGGAAAAAGTCTTGAAGGATTTGTCTTCCAAACGCTATAAACTAGAAAAATTCAGCAGTTGGGAACAGCGTTTGCAGGATTTGCAAGCCTATTTACAGTTGCAGTCCACTGAAGGAGAACCTGATAGTTCTTTACTGGAAGAAGCCACTCAACATATTGTACAACTGAAAAAAGAGTTGAACCGCTGGGAGACGCAACACTTGTTTTCCGGTAGATATGATGTCAATGCAGCAATGTTAACTATTACAGCTGGTGCAGGTGGAACAGATGCTCAAGATTGGGCTTCTTTACTGCTCCGAATGTATACGAGATGGTGTGAAAGACAAGATTTTTCGTTTACTGTAGTGGATATCGCAGATGGAGAAGAAGCAGGAGTAAAGTCTGCTTATCTACAGATACAGAATGAATATGCTTATGGCTATCTTCAAGGAGAAAAAGGTGCTCATCGATTGGTTCGTCTCTCACCTTTTAATGCGAACAACAAACGACAAACAAGTTTTGCTGGTGTGGACGTTATACCTTTGTTACAAGAAGAAGAATTGGAAACACTTATTATTCCACCTGAAGACTTGGTAGTAACAACAGTACGTTACAATTTAGGTTCATTTTATGATTATGATGAATGGATAGTGTTGTAGATGCGTGCTGGTGGTAAAGGTGGACAAAATGTGAACAAAGTAGAAACAGCTGTTCGTATACATCATATTCCATCAGGTATCCAAGTAAGAAGTGCAAAAGAAAGAAGTCAATACCAAAACAAACAAATTGCCATGCAACTGTTACGTTCCAAATTGTTATTACTTGAAAAGGAGCGAATGGAAAGAGTTCGAAATGAAGTAAGAGGAGATGTGGTAGAAGCTGAATGGGGCAACCAGATAAGAAACTATGTTTTTCATCCTTACAAAGTTGTCAAGGACCTTCGAACCAATGTAGAAAAGGGAGATGTGGAGTCTGTATTGGATGGAGACTTGGATGACTTTATTCATGCCTTTCTACGATGGAATGCATCTAAGAGACAACAACAGAGTACATAAGAATGATGTTTATAAAGGTAGGGAATTCCCAAAAGGAAGACATAATCCTTGTTTCTAATTGCAAGTATATGTCTCTTTAGCAAAATGAATTACTATACTTTTGATTTTACTCATCGCTTCTAAACTATATAAAACTCCTTGAGAGCCGATACCGGAATCTTTCCAACCTTGAAATGGAAAATGATCAGGACCACGTGCTGGTTGTCCATTAAGATGAATGGTTCCAGTCTTGAGGAAGTCTGCTAGAAACATAGCATTTTCCATATTCCTTGAGAAAATGGATGCCTGTAATCCCATGGGACTCTTATTGACCATTTCTATTGCTTGTACTTCCGAGTCGACTCGAACGATGGGCAATAACGGTCCAAAAGGTTCTTCCCAAGCTACTCGCATATTCTTGTCAACATGATCCAATATAGTTGGCCATATAAGATTATCTTTTCTCTTAAAGGGAGTTACTTGTTTGGCTCCCTTTTGAATGGCATCTTGAACCAATTTTTCGATATAATCTGCAGAGGAATGATGAACCACTGGTGTTATATCGGCATTATCTTGTGGAGATCCCACCGATAACTTTTCCACTTGTTCTTTCAATCCATCTACCAGAGCATCTGCTACTTGTTTTACAACATACACAATCTTCACTGCAGTACATCTCTGGCCATTATAAGAAAATGCACCGGAAGCAATAGAAGAAATGGATTGTTGTAAATCTGCATCACAAACTACAATGGCTGCATCTTTTCCTCCTAGTTCCATTTGTAAAGGAATCATTCCAGCCTTTTTGGAAACTGATAGACCCGTATGAGTACCTCCCGTAAGAGAAATAGCATTCACCAAAGGGTGAGTTACCAAATAGTCACCTATTTCTGATCCTTTTCCTGTAAGTACATTGACAACTCCACGAGGTATACCAGCCAAATGAAATGCTGCTGCAAGATACAAACAAGATATGACTCCATGACTAGGAGTTTTGATAACTACACTATTTCCCATCATCAATGCTGGAGCAACTTTGGAAGCACACAAGTTCACTGGATAGTTGAATGGAGGAATACATAACACAACTCCTAAAGGGACTCGATGTATAAGGCAAAGCTGATTTCGTTTTTGTCCTGGAAAGGAATCGGGGTACATCAGTTTTCCACTTAGTCGCATACCTAACCGTCGTTATTCTATGAAAATCGATATTGTAATCCATGCGTATATATACCTTCTTCAGCTACATATTCTATCAAGTCTGCTGTTCTTACTACTTCTGAAATCGCATTTTTACGATTTTTGGCTATTTCATTCATTAAAGAGTTGGCAATCTCATCTTGGTGTGAACGAAGTATAATAGCTGCTTGTTTTAGGTATTCTGCTCTCTTCCACAGCGGTGTTTTTGCCCACATAACCTATAGAAATCAGTCACTGATGTTATCACTTGTGGAAAAGACACATCTCAAGACGACTTACTTGGGAAGCAGCTGCAGCATGAAAAGCTTGGTTGGCATCTTCACTCGAACAAGACTGGTAAGTGTATATTTCTGTCCCATTACAAGGTGAATGTTCTTTGCATACTTTTCCAGTACTGCTTGTTCCTATACACACCAAAAAGATGAGTTCTATCGTCAACAAGACAATGATAATATCCAAGCAGTGCTTACTCCATTCTCCATTCAAGAGGTAGAAGAAGACATTGTCTTTTTCCATTTTGGAAAGAGTAGCTAATGTAGGTTGGGTCCCCTTGGTTGTTTTAGTCATGAGTATACCATCATCAGTGCTAGTTTCTAGGACACCATATCATAGAGATTATTTGATATCATGTACAGAAATTGAATGTTTACCTTTGCGTATTTTTGTACTGGTTTCATAACAGGCATGTTTTTTGGGTTGCTTCTTCCAGATATCATTTGGTTTTGAACAGAGCAACGAACAAATGTTGGTATTGGTCTATTGCTTGTGAAATAACCTAGAAATGATGAAGAGAAAATGTTGCAATCCTTCTTTGGATGAACTGCAAGTTGCAAGTTGATTGTAGGTGTTACAAAAGTCATGATTGCGAGTTGAATGGAAAATGTGAAAATGTCAAAAAATGACCTGATGAAAATGGCATTTCTACATAAAATATGAAGAAAATGGCCGGCGAAGGAGGAAGAAATTTCTCAATTCCTACCAACAGATGTGAAAAACCCTTTGTGCCTGTTATATTCTTAGACCATTTCAAATCTCTACAAGGTAATCGTATATATAACAGACCTTGATAAGCCTTGCTTTTGTTTAGAAAAGGAACGAAATAGCCCACTTGCCACAAAAGCTATTCTTAGTTGCAAAACTAACAACAACGTTATGGTACTTGATAGTTATAAATATTTCAACGACCCTAATAAAACTTGTTCCCAAAGTCGATAACTTATGTCCAAGTCTCTTATAATATCCTTTTGTCACTTTAGCCATTCATTCCATCATCAGGAGTTTCTATTCGAAATTTCCAAAGTTCTTTGGAAGGAGGCGGATTTGTCCGGTGATACTCATTTTGTATTTGTTGGTTTTGGTGGCTCTTTTGAGTGCTGTTTGTGTGTGTTGGTTATCTTGTATTTGGGAAGAGTAACAATTGGTCGTTCACCCTAAAAAGTTGCTGTTACAACAACTTGTAACTGGTTTGTTCTTGCATGTCGTGTGATTGTGGGCGCTGTATTGAATAATAGTATTGTTGTGGCATTCAGCAGTACGCACACGCACATACACACACAATATATATATATTGAAGAAATATTCTGTCGTTGAATATATTATAGTGAGGTTTTCGTTTGTTGAAGAAAAGGGGATTGGTGTGAAACCGCCTCCATCCCACTCTTTGATAACAACATAGCATTGGAAAGACATTTATTTTCCAAAAAGTATATCGAGTTGACTCGTTGGAATATGAATATGTTTTCCTATTCTACCATAGAAACTCCGAAATATGTCCGTTCCAACTCATCGGACGATAGAAAGCTGGACAGCACAACAACCCTCATTGGTCAACAACCGAATCAAACAACAACTTCTTCTCGTTCATCAAAAGGCGAAAACAACAACTCATTCAACCCCAACTGTTATCCTTATGAGGCACTGCAATGTACAAGTGAAGGAGAAATGATATCGTCAGCAGTGGAAAGTATGCATTCCGTGGATGAAGAGACTCAGCGAGATAACAATAGACGTCGAAAACCTTATGTTATGAAAAAACCACGAGAAGTATGGACTACAGAAGAACATCAACGATTCGTGGAAGCTGTCCATTTGTATCATAGAGATTGGAAACAAATTGAGAAATATGTCGCAACAAAGAATGTATTACAAATTCGATCGCATGCACAAAAGTATTTTCACAAAGTTCAAAAATATCAAACGGGAGAATATGTACCACCTCCGAGACCCAAACGAAAATATTCTCATACTAAACAACAACAACAACAAAGAGAAGAAGAAAAATGTATTTATTCCTCTTCCTTACAAGATGGAATATCTAAGAATGAAAATTTTGATGATTCATTGTTGTTGTTATCATCTTCGAATAACGAGGTTGAGAATAACAGAGTACTTCCACAAGGTCCTGGACCTCCCAACAACTCTTCAGAGATAAAGTTGGCCAATCATTTCAAGTGGAGAAAACAAGACAACTCTTCCAATGATAACTCTACTACTAGGTTTCATTCATATGTTCATCAACCTCTATATTCTTCGGTCAATGGATATTCATCATGTGCAATATTTAACCCTACAATGGATACTTCATTTCAGGTAATGCCACAAGCTACAACATATAACAAACAAAATAATGGGATGGAACAAGAGACTCATCATCATTCTAATGCAATCATTCCTTTGAATATGTATCCCACAGCTGTTTGGATACCTTCTACATCTGGTTGGTGTCTTGTACCAGTTTATCCATATCTAAATAGTAATCCTCACTATGATGGTATGAAATGGAATGGTGGTATGCCAAGTATGGCTAGTTTTCCTTATCATCCAAGTTCATCATCATTAGTAGAGTCCAATTGTGATGGGAAACTCACGACAACAAATAAGCTTTTTCAAAAGGTTGACCAGGAAATATCAATACATTCAAATGATGAACCTTGTTCAGATGTGGAAGTGCGTCAAAATTGTGATGGTTCGCAGAATTCTTCAGATCCTCGTTCCAATAGCTCTTCTCCTCATTCATGTGAAAACAAGTGTTGTGAAGTTAACCCAACGTCACAACCTTCGACACAAATGTCACATTTATTATCAGTGGCTCTTCAGGATTGGGTGGAATGGAATCAAGAATAGAAGTTGGAATATTTTTTTTCTCTTTCTCTCTTTATATATATATATATATATATATATATATATTATGTGGAAAAAAGGAGGCTTATATAATCATTCATTCATGAAAGAAACAATCCAAAGATGTATAAAACGGAGCATATCTTATTATTTATGGATTCCCCAACATTGTAATAGAAAAGCATACTGAAGTGCATCTTCTAACAAACGATCATATCGACCACTTTTAGAAAAGTGTCCACCATCCAAGTTCACTTTCAGCAACACAGGATAATCATCTTTCTTACAATCACGTAGTTTCAATACCCATTTTGCAGGTTCCCAATAACCTACTCGAGGATCATGTAAACCAGCAGTTACCAAAATAGGAGGATATTTCTTATGTTGAATATTATCATAAGGTGAATAAGATAAAATGTAATCATAATATTCTTTTTGACGAGGATCTCCCCATTCTTCACGTTCCTTAATAGTCAATGGAATAGTATCATCCAACATGGTAGTTAAGACATCCACAAAAGGAACTCCTGCAAAGGCTCCACAAAATAAGTCTTCAGGTGCCATATTTAAAGTGGCGCCTATTAACAATCCACCTGCACTCCTTCCACTTATGGCTACTTTACCAGCACTCGAATATTTTTGTTCCAACAAATAATTGCAAACATCCAGAAAATCGGTAAAGGTATTCTTCTTATTTAGATATTTCCCTTGTTCATACCATTCTCTTCCTAATTCTCCTCCACCTCGAACATGTGCAATAGCAAATACAACACCTCGATCCAACAGACTCAAAAGACCTATACTCATCATTTTAGGTGATCATGAATGAGACATATCATTCACTTACCAGAATCGAATACAGGATCATTGCTTATTTCATAGGCACCATAACCTTCCAATAATAAAGGTGATGTTCCATCTTGATGAAATAAATCTTTCTTATATACGATAGAAACGGGTATATTGGCACCATCTCGAGAAGGAGCCCATAATCGTTTGGTCACATAATCCTGTAAGCGAGTATGGAGGATGCCTTGTCTCCATTTCAATACCATTTGATAAGTATTCAAATCAATATCATAAACTGAATTAGGACAAGCCAAAGAACTATATTCAATACGTGCCACCGATGAGTGATATTCTCCTGATAAATGAGAAAGACTATAAGCTTCTTCAGGAAAATGAATAAGATGAGGAGATGAAAGAAGATTTTTGTCAAAAGTATAAATTGCCACTTCCTGTAATCCATTTCTACGTTGTAAAACTACCAAATGATTCACAAAAGTACGAAAGTCTTCGAGTACTATCCTTTCTTGTTTTTCATGATGTGGGATAAGTTCTTCAAGATGGTCAGGATTAGATAAAGGGGCCAAGCATATCTTTCTATTCGGAGCATTTTCATTGGTCAAGTAATAAAAATAATTTTCTCTATCACAAACATCATAATCGACTCCCTTGTATTATTCATCAACTTTCTGTTTGTATATAAAAGGATTTCATATCACTTACTTGTTTACGAGGAAGCAACACTTTCCAAGATGAATTGGGACGATTGGCATCCAAAGCAGAGACTTCACTGGTTTCTGCACTACGACAATGCAAATAAATGAAACGATCACTGGGCGACTTGTGCAAAGATAAATAATAAGCATCGTCACGTTCTCTATATAATGTGGCATCTTCGAATGAAGATTGGTTCAGTCTATGTCTCCATAATCGATCTGGTCGATCTAAACTATCTTTGGTAAGATAAAATAAGGTTTCATTATCATTGGCCCAAGCAATATCTCCTGAACATTCCCTGATAATATCGTCTAATAAAGTGCCTAAACATATTCTTCAAAACAAAACTTTCACAAGATAAAGTCTATTTACCATCATTCAAGTTTTTGAACCTTATAACATATCTTTCTGCTCCACTCGTATCATATGCATAGGCTAACAAAGAGTGATCTGTACTTACTTCAAAAGCTCCTACTCTAAAGTTTTCATAGCCAGCTGCCAATTGATTGGCGTCCAATAATATTTCTTCTGGTTGTGACTCGTCCATCTTATCACCTACAGAGACGGACGAGGTATCATTTACTACCACTCTTCTACGACAATAGATAGGAAATTGTTTTCCTGTCTCCATTCGTTGATAATAATAATAGGGACCTTTCCTATAAGGAAACTTGGCATAGTCATCCTGTTTGATGCGTTGTTTCATTTCTTCAAACAATACTTGTTGTAGTCCTTTCGTATCAGCCAGTGTTGAGTCGACATATTCATTTTCCCTTTCCAAGTGGTCGATAATCTCTCTATCACTTCTAGAATTATCTCTTAACCAGTAAAACTCATCAATTCGGACCTGTCCATGAGCATCCATAGCAAAGGGTCTCCTAGTAGGTACTGGTGGTGCGATTTTGGCAGCAAGATCGGCGAGCACGGGTTTATTCCATAACCACTCTGTTGCGATATAAGCAGTTGCAAGTGACATACTCACTCTCAATATTCTGCTCATTTTTCAACTTTGATATTCTCTCACTCTATAAACACAAGTTGTTGGAACAAAGAAGTTGTTGACAGCCACGGAATTGTTCCAATATGTCTACGATTACTAAAATTGCTTTGGAACCTTTTGCTTATCGACACTTTCAACCGGACTTTGCTGGTAAATGGACAAGTGTTGACTTCACTTTGGCTATCCTAATATAGTTATATATATATATATATTGCAGGAACTAAAATTACTATTCCTAAACAAGAATTTGTTTCCAAAATCAACGAATATTATGAAACTTGTGAAAAAGCTACCGAGGCAAGTATGAGTCTTGTTTGTATATATATAGTANAGTGTATGTTTATATATATATATAGAATAGTGTTGTTGAAGTCGTTGATAGTTGTATTTGTTTCGGTTTTGTGCGTTGCTAGTTTGATATGCTTGGTTTTGTAGGTGCTTGGTTTGTACGCGTACTTCTGTAGGTGCTATGGTTGGTAAGTGTAAACCAGAGTGATTGGAGTTATTTTGATTATTATTCCTATGAAGGAGTTGTTCCCATAACGGAGTCCAACGAACACTTGTTGAAAACTGCCTACGAAGCAAGAACTCCACAAGTATGACTATTCTTCCCTTTTGGTTTTATTTCGAACTTGTCGATATTAGGAACTTCCAGTATTGACTCGATTCTTTCCTTCAAATAAGGTATCTACTTGGATAGCCAAGTAAGTAGCTTTCATATTGACTCCCTATTCATTGCCCTATGATTACACTTAGATATTTGGATATTGTTCTCTATCATAGACAACAAGTCATCAAGGAACGAACACAACGCGAAAGAGACGACTTGCCACTCGAGGTAACAAGGAATCCACCGATATTTTTCATTATTCAACTTTCTTTATTTGTTTGTTATGTAGCAAGCTGAATGGTATATTGTCAATATCAAAGCACAAGATGAAGACTATGAACTTCCAATGCAACCCATAACTATCATGAGAAATGCTTGTCTATCACAAGGCGGTAGTGGAATAGCGATCGATCGCCAACAATATATGCAATCTGTTCGTTATTGGTCACAACACGCCACAATAAAATAAAAAAATATTACATCTTCATTTCTTGGTTATTATGATTACCTTGACGAGTTGACGACCCATTTCTTCTTCTGCAAGTGGTTATCAGTGACAACAACTTTTCATTACAAGGAAGAGTTCGACAAAGTGGTGAATTGTACTTATCCCAATGAGTCAACCATTGATAAGCTTGTCTACATATAGCTGCAAAATTTCCATAAGTATCTCTCAAATACTTTTCATCTTTTGATAAAGACAACAACTTCCAATCTTCCGAATAACCCAATGCCACATGAGACAATACTTCACCCAATAAATATAACAATTGCATCATAATATATCCTCGAGTATGATTCTGCTGAAAAGAAGAACCCCAAAGAAAACTACAAACTTTCTTGTCTTGTAATAATAGCCATGAAACATAAATATCTGAAAAATGACAAATATTTTGTTGTAAATAGATCATATATTTGATACATAACAGAATACAACGCAACTCGGTATCTTCCAAAATATCAGATAAATAAGGCGGTCTTTCTATATAGGAAATAGGGTTGTTTCCTACATATATTAAAACTTGAATAGAAACTCCAACAACTTGTTCAACTATCCACAACATTTCAATGCCTTGTCTTTCAATAACTCTCGGTATTTTACAAAATTGCCAATGATTATCATTTTTATCCAATTCTTGTAGTAACAGTTCTTCCCTATTATGGGTCCAATGAGAAGTTGTCAAAGATAACAAAACGGAATCAAAAGGAAGATGATATTGTATAGCCATATCATCCAATACATTCACTGAACTCTCCTCCCATATGTTGTGCAACTTGTCTTTGAAAAATAACATGACTTCTCGTCTTTGATTCACATCTGATGAATTGTAACTTATATAATGTTCAAATAACTTTAGTTCCTCCGATAAACAATAATAAATACTTTCAGAACCAAATTTGTCTTTGATAGTTGATGATAGCCATGGGGGTTCAACTAACTCTGAAGTAGATAAGCTTTCATTATATTCTGAACCACTGAGAGGTCTAGAAACAACCAAGACATCTTTCAAAGACACTGGCATAATAGATGAACCCATTCTAACCTCTTCCAAGTCAGTTTCTGTCTTTGGGTGGTAACAATAATGACCGCCATAAAAACAGTAACCATTCTCTTGTAACTGAACAAGTGTTTGTGTAGAATAGGACAATGAACTTAAATTAGGAGTTGTATGGCTAGAAACGGGTAGACTAGAAGTAGATAAAGTTTCTGAGAAGGAAGTAGACTTGTAGTATTCTCGACTATTCATCATCTGTTCATCAAGTTCCCTAGTGTCTGATGTTGGCTTTAGGACTTTTTGTTGTTCCTTTAGAGTAAATTCATTTTCACTATGATAGATAAGAGTCTTCTTTCGGTGTTTAACATCGCTCACGTGCTTCTGAAGAAAGCTTTTGGTTGGTTCTACAGTAACCTTACAAACAGGACAATAGAAACAAGGGGAACCGTCATTAGTTTCCAACAACTGAATACTTTTTGCATAATTTCGTATTTCTTCAGGTATAAAACTATTTTGTCTCCAATCATTTCGTTTCTTTAAAGGAGTAACAAAACCTTTCATTTTGCAAAGAAGAATAATAAGGGAGAATAATCCAATAGAGAGAAATCCAATTGATATGTTTTCTTATTATGGGAAGAAGAATATTCTATTCATAAGGTTTATATATCATAATCGTTACTCTTACAAGTCAAAAGGAAGAAGAAGTATTGTATATGCTTGGGGTAACTCGGACGGTGGTTGGACTGGTCATTTGCCTAGTGAAGTAGCTGGCAAAGCAAGTTGAGACTTTTGTTTTCGTATTCTATAGACAAACAGGACTTAGGAATATGAAGACCACGTTTCAGGTGCTACTTCTGTATATCGACCCAAAATAGTCGCATCCTTACAAAGTAATTGCTGTTTTGTATTTATATATATGTGATATCTTTTCTCATGGGATACACTCTCGTTGATATCTAGATAAAAGTATTCGAGATGTCGCTTGTGGTCAAGGATTCACTTTATTTGTTACTCAACAAGGCCAAGTGTATTCTTCTGGTGTAGGTAGATATGGTCAGGTGAGTAAAAGAATGGGTTTTCAATTATTTTTTCGTTCACCTAGTTATCCTACTCTAGTTGGGTTTAGGTTCGTTGAAAGAAGTAGAAGGAATCACTTTGATTGATTCCATACCTGAAAAAGTAATAACTTGTGCTGCGGGAGATAGACATTCCTTGTTTGTCACAGGTAAGCAACTCTATGAGTACACTGTTTTCATTATCCAACTATGTCTTCTCATATATGACTTAGAACAAGGCCATCTTTATTCATGTGGTTATGGAAAGCGTGGAGAATTAGGATTAGGAACCATTAGTCGACGTATGGAAACTCCTCAACTAGTAGAATCTTTGGCTAGAGAAGAGGAAAAAATCATCAAAGTTGCAGCGGGACATGGATTTTCTATAGCTTTGTCGGAATCTGGCAAGGTATTTATAAATGATTAAATACATTGATGAATAATGAGAGCTATTTAGGTCTACAGTTTTGGTTCAGCAAACGATGGACATTTAGGACATGGAGAAGTACCTGGTGGAATTTTCTTATGGGAACCATTTCATTCTCATAGAAATATGGAAACGAGTCCTCGTTTGATAAGAGCGTTAGAAAAGGAACAAATGGAATATATTTCATGTGGTTCAGGACATGCGTTTGCTATCAATAAGGAAGGTGTAGCTTTTGGTTGGGGTTGTGGTCGATATCACTGTTTTGCAACTGATAATGAAGTCAATTGGGAACAACCTCAAGCCTTGTTTCATCTTCCTGGTCCTTGGAAACAAATAGTTTCTGGAGGAGCTCATACTTTAGGACTTACAAAAGGAGGTCAAGTTTGGGCTTGGGGTGTTAACCATTTTGGATGTTTAGGTGTCGGAGAACAACGTACTTCTCCTGGAGAACCTCGAATAGTAGAGAAACTATTACAACAGGCAAAAGAACCTATACAATGGATTGCAGCTGGATGGTTCTTTTCTATGGCTGTAGATAGTGAAGGATATGTGTACAGTTGGGGACGTGGACATGCCGGAGCACTTGGAACAGGAGAAGAAGAAGATAAATGGGAACCAGTTGCTATTCAAAATGAACAAGGAGAACCTCTTCAAGTGGATCGAATCTATGCTGGATTTAATTATGCCATCGCAGTCAAAGATGAATAGAAAGAAAAATGCATTCTTCTTTTGGCGCCATGGAAATGAAAACTTGTGTTGGTTTTTTGTATTGCACAAATAAACTTGGTACTAACTATGTTAAGCATACTTCACAATATCAACTTGGAAAAGATACTCAAATAGGGTCATTGGGAAGAACTACTAAACATAACTACCGTCGATCAACAAGACAAGTTCTCCGTGCTGTTGCTTCCAAGGAGAGTTCTACCCATGTGAGAAAACAACTGGCTGATAGTTTAAACGAAGAAGCACTCAAATTAGTGGGGTTCCTTCACGGGCATCGTACCCTATTCGTTGCTGGAAAAGGATTCGATACCGCTGCTGCAACGCTCTTTAGAAAACTTGATACTGCAAGTGCCTGTCCAACGGTAGGGAAAAATAAGTCTATTACATATAATCGACTTTGTTTTCTTAACGATGTTCTTCAGTTGCAAGAGTTGAACGTCAATCGTTCATCGTTACCGGGTATAGAAGCCGTGATTCCCATCGTTACGAACAAACAACACATCATCGATGTACTTTCACAGAACGCACACATAGAAAATGGTCAAATACCGCGCGAAGAAGAAGAAGAAGAAGATACCGTAGTAGAGACCGTATTATTTTCCCTATTTCAAAAGTTCTTTCGCATGCTAGTGTATGCTATCGCAACTTTTTCAATCGATTATGTGGATGAAAACAGTTTCATTTTGTTGGAAAACTTGTTCAGGGTAAGTTGGAAAAGTAATGGATCTAGTGGAAAAACTGGTTGAATGCATATACATTCGTTTTATTTATTTTGGGTATCTATAGGAAATGAAAGTGGAAAAGAGTGTGATCACGCAGCGTTTTAATATATTGAAAGAGCAAATACAACAATTAGTTCCTCATTATTTATGGAAAGAATGTTCCACGGTCATCAGTGTTTTAGAGACTCGGTTGCAACGAATGAACATTGCTTGAAATGGAATGACAAATACTTGGATTTCTTTATGGATTTAGGAATTGTCAAATGTCAACGTAAGGAAACCATTTTGGGATATCGATAAAGGACATCTCGTGGATGTTTAGAATGTCAACTTGCACGAGGTAAACTGTGGCTCCATATCTATTCTCGAATGAGTCATCAGTTGACCTTTTGGTATATTTGCTACATTCCACTTTCAGAAAGGTGTCGAACGTTTCTATTCGAAGTTAAAAGCGTTTATAGAATATCACTTGAAAAGGAGTTGCTTTTTGTCCACATGCAGTCTCTCTCTCTCTTACCGATGCCTTTGATATTTCACTATACAATATATATATATATATATATATGAAAGAAGGCGTCCTCTCAGACTCTTTGATCATTCAAGTTGGTTCTTCACCATGATTGCTCTTTCTGCCTATTCATTCTTTCGTTATGAGCTGGTTGTCACTTGAACACATCGTTGGTTTCATCCATTGGTGGCGTGAGTAGAGAAGATTGTAGCCATTCATTTCATTTTCATCTCCTTTCCCAGACTGATATAGTTCTCAGTATTGCAAGAGACTTGTTATGAATGGTTTCTGTGAGAGCAGAACAACTTTTCATTCTAATAGAAACAGGAAATTGACTTCCTTTCATCATTGCTGTCCTTTATATGGAAGCTCTCGTTACTATACACGAATCCTTAGGCGACTGACTAGAAACTGTCAACAATATCTTTCATGGACTTGTCATGGTGAAACCTTTGGAGTAGGTATCCTTCTTTTGTTTGTAATATGTTGGTGAGCGAAGATTGGAAAGGATCCAAACGCACGAAAATATCGAGTTACTGTTCGCAATCAAAGGACAGGAGAGTGCTACATTCGAGACGTACCAACAGATAGATATATCTGGTGGTCATTTTTAGAACAAGGAATTGAATTACCTTCTTCTTGTGTTAATGGCTGTTGTACTACTTGTGCCTGCAGAGTAGTTTCCGGAAGTAAGTACTGTCTTTGCTTCAGAATTTTTTTCATATCTTTTTGCTAGGAATAGAACAACCTTTGGCGTTAGGATTATTGAAAGAAATGAAAAACAAAAGATATGCTTTGCTGTGTGTTTCCTATCCAAAGTCTGATGTCGAAGTGGTACTGCAAGAAGAAGATGAAGTATACTGTCGACAGTTTGGAGATTCTTTTGAATCAGGAGGTAAGTGGTATATAACAGAGTCAAGTTTATTACTTCTATTTGCTGATTCCACTCACTCAGGTGTCGAATATGGAGGTATCATACCTGAAGATGATTGAGTTTCCAACCTAGTAAACTGAGTTGTCCAAACGATATATATTTCCTGTTCTACAAGATGACGGGCCACATCTCGTTTTGCTTTCATCGACAGTTTTCATAGAAAGCAAAGAATATATTCTAATCATACAAGGAATGTCTTAACTTTCACCGTTATCCAAGCGCACTCAATTATGTTACATATGATAACTGGTGTGAAATCTCCATTTGTCAAAAAATATATAACACATTCCGTTTCTAATCTTTATATATATATATATATATATATATATATATATGGATAGCTAAATGTTATTTTCTTCAAATTCCATAATATTGGCACAGACAGGACAATACCGACTTCTTTCAAGCCACTCATAAATACAAGAAAGATGAAAAGTATGGCCACATTTTGCTGTTATCTTCGGATTCTCCTCAGTATAAGGCTCCAAGCAAGTTGGACAGATATCCTCCTTCTCATCTTCAGAAACTAACTCATACACAGCAGTTGATTCTGGAACCAAAGGAGGTGGAGGAGGTGGTTTTGGTCCCTCTAACTTGTAACCACAGTCTGAACCAGAAACCACCAAAGGCACGGTCTCTCTTGATGACACACCCCAATCTTGATTGCTACGATTGGTGTTGTGACGATGTCTAGAAGCAGCAACGTCCTAATACTTGTAAGCACACTTCTCATAAATTGAGATACGAATAATACATTATTGGTTCTTGGACTGGATCGAGGTGTCCTTGGTTTTTCATCTGCTTTCGGCCGCAGTCTTCTGAATACCTCTGCAAAGCCCCGCCGCGAATTTTGTGGCGTACCAAAAGTATCTAAACGAGATGAACACAAAGAAAACTACAAAAGGCACAAACATACCTCCGCTTGTTTCCCTTGTGCGTCGGTGTTCAGCAACCTGACGTTCAAGAGAATGGGTATCCTCTGAAAACACTCTTTGAGGAGGTGAACCCACTGAAGAAATATGAGTTGTTGTTTCTGTACTCTGTGTAGTGACTGCAGGACTGCCTTGAGAACCGTTCACACCAATATCTGCTTGTTCACGGTGTGAACGGTTTACGCTATCTGAAGAACTTGAATTGCCCAGTTTGTCAAACTACAAGGCCCAACGCTTCCCAATGGCCATATTATGAAGGATGAGTCTATTCTCCATGACATCCAATGATTCAAGATAAAGCAACGAAGAATAGACTAATCATGGATTGGTTATTCGCATAGCCTAACATCCTAGTTGCTTCTAATAAACACATGTTTTTGAAATAACAACCACCCCGTTTCTCGATGGGGTCACAAATAAGAAGCAGTAAATGCTTTCGTTGTTTTCTTTCAACATGGCCTCCCCCCATCATCGTCCCCATGCACTTTTGAGGTGAGAAAATCCATTTGATTGGTGAGGTGCTGATTGGGAATCTCCGTCTCACATCATGTTTTATGCTTTTGTTCACCCCGTTCTTGATACCACCTACCACTACTCGAAACACACTTGGACAAAGAAGTGTCAAAATGGACTTTATCGTAAGTTGTTTATAACCATTTCAAACTTATAACATCGTGTTGTCAGGTACGTTACCTTGTCAAGCTTTGTCAGCAAAGAAGCTACCGACAACCACACTAAAAATGCAAATCGAATGCGCCGATCCTCATCGAAGGAAGCTTTTAGAAACTCTCTTGACTTCGTCACTGTTCTTCTTGCTGCCCAAAAATGCTTCTGCAAAGTCGGGAGAGTCAGCAAAGCTGTCTATATTTGGTGTTGAAGGTTTGAGTTCCCCTTTTACCGCAGATCTAAAGTCAAAAGGCCAACCATTATATAAAAATTTAAACGAAGAAGAAATTTCAAGATATACAAAGGCAATAACTGACGGAAAAGCTTCACTGTCCAAAATACCTGGGTATATTAACGAAAAAAGTTGGGAAGACATCAAGAGTTTAGTGCGTCAAAGAGTTGCAGATTTGAGATCAGCTCAAAAGAAGATGATGGCATCAATTTCAGAGCAAAGAATTCGACAGAAAGCTGAAAAACTTTACGATAGCTTCATAAAATCAATTGAGGACATAGACTACGCGGCGAGACAGAAGAATGGAGATAAAGTCCGTCAAGCACAACAGCAAGCGATGAAATTATTGCAAGAGTGGGCTTCAGCTGCCGGCGTTGCTATTTAATGTTACGGTTAAATAGCCAGTTGCTTCTTCTCATTGGTGAGACTTTTTTCTCTCGGGTGACATTGTTTTCATTTTGTTCAAATAAAAGACAATTCCCGTAAATATTACTGTTAGTGTCATAGAAGGATAAAAAATATTTAATTTTCAAATTATTTAAAAATTAAATAATTAACATCCAGGACTGTGAAGCTCAAATTATCATCGTCAAATTAACCATTTCTGAAATTTTTTATCGCCGTGAGAGGAAACATTTCTGTTTGTTTTTAATATTAAAAAAATAAATAAATATTAATGTTTCAATGATGTGCATGTTAAATTTTATCATTTTTCACAGTTAAATTTAACTGTCTTGCTTTTGTAATTGCGTCTTTGCATGACTTACAATTGTCGAAACAGCACGGTTGTTGTACTCTGTGGAGCTCCAGGTGCAGGCAAAACTACTTTTTGCAAGACCTTTTGTGAAAGTCTGGTCCCTCAGATTTTTTGTAGTACCGCAAAAAAATTTTACAGACTCTGTGAGTCGGCAAGTGCTGTGCACTTTTGTGTTTTGCATGTTGAGTACGATTTTGTTTACCGTCAACACGCCGATAGAACTTGTAAACATGGTTTTAACGCAGATTTATGGAAAAAAGGCTATCTGGTTGTGGAAGAAATTGTTAAATTTCTGCTTTCTGATAGATCTGAAGTTTGTTTGTCTCAGTCTTTGAGGAAGAAGGAGACTGGTTGGTTTCTTGAATATTCCAGTATCAACTTTGTTGAAACTCTTACTATACCTTTATATACAAACTGTTTAGAGTATTCAGATATTATTTCTGATAGCGTTCACTGGTTTATTCTACTTGACGATAATTTTATGTATGATAGCATGCGTCGTAGAGTTTTCAATCTTTGTCGTGTCTGTCGTGTACATTTTTTAATTTTTTATTTGACATTGCATCCTGCAAATTGTCTAGAGCGACTTTCACTCCGAGATGATTCACCTCCATTACAAGTGGTCAAGAGTACACTGGAACGTTTTGAAAGTCCCAAGAGAGTTGGATCCATGGGAAAGCATATTGTGACACTGAATGGCTCTTATGAGTTGGAGGATGGTGCTTTATCTTGGTACGATTTATTTCAATTCATTCTATCTGATTATTTTTTATCTTTTCCTCTTCCTCCCACTTCTGAAACCAAGGCTCCCAACTTGAGCTCTACAAGTGAAAAGCATCAGTTTGATCTCTTATTACGAAAAGCCATTTCGAATATCATTCGACGTCATGATCACATCCAAAATCAACAAGAACATTGGAAAAGATTATGTAACATAAGAAAGCAGATGATCAAGGAGTATGAAAGGAAATGGAAGCCTATTGTATCCGATTCCACCGTTGAATATTGGGAAACGATTCTTTCCAGTAGGAATGAATGAAGAATACTTGTTTTTTTATTTCTATTGTTGTTGAGATTTTCATCAATATGATTCAAAATATATGTTCACTCGACACAGCCTATCCATAGAGAAACTCCACCTTCCAGCTTGGAACCTCGTATGTCTGTACTTCAACCACGGAACCGTCGATTAATCTCCTTTGCTTGGACATGTTCTGTTTCTTTCCCATATCAACTTTTGCTGTGCTACTTTTATCATCTCTCTCTTCGTTCTGATATTCCTATCCCGACCTTGTTTTGAAAACACAAACATATATATATATGAACACATAGAGTCATTCTTCTCAAGTTTTCTTGTTTTTCTTCAGTTGTTCTTCAAATTCCTCCAATTGTTGTAAATAAACAGTCCATACACAGTCAGGACAACCGTTACCACAACAACTCTCAGGTGGTGGAGGTTCTGGTCTCGAAACTTTACGTCTCGAGGCCTCCTCGTTCAAACCAAGTACATCCTCTTCTTCTGTTTCAGTTGTTACTCTTTCCTTTCTTTGGCTGGACCATGAACACATATTCCTCAATCTTCCCATTTTTCTGTGTAGCAATGTTGTAGACGTAAAATATTCTTTTATACTATTTACTATTTGTAAAGTTACCGATAGCTGTTTCAACGTCGTCATTCTACATTCGGATGGTTCACTTCAAGAAGATGACTAGTTGGTTAGTTGGTTGGTTGGGAAACATTCCACTTTGTAATTACGGATAAAGCTGATTCCTTATGGCTAGTTTTGTAACTAGTAAAAGAGACTTTCGAGCTAGAGCACATAGCAATCCTCTCAATGATGCCGAGTTTCTGGTGCCTGAGGATCCTCTTCGTTTTGATTGGTCACCTTTTATTCCTGATGTAGGCAGTCATCCTATTGACTATGTCGATTTAGGTTGTGGTTATGGTGGCTTATTGTGTGAGCTATCCATTGCGTTTCCAAACAAGTATATGTTGGGTATGGAGATTCGAGATAGAGTAGCTTCTTATTGTGTCACCAAGTTGGAAGAGTTGCGTCGTTTGAATAGCAAAGGATATCGAAATATTGGCTTTATTCGAACCAATTGTATGAAATTCTTACCATTTTATTTTCCTCCGTCGAGTGTAGAAAAGTTTTTCATATGTTTTCCTGATCCTCACTTCAAGAAGAAGAAACATCGTCAACGTTTGGTGAGTTTAAGGTTTTTATCAGAAGCTGCCTATTGTTTACGACCAGGTGGTATGATTTATATAGTAACTGATGTGGAGGAATTATTTGCGTGGATGGTAAGTTGTGTATAACTGAGAACAGTTGTTGCTGATAAGGGATAGACCAATTTGTTCGCACAACATCCTTTGTTTTTGACGATGGACAAAGAACTTGTGAAGGTGAGTATCAAGAATGGAGAATGGCAAGTGATTGATTATTGTTAATAGCAACAAGATGTTCTTCTTCCTTATCTATTGAATCATACGGATGAAGCTCAAAGAATGAAACGTCGAGGACAAGACACTCCATATTGGAATGTCTTTCAACGAAAAACTGTGTTTTGTTAGGAAAACCGAAATAGAGATATATGCATATTTCGACTATAATATAACTTGAGGTTTTAAAAGAGTCTCAAACACTATCATCATGAAATAGCCAACGAGTCAATTTAGGTGAACGACCTCGACTGTTTCTTATATAAGCATCGTTATCTTTGGGAATGCCCTATGATATCTTCATATATTATGGACTACAAAAATATTGCCAACTTACCTTTTCAGTTGCACTACTCAACATACTCAGAATGCTCAAACAAACCGAAGTAACCGTCAACGCTGGACTCCAACCATCATACAAGACATTCAAACAAACTATCACTGTCAATCCATAGCAAAGTTACCGAATGGATACTTACTATGGCCATTGGTATAAACATGTTGATGAGCGGGAGTAGGTTGAAGAAAGACAACTTCCGGCGCTTCAATAGGATACTATTTACATAAGTATGATAAAGATATCAAGAATAACCATTAACCCATAACTCACTTCTCGAGGAAAACTAAAACGCAAAGTATACTCTTCTCCTACAAAAATAGTGTCCTCAGCACCAACCACCTTTACATACCACCTATCAACCAGAGTCAGTATAGTATAAGGCTTTTCAAAAACAATGAATATACAAGTCCAATCTTTCCGGTTGTTGAACGGACATTCCAGGGACAGGGTCACCCGTTACCCATTCTCGAAGTTCTTTTAGGAGTCTCTTTCTGGCAACAGCTGAAAGTGAACCCGCTGGAAGAGTATCTATAACCATAGCTGAAGAAGAATGTTCAGACATCAGTTTCCTTTAGAAATAACAATATCTCCTAATGAATATGCTCGAGTTGCTTATGAACACAAGTCACCCTCCCACCACCTCATAGACTATTTTGGGATAATTCTTTATATAACTTTGGTATGAAGTGTACAACATTTGTTGTTGTGGCAAGTCATCCAAGGAAAACCAAAACAAAGAGTTTTCAAAGATACTTTTATTTATCTTCTTGTAACCATAGCAGTTTGAAAAACTCTTCTTCTTTGCCCTCACAAAAGTGTAGAGAATGTCTCATTGTAGGACTAGGAAACCCAGGAAGTAACTTGAGCAACACTCGCCATAACTTGGGATTCGACATATTGGATTTCTATGCAAACCGATATTCTTTTACTTTTACTAAAGATAAATATTTGAACGCTGAATATGCTTGTCATCTTTATCCTAATGCAGTATGTTACCTAGTTGTTTTTTTGTTGGACTCTCATATCTTTGGTCACCATAGAAAGTACACTTTTTAAAGCCTATGACTTTTATGAATAACAGTGGACAATCCATTGCAGCTATGATGCGTCGAATAGCTTTTTCCACGGAAAATATTTTGGTGATAGTGGACGATATGAGTTTGCCTTTTGGTCAAACGAGGCTAAGACTGAAAGGTAGTAACGGTAAGTCTATCGGTTTTCAAGACGAGTAACTTTTATGGAGAAGAGTGGAACGAAAGGTGGTCATAATGGTTTGAAAAGTGTGGAGAAAGTGTTAGGTTCCAATCAATATGTTCGTCTAAGAGTTGGTATAGACTCACCTAAAGGAGATGTTCCAGCACAAGTTTATGTATTGAGTCCTTTTTCTCCTGTTGAAAAGAAACAATTAGTTGATGTGTTTTGGTAAGTAGATTACTTATTCTAAATAGTATTCTGTTGATCATCCAAAGGAAATGTGCTCATATTTTGGATATGTGGATTGAAGAATCTCATTCACAACAGTTGTTGGCTACAGCAAACGCTCCTCTCCATCGTATCTAATAAAAGTCTCCTTTTGAGATTTATTCAAATATCACTTTCTGGAATTGTACCATTCATCGAATCTTGTTTCAGATGATCACTATGGGTATTACTATTACTGCTGTTGGTATGAGTGCCAAATAATATCGGGTCTAAATCATCCAATGAACCTATATCTAACCCAGCAATAATATCGTCTGTGGATGAAGAAGTTGTATTTTTTGAACGAACAGGAGAATCCATCCTTTGATTATAAGAGAGTGCCATTTCTTCAGCCTTTTCATACACCAACTGCTTATTCCTAAGCATATCTCCAGGATGTGGTTCCAATGCTTTGGTACTTAAAGAAATGCGACCTCGTTGCTTATCAAAGCTAACCACCATACACTTCACCTTCTCTCCAGGTAAAAATAAAGACTGAATATTAGCAACTTGATCGTGAGAAATCTGGGATATATGCAAAAGACCTGAGGTCCCAAACACATCTACAAAGACTCCGTAAGGTTTGACTCCTTGAACAGTACCTTCCACTAATGCTCCAGTCTTCAGATGTTCCATTTGACGCTCTGCCATCGCACGTCGATGAGAAACAACCAACCTTCCTTTGGACTTGTCTACTTCCAAACACTTTACTGGATACTTGTGACCAACCATCTCTTCCAAACTTGTTCCAGGTAAGGAAATATGAGATATGGGAAGAAATCCTCGAATACCATAGACTAGAACCAAACAACCTCCACGATTCACAGCTACTACTTGAGCTTCTACTGTGCTAGCTTCATCAAGTGCTGAGTTCAGTTTCTTCCAAGCTATTTCCAACTCTAAACGGCGAATAGAAACTTTAGGATGACCAGAATCACTATCTGCAACTAGAAGCACAAACTCCTTCTCGTCACCCACTTGAAGTACATCACGTATCGATTCGACTGGATACAAAGATACTTCATTGCTGGGTAACAATGCTGTAGATTTTGCACCTATATCTACTAGAGCTCCACCATTGATAATTTCAACGATGACTCCTTTCCTTACGTCACCAGCTGTGAACGAATAACTTATATCACCTACTTCCTTATCCAAGTCACCATAGCTAGAAAACGGCGTTTAGTTTCTTTTCTCTCACGATCCATTTGACATACCTGAATGGCATATCTACAGGTAAAGGTATTTTACCCATCACTTTTCTTTTATTCTCTACTAGCCTCGGTCGATATGCTTCGTGAGAAACGGGAACTCGGCCATTCATAGTGTTCCCATTAAATGATGATATTTTAGACCACATGTCTTCCAACAGTTTCTTGGAAGATCCTGAGGCATTGTCTACTGCTTTTTCTTCTGCTCGAACTAGCACGACAGCGGTTGGAGTAGTTTCTTCTTTCCAAGAACGAGAGGCAAGTCCCCTGTTTTTAAAGAGTTCCCAAACAGTTTTAGAACAAGAGAATCCTCTTTTTCCGACTTGTGTTCCTGATAACCAAGGTGTTGTCTCGCTCCAGGTGGTTAAGTTGGAACGACTCAACTTTCTTAAACTAGTAGCGACTTGTTTCAATGATTTGCAAGAAAACTGTCTGTGTATACATTGTGTGTTTTTGGTTTGTATTGGAGCTTCTATATAGCACCACATATGGCAAGGTTGGGTGCGTTTGAAAGAATGGTTACTACCGCCCATCCACCAAACCTGTCAAAACTCGATCTCGCTTCCCTTTTCTCATGATGGATTAGATAATGTGTGGTCGTTCTCTCTACTGCTTGTTGTTTTATTATTGCTCCCACTTCAACTCGATGAACTGAATGAAGGCACTGTAAAATAGACAAATTTTGTGTAAATGCCGCCTTCAGGATTCAATGATATGGTATTCGAATATCGTTCCTACTCTTAATCTAAAAAGTCCTCTGGTGAATAGCGATCCAGGTACCTGGGTTGGATTCCTCCACCAGCACAATTAGAGCATACAACTGTTCCAACTCCATCACAAAATGAACATAATTCAGATTCTTCTGTTGGGTTCTTTCCAGATCCTTTGCAACGGATACACTCTAAACGTTTTTGGCCATTGCAAACTACACATGGCTGCAAGTTTTCACGTTGTGAACCGCGAACTCCTTGTTTCTCAGTCCACACTAGAAATGCGATTCCAGCAGTTAACCCCAGTGCAGCTGTTAGGAATCCTTGAAAATAGCCTGCGTCCAAAGACATATATACACTGCCACGTCGACAAACTTGTCGAGACCAAGCTGCTTGTTTTCCTTGCAAATGAAAACAAAAGGTTGCTTTTTTAGAAATCATATCTCTTCGAAAGGATAAGATAGTTGTTGGACTAACAAAGGCAATCATTGAGTCAATCATCCAAACACGAAAATGATAAGGGAAAATAGCTTATGAGAAGAGTCTCCCATGAGGGGAGGATGGGCTCGTTCACTTGTGTAACTTGTGTGGTTTGAACCAAACAAGTGATTGATTGTTTGTCGGCATCATGAAAGTTTATAGAGATTACGCGACTGCTATACGATACACAACTTTTGTAGGAGTCAATTGTCTCCTGTTCTATACGGTAGTTGAGCCTTGTTTGGGTCGATTCACTTGTTAAACTGCTTTTAAGGCAGGTCCTATAGCTCGATTCATCCAAGGACTCCCGTATTGGGATAGAAAAGTGGGTTACTTGCTTCATTTCTTGAAACAGAATTTTTAACAAGGTTGTACAGAGAGAACAACAAGAAGCAGCTCGTAACCGTGAACGTCTATGGAAGAGATGGAAGAATGAAAGGGCTCATAAACAACACAGTGAAGAGTGGAACTCAACAGGATAATTGAAAGCTTTTTTGCAAGTCGTTAAATAAATGACTGTATATGAAGCGTATTCTTCCAAGTAGGAGCTGAGTTTGGTTTCCAGATAGAGTCAAAACACAATATATAGATTGTAAAACACTCAAAAGTACTTGTGCATTTTTCTTGCGCCAAAAACTGAGTAAGAAAATCTTTCCAACGAAATGAGAATTCAGTCTGGATGAGAATCACAACAAAGACAATATGACGACTTTGGAAAAACTGGGTATTTCAGGTATTCGAAGTTTTGCTCCAAGAGAGGAACAGGCTATCCGTTTTAAGAAACCACTAACTATCATACTTGGCCATAATGGTGCCGGAAAAACTACTATAATCGAGTGCATCAAAGTGGCTTGTACTGGGGACTTGCCTCCTTTCGTGGATAAAGGAGGTGCATTTATTCATGACCCTCGAATACAGTCAGATACTGAAACAAAAGGAAAGATAAGGATGCAGTTTACTGACTTGGCTGGAAGGAAAATTATTGTCAACAGACAGTTTCAACTGACCAATAAGGTGACTACAAAGAAACAGGAGTTCAAATCAGTCGAACAAAGTGTGCAAATCGTTGATGGCAAAGAAAAACTTACTCTTTCTCAGAGACACGCTGACGTAAATGAAATAGTTCCCGAGTTGATGGGAGTTACCAAGGCAGTGTTAGAACACGTGGTATTTGTCCACCAGGAAGAAAGCACCTGGCCGTTATCAGATGCTAGACATTTGAAGGAAAAGTTTGATGAAATCTTCGCTGCAACTAGGTATACAAAGGCACTGGACGCTATCAGGAAATTTAAAAGGGAGAAGACAGCACAGCTGAAACAAAAGGCAACTGAGTTGGATTTATGTAAGGAGAAGGTTGCTCAAGCAGAGAAGTTACAGAATGAATACGTACAGTTGGAGAGCCAAGAAAATGAAGTCGAGAATAGTATCGCAAAACTAAGAGAAGAGCTACAAACAATGGAAAGTGAAAAAAACGAACTGTTTGAGAAGACACAGAAATGGAATTCACTACGAAGTGAAGTAGAAAACCTGAGAGCAGGAAGGCAGTCGTATATTTCTACTTTAAAGGACATTTATGCTTCCATGGATGAGGAATTTGAAGAAACGGATGAAGAGTTGGGACAATTTGAAGTGGAAATAAAAGAGCAGGTGAGTTGTACTAGAGTGATGGTTGCCTGTATTCACACAGAAAACTGTAGATTCAGTCGTTTCAACAAACAAAGGAAATGAGAGAAAGTAATGTTGCAGAATATCAATCGAAACTGGAAAGCCATACGCAACGTCTGTCTATATTGCATATAGAGAAAGGTCATTGGAAAGCGTCTCGAAATCTGTTTGAACGAAAACAATCAGATTATAGGCAATTAGAACAGACGATATGCGGCAAGTTGATGGAACAAAAAGCCGTGGAATTGAATTATGAAAAGATAGAAGAAACGTTGGACAGAGTGATAGAGCACTGGGAAGCCATAATGAGAGAAAAGCTGGAGGAATTGCGTGAAAGAGAATCTGTGCTCCGTAAACAGTGTGACGAAAAAGAATCAGAGGTATCATGTGTTTTATGAAAGATTTACATTTTTTTAAATTGTTACGTAAGGCTCAGAAGATGCACGTGCAGTGGAGTGTCCTCGAACATTCATTGAAAGAAATGAGAACGAAGCTTGAAGCGGAAGGCTTGTCTAGTGATCAAGACGTCAACATTCATTCGGTACAACAACAATTGGAAAACGTGGTCAATACGTTGGAATCAAAGCAACATAGTTTAGAACAGCTGAGGGCAAATGATGAGTGGTCAAAATTAAGGAGTGAAAGAGAGGAATTGACAAATCAGGTTGCAAAGTGGAGAAAACGGTTTTCTGATTTATGTGAAGAAAGGACTGCTTCCAAGAGTGACGAAGAAGTCGCAGGTCGTTATATGTTATTGATAAGCCAGGTAAAGTGCTGGAATGATAAATTTTCAATTTAGCACAGGTTTCTCATGCTTTGATCGTAGCGTGACGATCTGCATTCTCGAATAGCAAAACTTGAAGACGAGATCAAGAAATGTGCAGCAGTTTCCGACATTTCTGAAGTTAAAGCTATGAGTGATGGAACAATTCTTGATCAGTTGGACGTAATACTGGACTTGCAGCGCAAGTTAGAACAAGATGAACGAGAAAAGATATCCTTGGTTTCGAAAGCGGAAAGTAGCATTGAGTCATTGACCAAAGATTTATCGGAGAGCAGTAAAAGAATTCAAGAGTTGGAAGACAAGATGGAACATTTAAAAGCTATCGTAGGAACAGAATTTGTCGGTGAAAACTGTCTCGAAGTGTTTGAAAAGATATTGGACGAAGCCGAAGAGAAGGTACGAGAGACCAGAGAAACTCAAAAACAGTTTGAGGTGAGAATCTTGTTTCGCACCAATTGAATAGTTAAATGTGTGTGTACTTGTTAGGGAGCAGAGGAGTTTTGGAAGCAGTTATTGGCTCGAGCAACAAGAAAAAAATGTTGTCCAACATGTGATCGCACTTTTTCTACTGAAGAGGATTTTTCACTTTTGATTGAAAAGTTGCAGTCGAGAGCAGAGAAGGTACATCAAGGGAATGTTTATTCAAGTATTGTTCAAGCAAGGAAGAATGCAGAGGAAGAGCTTGAACAACTTCATAAAAAGCAATCATCTTTGAATGAGTATGTTAAGATGTATGATACACGTTTTTATCAGGTGTTCATTTTTAAATGGATAGGTTGGAAGTGCTTCGAAACACGTGGAAGAATGAAATGGAAACCAAGACGAAGAAGCAGGAAGAATATAAAGAGTGGGAAGAAAAGAAGGAAATTGGGAGCAAAGATTTGCTACTATCTAAGAAAAATAAGGATAGTTTGTCAGAAATTTATTCCTTTTTGCAAAAGAGACAGTCTTTAGTGGATGATTTGAAGTCGATCAATACTGAACTCAATCAGATGGTAATTATTCAAGTTTTTATCGTACTTATATTAATATATGTTTGTTTCAAAGAATGCGAATGCAAAAAGTCAAGAAATATCGACGCGTTCTCGTCATTTGATCGATGAAGAGTTGAGCATCTGTAATCATGAACTGGAAGATTGTAATAAGAGGTTATTGCATGTGGAACAAGAATTAGAAAAGTATGGATGTCAATACAATGAATTGGAAGAACAGATAAAAAAAGAACAAGGAAAGAGAGAGGAATTACAAGAAAAGGCGAAACTATTGCAACTTCGAGAGGAAGATTTGTGTGAATTACGTGAGCAGATTTCTAAGACGGAAAGCCAGGTGTGAATACAAGTCATGATAGTTACTTTCAAATTCATTATTTGTAGGTAAAGGAACAATGGCAACTGGTTGAGAATGCAGATAAGGAGTTGAAAGAACTGAAATCATCTCTAGAAACTTGTAAAGATCAACTTGTTCAATGGAAGGAAACTTGTTCTGCTGAAATAAATTGGGCGCGTGACAGTAAAAAAGCACTTGAAGTTTTGAGTGAAGAAATGAACAGACTATACGGCAACTGCAGTGATGACCTTTTGCAACGACTAGAGAGGGAAGAGGAAACTTTGCATCAAGAAATACAAAAGTGTAAGAAGGAAATATCTGAGTTGGAAGAAAGTACCCAGAAGAGTACCTCGAAGATATACGAGTTGAATTCCACTTTGAAGAATATCGAAGCCAATAGAAACTTTCGAAAAACAAAAGCAATCATCAATGACATGGAAAAGAAAATGAACCAGTTGCAACGCGAGATGACAGAATTGCAACAAGGCACAGACTTGGTTGCGGCTTTAAACGACAAAGATCGCGGTATTCAAATACGTCGCGATAAATCAAGTTCGCTAGCAGGTAAAAAAGAGGTAAACTTTTTGTTTTCGATTTTTGAAGCCAACAATATCTTGAGCACTTGTTTAGATGATAGACGACAGAATGAAAGAACTTAAGAAAGAAATTCACAAGGCCCAGTCGACGAGAAGTAATGAAATGTATCGAGAAAAACTGGTCGAACTGAAAACTCTCGATTTGAGTCTTAAAGATTTGGAACAGTATCACAATGCGCTAGATCGTTCATTGATGACATTTCATACGCTCAAAATGAAAGAGATCAACAAAGTTGTCAAAGAGCTATGGCAAGTGAGTAGGCATTTTTATGAAATATTCAACTGTTATCGTATATCGTCCATCATAGGCAACTTATCGAGGAAAGGATATTGACTACATTGAAATTGTTTCTGACTCGGAAATGGATCAAAGTGGAAGCAAACGGTCCTATAATTACCGAGTTTTGATGCACCGTGGAGACGCTTCTTTAGAGATGCGAGGAAGATGCTCTGCCGGTCAAAAGATTTTAGCATCATTGGTCATTCGTTTAGCATTAGCAGAAAGTTTCTGTTTAGAATGTGGTATATTGGCATTGGATGAGCCTACTACCAACTTAGACAAAGAAAATATTGAAAGTTTGGCCAATGCTCTGTCTGATATCATAAGAGCTAGACGAATTCAGGAAAATTTCCAATTGATTCTGATCACTCATGACGAACATTTCATTGAGCTTCTGGGTTCGAGAGAAGTAACAGACACTTACTATCTGGTGGAACGAGATGAAGATGGATTCTCGCATATACGGCTACAAGACCTCAATGTCTTGGGATAAATATACAACTCTTCATTGCTTTTTGAAGCTATCAGCTTGTTTAGGATAGTGTAGCAAACACTTCAAAGGCATATTCGAACGCCCAAAGAGTCCCTTTACTCTTATCCAATAGGTGGACTTGAGGCAATCTTATCAAACCTTGTTTTGTGACGGTTACATCGGTTCGAATAGTACTGCATTCCTGTTTAGGTATGCGACCCACAGCTATTGTACTCTTTGGAAATTGGACTTGTAGGGGAGTTGAATCATTCATAATTGTATAATCTTTATCTCCTTCTTTTGTTCCAAATGTAACGGCAGCACTCGTTTTGCTTTCATCCAAATATTTCTCTTGTAACAATAAAAGACCTTGTAAAATATCCTCTTGCGACTTGTTGGTGATCGTAATTTCTAGTGAAAACGCTTGGTTCACCACAACTTTATGAGGTCCAGAGAAAGAAATGGACATAGCACTCGACCTGTTAGGAAGTTTCCAACGAACGGAATTCACACACTCTGATAGAAATTCATGGCAAGTGGATAAGTGACTTTCCATACTACACAACTGCCAGTAGAACCTCAACGGTGCTTCTATGAGTGGATCCATAAAATTAGCACGAGGAAATTGATCCGTTTTCCATGTAAAATGAAAAACAAAACAATACTCTTCTTTAGGAAGCAATAAAAGAGGTTCTTCTTTTGTATGATGACTGGGAACATGCATAGAGATATAAGATGAAATGCTACCGATATCCTTGAATGAGGAAATGAAATCAACTGTCGAGAAGTTATTTAGAGGATATTTGGTATCTTGACCAGCCATAGTTGGATCAATAGGATGAGCAGAATAAAGGTCCAAAGTGGGAAACTCTAAATTGAGACAAAGGTCTTCCAAAACGTTCTGAACTGCAAAACAAAGAAAAGAACCACAAGGATTACGAGTAAACCAATATCGTGACTGGAAACCTTCTACAACTTGTAGCTTTCTTTTCATCGTCATATTCAACAAGGGAGTAGACTTTTCTCGTTGATATACCATTTGTACTGAATCTACAACATTATCAGTAGGAATCCTTGTACTTTCGCGTATATGGATTTGCAAAATCACTTCCTTGCCATGGGCAGTCCTAGGCAAAGATACAGGAACAGGATATTCCGATATCAAAGCAAAGTGATTGGACTCTGTTTCTATTTGTTGCCAAGAAAGATCCGTCAAGGAAGGACAACTCCACGCAAAGCGGTGTGTTGGAAAGACATAAGTGCCTTCTGTAGTAGGAACGCGGTCTTCTGTGTGTTCGACCACTTTGTCTTCAACAGAAACTTCAAAAGAATAACTTAGTTCTAGAAAAGAAATGAGCTCACGTAAACGTTCGATGCTAATGCCCTTTGGACGAAGCAAGATGACAACTTTGAGGACCTCTCCGTTGACGACAAACTCTCTATCAGCTTCTGTCAACTAAACAAACAGTCGTTCAAGAAAAGTACCAATATCAACACCATCAACGTACCGACTCCAGCAATGACTTGTTTTCTACTTTTGGGAGGCGTAAGGAAACGTGGCATTGTGACAAACGAGGAGACAAAAACATGCTTGATCGGTCTCATCAATCTACAACATCCCCCCAAAAAGAGATATGCCAAAGTTCTTAAGATGCTTAGATATCTTTGAGAGGATTCCTTTGAATCACACTTTTCTGTGAAAAGATACTGACGAGTACATACGTTTTGAAGAATTTTATCTATCTTTCAAAGCAATATTGGACCTCCAAACATATAACAATTGCATGGATATACAAATACCTGCTGCAAACAATAAAGCTCATTGTAAACGAGTTGTAAGTATGTCGAACTCTACATACTTGAAAAGCTTCTTAGTCTCCTTTTTCAACAGTTCTTATGAAAAATGATTTTTCTTTCCCAAAAAATGTGGCCCTCTTAGAATAGAAAATTGGCGCGCGACACGTATTTTTTTTCTTGATTTTGGGGACAGGGAGGTTCGCACAAAAGGGCCGTAACAGGATGAAGCATATTGATAAGAATATTGTCATTATTATATTTGTTTTCATGATTATAGGTAGCAAGACTTTACATGCAGAGGAATTGGAACAAGAATTGACTACTGAGCCAAGAATTCCCACAACAGAAGAATTGGAAAGTCAGTTGGCAGCAAAACAAAAGCAACTCGACTTGTTAAAAAGTGAAATGGACAAGGCTAAAAAAGAGACAGAGAAAACCAAACAAGATTTGAATAAACAAGCACGAACATTACAAGATAAGAATGAAGAGATACTTGCACAACTGGATAAAAAGAATAAGGAAGCGTTGCAGTTACAGGAAGAACTGGCCAAAGTACAAGAACAGTTATTTGAAGTTCAAAAAATGGTAGAAAATCCACATCTTTCTCAATGGCTTCGTTCCAAAGCAGAATTTCTCAAAACATATGTTGACCCGTATCTGTTGGAAGCTATCGAAAACACAAAGAATCAACTATCTTCTACTAACTATTTATCAACACAAGTTGTTGATCATCTTCGCGACAATCTCGAAATGAAGCTTCAGAAGACCCCAGTCAAAAAGTTTTCTCCGATAATGGCAGGAATTCTTTCTTATGGAGTAGTATTGGTTCCCCTTGGTCTGAGTTTTTATGGTATTTTTCGACTATCTTCTCGAATTTCGTTGAAACATTATATTCTGATCGGAAGTCTTGTTATTGCTACTCTTCATATATTTTTTGCTCTCATTTCACTCTTTACAAGGCAAGATGCCTTAACATATCTTCAACAAGCGAACGAGAACAATTTTATCTTTCTTCAGTTGATTATGGGAGTGTTGTATATTGCTTACTGTGGACTGCTTATCGTAGGCTTATCATCCACAGAAAATCGTCGAGACTTGTTCATGCTCTTGATCATCTTCTTGTGTTATTTTATGCTTGGTTTGTATTATCGTGAAATCGTGTGGAGACCAACCATGCGAAAGGATATCATTCGTAGCAGCATTTGGAGTCATCTCACTTGTAGCTTATTTACTACTATGCTGTTAGTTGCTTTGGCTTCTGTATTGAAGTCTTATAAACAAGGAGAGCGTCATATTGCCACCTCTATTCGAGATTTAGAAAATGGCTTTTTTAACAAGGAAGCTAGGAAAGGTGATAAAATTCAATAGCAGCTAATGTGCTCATAATAGCTTTTGTGGGATGAAAATGCTTTCTGTATACTTTTTCATTTGGATGATGATAAACACAAGGATATTCTTTACGCTTTCATATGTGTAAAAGGAATACTATATGAAAGAGCCTTCCCATCATAGAATGACACGATTCATTCTCAACAACATCCAATTTGCAAGAACCTTATCACTTGTGTTATTTTGTGTATTCCAAATAACAAAGAAGTTTTCAAGTTGATCCGATGATGTAAGTTTTGGGAAGGGGAAATGGCTATAAGAGAATGATTGAGATATGAATGAACATAGTAATAGTAATAATAATAATAACAATAGTAGTAGTAGTAGTGCTGGTGAAGATGCAAGTCCAGGAGAAACTATAGGAAATCCAACTAACCCTAAAATTCGAGTTCTATCGGTGACACTTGAGACACAAGAGTCAAAGAAAGACGAGGAAGGAAGCTTGAAAAGTCTTGAACCCGCCGCTGGTTTAGTGGAGTGGGTAGAGTGGGCGTTTGTCAAGTTACAACAAGGAGTGGATTTCAATGAGCGTATGAGAACCAACAAAGAGTTTCGGAATCCGGGTATATTAGAAAAAATGGTTGCGTATTGTGAGTTGGATGAACTGGGAACCAACTTTGACCGCACTGTGTTTGATCCAAAGAGTTATGATCCTTCAGAGTATTATGATGTGCTTGCAGAGAAACAACGACTACTTGCAACGAAAGAAGCATTGAATCCTAAAGGGTCCAAGAAGGAGGAACAAGGAGATGCTCGTTCTTCTTGGAAAGAAAGAAAAGTACGCTCAACCCAAAGTAGATGGGATAGGACAAAAAGTTACCGTAACTAGCTGTATATTATTTATTTGGTACGGAAAGTGGTTGGTATGGAGTTGCAGTTTCTAGTTGAATAACAAGAATGAAGAATGAGGAGGAGAATAAAGCGTAAGAGGCGGAAAGTTATTCATAATAGACTCATACATTCTATGAATATATGTGTGTAGGAAACAATCAAGTGGTCACTGAATTTTAAGTTACTTTGTATTCAATATTTCCAACATAGTAACAGCGTCTACCTTGTGTTGGTTGTATCAAACGTTGGGTTGGTTATAATAACACACCAACGTTTTCCCTTGAAATCCACTACAGTCTTCTAAACTAGACCTTTACATTTATTCCTCTTTCATTACAAAGGACGCATTCTAAGTGTTCCACTTTAAGTTTGACTCAAAACTTGAAAAGCGATCCATTTTAGCGCTATCTTCGAGAATCCCATTTTTTGATATCCTTTTAGTCCCCATTTTCTGTGAAGAGCTGTGTCTTGTGTTGCCACAACTATCAACTGCCTATACATATAGCACAACTGTTGATTTCAATTGACGCTGAGAATTGTAGAGGGTTGGTTTGTTTATTTATCTGTGGGTAGTTGTCTGGTCAGTGACTGTGCTTTTTGATGATTGTTTCGATGCACAAGTAGTCTGGTGTTAAAGACCCTTTGAAAGTAGTTGAATATTTTATTTTTGGTTTTCATAATTGTGTTTTGAAATGTCCAAGGTTCGAGCTTCAGATAAGAATGGTGACAACGGTAAGCACCTCTTTGTTCTTTATCACAGACAGCTGTATAACACAATATGACCCATAGTGGATAGTGGAAAGAGTATTCTTCTTAGCCAAGAGACAAGAGACACTGTCTATGCAAATGTTGAAGAAAATATCCAAACTTGTAAACGGGATGAGAGTATCAAACAGACACCACCAGAAACTACTGAGCAAAGACAACTTTCACAGAAAGAGTCAGTTGAATATCAGGATACCAGAATAGAAAGTGTAGAAACATCAAATAATACTTTCAATCGAGCAGCACCAGATGAAGTTGCATTGAATAAAGAAGGAGACAATCACGTTTCTATGTATAAAATAGAACAATCAGTGAGTAGTGAAATGGGAGAGAATCCTGACGATATCAAGATGGATTTTATTGAAGTTCCTAAAGAAGCAGTTGGCTTTATAATTGGCAAGGGAGGTGAAACCATAAAGGAATTGAGCATGAAGTCAGGAGCATATATGGAAGTAGAAAGACGAGATATTGATGCATCATCAGCCAATCGACTATTTCGAATACAAGGAATATCCAATCATATACAACTTGCTAAACAACTTATTTTAGAAAAAGTAGCCGGGGTTCTTGTAGGTCAAAGTGTTTGTTCTGTAACGTCAGTCGGTTCCATTCAATCTGAACTTTGGATACCTATGGATCGAGTAGGCGTTATTATAGGTATTGGGGGACAAACTATCAAGTCTTTAGAAGAGCAATCTCAAACAACTATTGTTGTGCACAATGAGAAAGTAAATGCACTTGGAGAGAAACTTGTTACTATTGTTGGAAAACCTCAAGAAGTACATATAGCAGAAATGCTTATTCAGGAGATAATTCAAAAGCCATCCCGAGTCATGAATGCTACTTTGTATTCGCCGGTATGTTATATTTTATGTTATTATATATATCAATACTTATAGATGTATGGAAGGTCATGGGTCAAACAACTTATCCTGGATTGGTATCACCTGAACTTTCCTATTTGTCAAGAACAAGTCTAAGGCCGATGACCAACAAAACTATATTTGTTCCACGAAAGAGTATTGGAATGATTATAGGAAAGCGTGGTGAAACAATAAGAGACCTTCAATATCGGTCTGGAGCTTCCATTCGAGTTGTTCCAGATAATGAAGTATCTGTAAATACTGTTGAACGGCCTATTATTGTTTCAGGAAGTCTAGAGTCAGTTGAACTTGCACACAATCTTATCAATGATATCGTAAATGAAGGGATTGAGAGATTAGGAGGTGATCTTTCAGAGTCCAAGACTCTTTATCCAAGTGCTTCTATTAGTTTACGAATTCAAATACCGAATGACAAAGTTGGTTGGTTAATAGGAAAGAGTGGTTCTACGATTCGTGAGTTGCAACAACGTTCTGGTGCACGTATTCAGGTAGCGAAGCCTTCTGAAACGGATATTCATACAAGATCCGTAACTATTACTGGACCTCCTCCTTTTGTAGAGATAGCCAAACAACTTATTGCTGAGAAACTTGCAGGATATTATATGCGACAAAGTGGGTATCCATCTATGAATATTCCGCATAGGAGACTTGAACAGGAGTCGGAATTACCTGTAGCAGCTTATGGTAGTCCTATTCCCAACTATACTTATGAGATGAATCCTTATGCAAGTACTTTTGATCCCACTATGTATTATCCAATATATGGAATGGTTTATACTCCACCAACAACAACTACAACCTCATCTTTTACAACGATTCCTCATATGAATATCTCTCAAGACATGGGAAGTGTAGCCAATGTACCACCAACGTCATCTGTTGAGGAAACCAATCGAGTGGTTTCTTCTTCACCTTTTCCAACCTAATATGAATGAATGTCTTTTATATGTGATAGAAATGCATTCTCATTCATTCTCGACGTCGTCGATTAGAGGAGGAAGAAGAAGAAAAAATAGGATTTTGGTTGCCATAGTACAAGAAGAACACAAGTATTCAAAATGGTAATAATGAGAGTTTATTTGAACATAAAATCCAAGTTTATTGAAAGTATTGATAGGTATTTAAAAGGTTTGTGGAAGTTGGAAGAGTTGTACTAGTTACTTATGGTGAACATCGTGGAAAGTTGGGAGTGATTGTGGATGTAGTCGATCAGAATAGGGTTTTGGTGGATGGTCCACAAACAGGTCTCCCTAGACATACCATAAACTTTAAAAGTTTGGCTTTAACCCCTTTTCAAGTAAAGATACAACACGGTAGTCGAACGGGAGTTGTAAGAAAGGCGTTGGAAGAGAAGAAGTTGATGGAACAGTGGAAGAGTACGTTGTGGTATAAGAAACTTTGTTCACGAGAAAATAGACGAAAGCTTGGAGACTTTGAAAGATTCAAGTTGATGATTGCTAAAAAGAAAAAGGCTGCTATGGTCAATGGTCAAGTGAAAAAGTTGAAAAGCCATTCTTAAAACTCAATACTATAGAATGAAATTCGGTTGTTGATGGATTCCAATATTTCCCATTCTATCTATTACTGAATAATAATAATATACACTCGTATTCAACTATGAGAAAGTCATCATTCCATTACTTGTCAACACTCTTTTCCTCTTCAATAAGGATATGACCACTTTGTAATTGCATTTGTCGTTCTCTTTCCATTCTCTTTCGCTTTCTACGTACAATAGCTGAATTGAAGCGAGCTTCTGAACGCCAATCAAAGTTCTCATATCGTATATTGGGTATTCTATCCTTGACTTGTAACATAGTTTCCAACAATTTGGATGCGTCAGAATACAAATATTGTTGAACCCAACGTAAAAGACTTGAAGAACAAGGAAAGTCATCACTATACCAAGAGAATATTTTAGGCAATATCACTTCATTCTGTTCCTTTGAAATGCGTACAGATTGGTTTAGAAACTCTTCTGTAGCAAAGTGCAATTCTTCTTCCACACATTCTTCTTCGAGAATCCGAATGGGAGGATCCGAACGAGTACCAGCAGAAATTACAAAATGAATACGGCCATCAATATTGGATAACATATATCGAGTTTTAGGATCATCCGAACGAAATTGTCTCATAAAACGAAGACTTGGAGGAAAACGATTGCATCGAAGTATACCATGTTCAATATCATCCAATGAAAAGTCTATTCCAGCAATGCGATAACAAAGTGAACGAAAGAATATCCAACGCTTGAAAAAGGAAGTAGGAGGTCCATGTGTAATATGCGCTATACGAGTCTATTAGAAAATATGATTATTCTTCTATCTTTACTTACCGTGAAGACACAAAGCATTGTAAATATTGATAAAAAAGACCAATCTTTCCTTTTCTGATAGTCCTGATAAGCATATGCCTTGCAACTCTGCTGTAGCCACAGAATACTGTCGAAACTCTTCAGTCTCATTCAACTTTCGATAATCAAATTCATAAGGAGATAGAATATCTTGAGGACGGTCGGCAGCCAATTGTATACGATAATTCTCACATAAGAGTGCAATTTTAGTTAAAAGCTCTCGAGATAAATCACAAGGGTGTCTTGTTGGTAGTGAAGGATCCCATATTCGCTTAAGATTGAGAACATTCGAGTCATCATCTTCTTGAAATCGAAAAAAAGCTTCTCCTTCACAAAAAGAGTCGCTTCCAAAGACTGGTTGAATGATACCAGCACTTATGAGACGTTGTCCCAAATCTTGAGCTTGTTCTCTGGACAATTCAAGTTTCTTTGTCATCCAATCAATGGCTTCCGTTCCTGTAAAACACTTGGAATAAGTTTTCAACATGCGCCTCCTATCAGCAACCTTGAGTCCATCTATAGGACTTCGCAATGAACTATATATTTCAATAAAGCCTGGGAAAGGTTCAAGTTGAGGTTCTAGATCTTTTATAGTGTTATTGTTATTCGTATTTCCCTCCACTGTAAAATCTGGCACTACTTGTTCACCAATTATGTGTCTCGTTCTCTTTAGGGAAGGACTCGAAGAAAAGCCTCCACTAGAACTTGGTGTTGTACTTTCTAAAGGTATTGGACTAGAAACTGTCCTAGAAATGGTGTTATAGGGTTCCGTTCTAGAGTCTGTATTGGAGAGGGAGTCTACACTTGTACGGTTCACACTTTCTTCCGTCATAACAATCTTAACAACACACAAGAACAAAACCCATTCATTTCTTATTATTATTATCTTGGGAAGAACAAATTTATTTCATCTCACATAAAAGCAACACACAAAGCAGCTATACTCGATTCTTACTAATACCATATCCAATAGTGCCAAAGAACAATACTATAAAAAGTCCCACATGCCACAGAACCATATAAAGCTAAACAAAAAGAAATGGATATCTATTCACTAATAAAGTTATTCTCACACATACCCAAAAAGGATCATCCAAAGCAGGGCCTTTAGGCCATTCAGCCAAGTTGGACTGTATAGAAGTGAAAAAGGCTTGTGTCAATCCTGTACCGTGAAGAATAGGAATATTGGAAGGAATACTGGCAGGTAAAGTCCACCCAAGCAAAGCAACTATGATTACCAAAGGATTCGCATCAAAGGGAGTATCTTCCGATATTTGAAACTCACTATGAAATATAACTATTTGAATAGTTTTGAAACCTTCAAGTTCTTCCAACTTACGCTCTAGTCACTTGACGAAATGGTGTATGTCGAGATAATCGGCTATGTTGAAGCAAAGTTCGATAAGTCCAGTTGTTCTGTTGAATGTTGATAGACTTGAGACATTTACCAAAACTACGAATACAAGGACTCCAACTAGACTGAAATGTCAGCTGCATGACCAATTAGTCTCTTCTTCCCAATGAGATATGAGAGATTGCTTTCTCATTCCCTCCTATTGGCTTTGTTTTCTTTTTGTGTGGTGATAATGAAACGAGTCCAAGTCTATCCTGAAATGAAGTTGTGTTTTTATTTATAGAATTATTTATTTTAAGAATGTTTTTGCTAATCATGGAAATAACGGGTTTCTTTAGCTTTTTTTTGCTTTTCACTATCTATCAATGACTGATTAGCTTCAAACTCTAATGACTATTCTATCAAATTGATATTATTTGCATTGAGGGACAACAAATCATGTCCGGCTTAGACAAGTCTCTAGACGACCTTATCAACGAACAAAAAAAGAAGAGTAAAGGTAACAAGAGTATTGGAAAGAACAGAAAAGGAAATTTAGGAGCCTCTAAAAAACTCTCTGTAAGCAACGGAAGAATTGGAAAAAAGAGAATGGTGCGTAGTTGTTACCAGGTTTTGTAAAGTGCCACAGTGTGCGAAAAACGAACCAACTCATATGCTGTTTTTGTTGTTGAACAAAGTTTGGCACTTGTAGTTTTTCGTTATTTGGAAAACTCTTTTTTGGGTTTTATGACACTCACCGCGTTTTTATTTTTGGCGCCTTTTATTTGTTAGGGAAAGAAAATGATGATGGATATAGACCAAGATATAAGTGGAAAGCGTTGGAGACATGATAAGTTTAAGAGTGGTAAAAGTTCTAGTGGGGACCAACCAAAAAGAAACCAAATTACGCGTGTACAAGTTACCAACTTGGCACTCGGGGTGACTAACAAAGATATCAACGTAAGCTTGTGCCTTTATTTTGCTGTCTTGGAGGAGGAGGGTTGTTGTGAAGGTGCATAACCAGCATAATATGTATAACTATATTTATGGATATAGTTGAGATAATATAAGAGAGCCTGGTTACCTCCTTGGGTGGTTTAAAAGTGTCTTTCCACTTTGCTTTTTCAGTAACTGATATCTTTTTTTGGACACTTTGGATATCCCTCCTCGATATTGTTACAGACCCTTGGAATATGCTATTCCTGACCTTTTTGTTTCAGGATCTCTTTTCTGAAGTTGGTAAAATGCGACAAGCCTTTGTAAAGTTTGATAGAAATGGGCGTTCTACGGGAATAGCTCAAGTTGTTTTTTATGACCGTGCTTCCGCATTGGAAGCCATCAAACGTTACAATGGAGTGCCTTTGGATGGTAAACCTATGAAGTTGTCTTTGGTGAGTAATCGTGGTCGTTTGTCTAGGAGAGGAGCACAGATAGGTGATGGAGATAATAGCCGTCGTATTATTATTACGTAGGTGCTTTGTATAGTTGAACGTTGATGGAGTGCTTAAGCTTGTGTAGTACAACAGGAAAGAGACGAGGTGGTCGATGGAGACGCAAAGGATTGCCTTTGGATAACAATGAACGAATGTTGGATTAGAGTTGTGTGCCAATTTGTTTTTTGATGGAATGCATAAACTATTTTAAGACCGAAATGATCGACTCCTGAAACTTGGTTTATTAGGATCCACAGGCTTACCATACTTTAAGCACTTTTTTTTTTGAAAATAGAAAAGATGTCGATGCCAACTTGAGTTTTTTATACATAATATGTAATATCCTGATTGATGTTTGGGTTCTTTGTAAAATTGGTGTACAGATATCACAACGAAAAGATTAACAAGCGACAACAAATAGAGCGTCGATTCGATATTGTCTACAACAATCTTCTAATACTTGATTCTGCTTTTCAAAAGTATTTTGATATAAGAAATCGTAAACAATTTGTTCCATTTTGTGTATAGCTTAGAATGAAATGATGGATGGATGATATATACCTTTTGCAAGTTTGGATTCTTCAAACAAGAGAACATTGAAAAAATGAATATTTCAAGGTAATCACAAAAACCATTTGAAGCAAAGACACTTGAGAATATGATTGAATACGTACCTATCATTACCTCTCAAGTATCCAAGATGTACAGGTCAACTCTGAAAGCTTCCATACAGTTTAGTGAGAATATTCACTTTGAAATACCGGTGACAAGTTGACTCTACTAGATTTGCCTCAACAAAAGAACAGATGAAATCAAGGAAATGTAACTACAAACTACGTCAAAAATACAGAATATAGAGTGAAATTCGACTCTTAACTCGGTGGAAATGAAATAAACATGAATTGCAACTGATCATTTGATATTTATCAAAGCCAACAAAGAAGAAAGATGGTTGTCCTCGTTGCTTGTGAAAGAAAGAACGAGCATAAATTCAAACCATTAGTTGTGAATCCTCCAACTGCAACTTCTCACCTCGAAATGAAACGAACCTTGCTGCAATTTGTATCCTTTATAGTCTTGAAGAAGAGTAGTGGATATCAATGAGACTATATTTCTTCTCTCGTTTGTCTACTACTTTTCCAAAATCTATAACAAAACGACAAAGCAAAAAAACTATAGTTCCTTGTGAGACAGATACGTGACTCTATTTATGGTCAATTGTTATGGAATTCTCGACTCCTTTGCAATAACAAAAAATATGCGTAAAATTGGAAAAGAAGGTGATGACGTAGTTTGCATCGAGTTTCATAGAGACTGAAGACACAAGAACTTGAATGGATAAATTTCTTTTATATTGAAGTTTAGGAGTTGAGTTTATTTTCTTTGACCTAGTTGTCGATAGAATGATTATTTGCAAAAGTACAAAATTTTGTAAAGATGTCCATTATCTTTGATATTCATCTGATTAGTGATGATGAGCTTCATAATAAAGAGAAATGGGATATATGGTAGCTATCTAATGTTAGATTCTTTGTATTTGAACCTCAATATAAGGCATCAAAATCGGCTCTCTATTTTTCCTATTTGCATTCCTATTTCAATGAATGAGTAACAAACTGTTGTGATGATTCAGTTTAGATAAAGATTTTGAGTTTTGGACACTATATAAAAACATATCAATATATATATATATATATATATATATATGTATCCTTTTTTTCTCTATTCAAATTACATACCATGGAAAAGATGTTCCTTATAGTCAACATTTAGAAATAAACCCATCTCTAAACCATAGCCAAGTAAAAATATTGGCCATCTTTCAATTGATCAAAGACCATATGCTTAAAAGAAATAGGATACCAAGTTCGCCATTAGACTTTGGATAACATTCTTTGATATGTACAACTACAACGGTGTTGAATTATTTCTTCTGTCAAGGTTCGTCTAATTATTTATTTCATCTATCCATGTTATATACGAAAGAGTTTTTGAGCACTTAAGATTGACTGTATATCTCTATACAATGATAAAAACCTAAAATTTTCCTTGTGTTTTTCTTATCATCCAGTGGAGTTACTCTGCAAGCAGTCAAAAAGAATCTTGTCAAGTTTTCATCGCAAAGGTTCCAACAAATACAACTGTCTATTCTATTTCAGAGGCAAACTGTGTGCGTGTTTTTAATTCATATCATAACAACTAGTGGCTTTTGAGTAACCACTTATACTTTGTATATACAAGCTTGCTTCAATTTCTTACTTTGTATATTGATGAGAAGTGATATTAGCTTTCTATTTTTACAATTCGACAACTCTCTCTTCCCATTCTCCCATATGGTTATGGAACGAAAATGGATTTGTCTCAAGTCCTTATGGACAACTGCACTTTTGGATAGGCAATGGTTATTAAAGTCAAACGACCAACTTTGGATAGATTATAAACAAAAAACTGTCCATTTAATCAAAGAAATTCAACCAACTTGTTTCAAGGGTCACTTTCCAGATAATCCTGTCTTCCCTGGAGTGTGGTTACTAGAACTTCAGTTTCAGACAGCCGCAGTATATATGACACAAGTTTTGGGACAACAACGATTGAACGTGCCTTTGTTAAAAACTTGTCGTTTTCGTCAACTTGTAAAGCCTCTTGATAAACTGGATATAGTTGTGGAAGCAATGGACCCTATCACGCGGGTGACTGAACTCAACCCACAACACTGCAACTTTCGAGGAACGATATATAGACAGTCGAAAAAGGTAGCAGAATCTTCCTTTGTAGTTGAAGTTCCTCTCTACACTGATAATAGAACACCGCAAAAGGAAATCTAAGAATATCCCGTTTAAGAAAATCTTGCACGAATTCTTTGAGGTCCAAATTTGATCCAGGTCAGAACTGCAAAAGTGATACATAGACCATACCAAGTACCCACATATAGTAGATGAGTAGAAGGCATAATAGTAAAGTCTTTAAAGGCCTCCAACTTGTGTGGCCAAGGCCATCCTGAAGGAGGTACAGGTGATAGTAAATTCAATACATAGGCAGGCTGTTTAAAACCTAAACTATCTGAAATAGCTATGGCGTCCAACCATAACCAAGAACCGGATTCTGGTTCATTATCTGGAGTATACAAACCGGGTCTTTCTCCAGAAGAAACTATTCCTTCGATAGTAACGTTACCATAAAAGTCATCCTTGGCTCTACTCTTATGTGTAGCTAGTCTTTGTGGTATCCAACCTCGATTAACCAAAATGGGTTCTTCTCCGTTTTGGCGCAAAAAAGGAGTAACTACATTGTAACCAACACTACCTCCCCATTGTAACATATGCATAGGAACATAAGAAGGTGCAGGTCGAGGACCAATCAAACATTCCTTCTCATGTTGAAAACTACCCGAAGCCTCAGCTACGTGATGTTCATTTTCTTTCCTATTTCAACAAACATCGTCTTTTGAGTGCGAAATAGAACTTGACTCTTTCATACTTACATTACGCGACCAGGCAATACTATTTTGGGAGAGTGTAATTTGGTTTCTCTTTCCTCAAACAAGTTCTTTTTCCACCAGTATCTTTTTACTTGCCATGAGCCTAAACCAAAAGTAACTAGAGACAGACTTCCGAAAACAATACGAGGCAACCATAAAGAATTGCGTTGCATTACTCTTAAAGTCATTTGGGATGAAAAAGCTTCCGTTCTTTTATTCTTCTACTTTTTGTTCCAAAAGTGATTTACACCCAAAGGAATCAACATCTGATGAAAAAGAGAGTTGTACCAATAAGAATGCTAAAGGAGAAGATTGGAAAAGATATTCTCCACTCTTTGAAACTGATTGGCAGAAAAGAGCCATTCTAGACTCTATGCTTCGAATCAATCATGCAGGAGAAGTTGGAGCTCGGGAGATCTATGCTGGTCAATTGGCAATATTTAGAGGTACTCGTATAGGTGAGGTGATAGAGGTATATGACAAGTATTATTATTCTCTTGCTTTATATGAAGAAAAGTGTCTTTAGGAAATGGCTAAACAAGAGGAAAAACATTTTCAGTGTTTTGAAAAGTTATTAGTAGAAAGACGCGTTCGTCCCACTTTATTGATGCCTCTATGGAAAGTTGCAGGATTTTCTCTCGGAGCATTGACTGCTATGATGGGTGAGAAGGCTGCTATGGCTTGTACAGTTGCTGTAGAAGAGGTAAGAATAATGATAGCAAACAAAAATAGACATGGTTTGCTCATAATATCAAAGGTAATATCTCAACATTATAATGATCAGATACGTACAATTCATGAAAAGAATTGGCAAGAAGAACAACACTTGAAACAAACATTGAGAGAGTTTAGAGATGATGAAATGGAACATCATGACACAGGAATAGAATATGAAGCCGAATCTTTTGCTTTTTATCGAAGTTTAACTCGAATCATTCAATGGGGTNGTAAGACAGCCATTGAGGTGACTCGTCGATTGTGAAGAGTTTATGACAACCAACAGCGAATCCATAGTTTCCGTTCGAAAGTTGAGTCATCAACTGGAACAGGCAATAAAGGAAAATACTCAACAACGTTCCAAGTATCCAGATGAACCTTTACGTTTTGAGGATTCTGAAGTGGCTTTGGACAAAGCTATTCAAGACTTTCGTTCCATAGCTTCTTTTCCCGAGTTGTTTGATAAAGTCCAAATATGGCCTAGTTTAGTGGGTTTACTTGGTCACGAGAATATCGATATAATAGTGGATGTTATACACACTTTGAATGACTTTTGTGAAGGAGAGGAAGGGGTGAGTGATAACTTGTATTTTTGTTTGAGGTTACCAAAGTAAATAGGAAAACTTGCAACAATGGATAGAAACTTTAGTTCAATGTGGTTTGTTATCAGGTCTTATTTCAGCCATGGAAAGATTAGACTTGTCTAGTTTGGATGAAGCAAGTGGCTTTTATAGTGGTTTGGGTATATTAGAAAATATTCTCGAGTTGAACCCTGCTTTCTCTAAGCAACTTGCTAAAGATACCAATCTATTTTTATTGCTTACTCAATATTTGAATCCTTCTATTTCCAGTATCTCTTTGTATTGTAGTGAAATTCTTGCTGTTTTATTACAAGAAAATGATGAGATTCGTGAATATTTTGGACAGTTAGGACTTATGGATAATATATTGAAAGCTATTGCTCCTTATAGGAAACACAAAGTGAATGAAAGTGATTTGTTGGAAATGGTAGAAAATCTATTCGATTGTTTATGTTCTCTTTTGTTTGTATCCTCTAATAAGGATCGATGGATACAATTGGAAGGGATAGAATTATGTCTCGATTGTATTCGTTATCAAAAACAATTTCGTCATGCTGCTTTAAGATGTTTAGACTTTGCCATGACTCATGGCCCTTTAGTGGGAAAGAGATTCATTCAATTAGGAGGTCTTGGGATTCTGTTTGCCATGTTTTGTGAAAAGTCTAAAAAGTCCTCCTTGGTATTAACGAGTCAAGATACTGAACATATCGTATCCATTTTATATTTCTTATTTCAATATTCCGATGAAAAACATCGTTTGATGAAAAAGTTTATAGAAAATGATTATGAAAAGTTGAAACGTCTAATACTATTACACAAAAAGTATTTAGACAAGGTAAATATTGCAAGTCATTCTAAACAGAATGTTCAACAAGATGAGTTATTCTTATTAAGATGGGAAGCTGGATTATATACTTTGGAGTTGATTGATACTATTTTGGCACAACTTGTAGAGTTTGCAGATAAGAATGAACCAAACCTTATTCAAGTTGTATGGAATCTTTTGAGAAAGCATCAGATTGAAATACAAACCATTGAAGAGATTTTGAAGGAATTTGCGGAGAACTTAGAAGAAGAAGGAACAGATGATAAGAGTGCAAGTAGGCATATATTATATTTGGCACAAAACTTTGTACAAAAGATGACTCGTTAGAAACGAGTATTGATATTCCATGACTCGAGTTTGGATGATGACAATAACAACTGCAACTAATGTAGGAAGAATATTTCTCTCTTTCTTTCTTCATCTTTACCATAATCTATTCATAATGAAGAATGTGATAAGAAGATATAAAGTAGGCTACTTTGGTCTTTTGTCAATTCAAATAAGGCTTGGCATAATTCCTCATTTATAGAATATCAATATATATATATATATATATATATATATGAGACAGAAAAGAATGGAAATGGGTATGGAAGCAACTTATATAAAAGAATATTACGTCAACCACTCTTCATTGTTATACTTCATCTATCAACAAGTATCAATACTAATATATATTCGTATTAGTAGATCAAGAAACAAAAATATTCTTGTCTCTGCAGCTCAGTTGGTTTTATCTTGTGTGTCTATTATGTCTTGTAGTTCTGCATAGAAACTATTCAACTCTTGTTCTACGTTGGGTTTCGTTTTCGTTGTTGTTACAATTTTGTTTTGAACATTATGATGAATAATCCTTGAAGTTGGTTGATAAACTTGAAGAGGAATCAACTGAGTTGTCTTGTTGTTAACAGTTGACTGAAAACTGACGTCGTTGGGTATAGACTGCTCTTCCATAACTGTTTGTTGCCATAAGCAAACTTACAAACCAATAATAAATAACATCATACCTGGTTGTTCTAAAGTGTTATGATGACAACTTGTTTCATTCACTTTCTATAGAAAACCAGTTTTTAACCCCTTCTGATGATAAGTGCTACTTTACTTACACTTTTAAGTATTCTTTGAAAGGCTTGTACTCCTAATAGTTTCTTCCTAGTCTCATTACGATTATCCTCTCCATATCCTGGGTCTAAGGGATCCTGTGAAGGCTCTTTCACATTGCGAAGATTCTTAGACTGCTTTTCTAGAATATTATCGTGTCGTTGTACCAAATATCGAAGTCTCTCTCTTTCTGCATTCAACAGTATACCCTCGTTCTTCTTCTGAATGAGACTTGCTATTTCTTCTTCCAACGACTCAATAGATACAGAAGGACGCTTTGATTGCTTCTGAATATTACTTTTTACTTTATTCTTTTCCTTTTGTTTTCTTTCCTTCCAATATTTCTCTACTGGATGTGCTGATAATTTGTCTTTCATTCCAATTTGTGTTTTGTAGGAATACATTTCATTTTCCTCTTTTTTGTTCTGTTTGGGTGAGAAAGAGAAAGACCCTATGGCAACTAGTTGTGTTCAAGAAGATATCGATGAAGGACTCTACTCTAGACAACTCTATGTAAGTATCGATGGATTATTTTCACAATATCTCTCATTCTATCACAAGGTATTGGGTATGGACGCTCAACGACGAATGTCTTCCTCAAGTGTATTGATCTACGGACTTACTGGATTGGGTATCGAAGTAAGTTTATCTTTTTATAATCAATGTGGGTGCTGAAAATGATAGATTGCCAAAAACTTGATATTGGCTGGAGTGAAGCAAGTTTTTATTTACGATAAGGAGACAGTTTCTTCACAAGATTTATCTTCCAACTTTTTTCTATCCGAGGTAATTGCTCTTTTTTTTGGAATCTTATAGAATGATGTTTACTTAAATACCTGTAGAGTGATATTGGAAAAAGTACAAGGCAGAATGCCGTCGTACAAAAACTAAAAGGCCTCAACCAACAAGTACAAGTTGTATTGGTGGAAGATGATAGACAGCTCAACGAATGGATAAGCAAAGTACAAGTTGTTGTCCTTGTCAATCAAAGTTGGGAAACACAAGTTGATTGGAATCGTGTTTGTAGAGAACATAACGTAAAGTTTATTACTTGTGAGTCCAGAGGAGTCTTTGGTCAAGTTTTTGTTGATTTGGGTGATGTAAGTAGCTTTTGTTATGGATTGGTCAAGTATCGTTGATACAATTCTAGTCTTTTGTGGTTTCGGATACTACTGGAGAAGAACCCAAGTCTGCAATGATTTCCTATGTTTCACGTGCCAACCCGGGTTGTGTTACTTGTCTGGATGAGAGTCGACATGATCTGGAAACGGGTGACCATGTCGTATTTTCACAAGTTGAAGTAATGAGTCTTATAATATTATATTTGCATATGGACTGATCGATTGCACTTGATAGGGAATGACAGAACTCAATGATGGGAAACCTCGAAGGATTCAAGTCACTGGACCATTTACTTTTACAATTGAAGACACTAGCCATTATCATGAATATATAAGAGGTGGTATAGTTACTGAAGTGAAAATGCCACAAACTTTACAATTTCAACCATTATGGGAAGCTTGGAAGGAACCTCAATTTGTGGTAAGTAAGGAAATATAAGATGGAGATATCTCAATAAGATGTTTGAATAGTTGTCAGACTTTGCCAAAGAAGATAGAATGGAGCTACTTCATTATTGTTTTCGAGCGTTGCATGATTTTCAGTCAGAATTTCAAAAAGCTCCTACTTCTGGTTGTCATGATGATTATGCTTTATTTATAGAAAAATTGCGTCGTTATTCAGGTATATGTTGTTCATATGGAAGAATAATATGATAATATCGATGATTGGTTTAGATAAGAGCGGATTTGTAGTGGAAGCATTTTCAAAGACTTGTAGAGGAGATATATCTCCTATGGCAGCCTTTCTTGGAGGAATTGTTGCTCAAGAAGCAATGAAAGCCATTTCTGGAAAATTTACTCCGATTCAACAATTCTTTTATTTTGACTGTTTGGAAGTAAATGGTTTTGTTGTTTGGAAATGAACTTTTGATCAACATCTCTCTGTACACAATAGGTTCTTGGGAATACGATTGCTACTAAAGAAGATATGCAACCCAACCAGAGTCGTTATGATGGCCAAGTTGCTGTATTTGGAAAACATTTTCAAAAAGAATTGGAAAAGTTGCGATATTTTGTTGTTGGTGCGGGTGCTATCGGTTGTGAAATGTTAAAGAATTGGAGTATGATGGGATTGGGTTGTTCTTCACAAGGGAAAATATTCGTTACGGATATGTAAGTATAGTTGTAGTAGTAAGTGATGAGAGAATAGAAATATTCATTTCCTAAAAGGGATAATATTGAGCGTTCCAATTTGAGTCGACAGTTGTTATTTCGAACACAAGATATTGGAAAACCAAAGAGCATTGCAGCAGCTCAAGCAGTCAAACAGATCAATCCACTTGTCAATATTGAGGCAAGTAGTCAATCAGTGTTTTTAGTTTTGGGATAAGAAATGAGTTATTTAGGCATTTGAAGCAAGAGTGGGAGCAGATACAGAAGATATATTTGATGATGATTTTTGGGAGTCGCTTTCTGGAGTTGCAAATGCATTGGATAATGTTCAAGCTAGACAATATGTGGATTGGCGTTGTACTTATTATCGGAAGAGTTTGATTGAAAGTGGAACTTTAGGAACGAAAGGAAATACTCAGGTATATTTGAGATTACTACAAGTTTTTCCAACTTGAGACTGAAATAATCATTTTAGGTTATCATTCCAGGTTTTACGGAGACTTATTCAGCTTCAAGAGATCCTCCTGAAAAGGCAATACCTATTTGTACTTTGAAGAATTTTCCTTATCAAATCGAACACACTATTCAATGGGCAAGGTAATGAGAATATTTTGGATGCTATTGACAATACAAATATTGATATTCTTATAAACTAGAGACACCTTTGAAGGATATTTCAAGTCAGCTCCTGAAGATGTCAATCAGTATCTTAGTCGTCCAGACTTTGTGGAATGTAAGTTTTATTTTTTGACATTCGTTTGTTCTTGATTATTCTTCATTTGAACAGCATTGCGTTCTCAAGGAGGAAGTACTTTATCCAACACTTTAGAAACTTTGTATGATTCTTTGGTAGTGAATAGACCATGTTCATTTGAAGACTGTGTTGCTTGGGCAAGATTTCGATTTGAAGATCTCTTCTCCAATACTATTAAACAATTGCTGTATTCGTATGCACGTATTATCAATGGATTTCAAAATGATACTGAATAATGAAAGGTTTCCTGCCGATATGGTGGATAAGAATGGAGTTCCATTTTGGAGTGGAACGAAAAGAGCACCACAATCTATACAATTCGACTCTTCCATTCCTACTCATTTAGAATTTATTATGACTGCTTCCAATTTACGTGCACAAAATTATGGATTAAAAGGCAAGTACAAGTTGTAAAGTTATAATAGAACTGAATAGCAAATGGATGAATAGGGTCGAGTGATCCTAAATACTTCCAACAAGTATTATCTGAAATAATGGTTCCTGAATTTCAACCTAAAGCCAATGTGAAGATTGCCACTACAGGTAAATGAGGAGATATTCATCTTTGTTGATATATAAATATATTTGTATGAATAGATGCAGAAGCACAAGAACAGGATAATGCCATGGAAGGAGATGAACAACGAATACAACAGATACTTGAAAGCTTACCAACAGCAACGGAACTAGCAGGTTTTCGTTTATATCCCATTGAATTTGATAAAGATGATGATTCTGGACTACATATTGGTTTTGTGACAAGTTGTTCCAATTTGAGAGCCAGCAATTACGGTATAACCAATGCTGACAAGTAAGTTGCTGGATGAGAGATATGGAAATTCAATTTTATTTTGTATAGATATAAAACAAAATTGATTGCTGGACGTATTGTTCCTGCTATCGCAACGACGACTGCAGTGGTGACTGGTTTGGTTTGCATAGAATTATACAAATTGTTACAATACGGCTATTTGAATATGCAAGTAGAAGATGCCCAAAATAGTTGGTTTGTGAAGAAGACTTCCGATGAATTGGATACTTTGAGAAAGGAAAATGAAAAGGTTAGTTGAAAAGAAAATGTTAGAAGAATTACTTATATTTGGAATGATAGAAAGTAGCAGTTTTTAAGAATGGCTTTGTAAACCTAGCACTTCCATTCTTTGGATTTTCAGAGCCTATATTAGCTCCCAAGATTCCAATCGGTGATTCTGGTAAGAAAGAGATGCTTCTTTTATAATGAACAATTTGTTTTTAAAAAGTCATTATAGGAGTGTATTTTACTCAATTCTGGGATCGTTTTGATATCAATGAACAGAGAGATGTGACTTTGAAAGAGTTTTTAGACATTTTTAAACAAAGGTGAGAAGCGTTCGAAATAACAAGTTGAAATTGACATATCGCAAAGATTTCATTTGGAGATATCCATGATGAGTTATGGTGTATCGATTATCTATTCTTCCTTTATTGCACCCAAGAAGTTGGAAGAACGTCTTCATCTTCCTATGAAAAAGGTATGATAAAGTTGTGGTTTGTTCTTTTGGCTTTGTTGTTCATGAAGGAAATATCTTATTTTAGGTTATTGAGACGATAGGTAAAGTGAATTTATCACCCAAACAGAAATATTTGATATTCGAAATGTGTTGTAATGATGAACAAGGAGAAGATGTAGAAGTGCCTTATTGTAGGTATCGTTTTCGTTTTCCATAGTTGTTGTGGGTTCAGAATAAAACAGAATGTCTTGTTTGCTAAATGAATGGAAACTATTCATGAGAATACTATTTTGCTAGGAGAACAATGCAATTCAAATCACGAGGTAACATGAATAACTTTGGCGGTAACAAGATGCCATTCTCTTTGCTTTAATCACAGAAAGCGATTCCTCAAACGGAATCTTTCTTGAACCACAACTGGTTTGCTATACAGAATTCATTCAGTTGCTATTTATTACTTATGATAGGCGTTTGTTGAATGGAATAGAATTTTGGTTGGACCAACTTGAGCTACATTTTAAAGTTTCTCAGGTCTTAAATCATCATCAACATCATCACCACTTTGTTTTCCAAAGAAAGTAAAATTGTCTGTTATATAATGGAGTAACACGACATATGAAAATGGTGCCTTGCTACTAAGGTTAGTAGAGTGGAAATAATCTAATTGTTTTTCGACAAAGTTTTCAACGAATAGAACTATAATCCAATAATTGAGAGATGATAAGTAAACAACTGTGTCCATCTTACCTATCAAACGAAAGAAATTCTAATACTTTGAAATATTCAGGACAAGACTCTAGACCCTGACTTGATTATTTGTTGCTTTGTAAATTGCTTATAAAGACAAAGTAAGAAAGAAAATGGGTACTCTGGTCAACAGATTCGAGGTATTTTAGCTTGCCTATCGTTTCTCTACAATGAAGAGATGAAGAACTGGAAGGAATGTAACAAGTCTATTTTGAATAGTTCAGACTAGAACTGTAGTATGAGTAGCTGCTGCTGGGAATGAAGACAGTGAAACAACAAAGAAGAAACATTATTTCACCTACTCTGTATACAAAGTATTCCAATTGTTTCTAGTAGTGGATGGAAATAGATGATAATGAAATCTTCAAAATACTATGGAATACTTGAAAATGTTTGAAGTTGATAACCCAAATGGAATTTCGTTTGAAATTCTAATGATTTAGGACTCTCGAGTTTCTAAAAAACATCGGCTGGTCTGATCAGACTCTTCAAACTCTGCAAAAGTGGCCTTTAGTTATTTCAAAATTGCCTCATAGTCAAACGAGTTATTGAAGGTAAAGGTAATTTTGCATAGTGTATCTTGAGGCGCTGGTGAAAGCAAGTGGTGCTTCCAGTGATTGAGTGTTTAAAGCAAGAGTACTGAGGTCTCTCAAAAAGTGTGGAGAATTTTCAGTTTCAATTAACCTGTCATTTATTGAGGAATCAGATTCGAAAACAAAACAATTTCCTGTGGCAGTTGTCAAAACTGCAAACTTTGACAAGCAAACAGTAAGTCCTGAGGGTGACCAGCTTCAGGAATGTCACAACCAAAAAGTTTCATCTGGCCAAAACTTTCTTTGAAGCACTTCTTTATGGCTAATAAAGTTTATATAAATATTTAAAGACAAAAAGGAGGGCAAAGATTGCACGGTTTGGTTTTCTGGAAGCTTCAAAACAACAAGAAGAAACGTAAAATTCTAGCAACTAGAAACTCTAGTCTCCTCGTGTTGTTCAACTGTGCAAGTTTTATATTTACATTCGAAATCTCGAACTCCACACTCCCAAAAGCAGTATTCTCTCGTGTTGCACCATTTTTCAGTGGATACATTGTTTAGTTTGATCATCTGCTGTATAAAAGAGAAGAGGTTTTTGATCAAGATATCTGGGGTTTATTGGTTCTTGTTAGCAACTGAATGCAATTTTAGACGCAGCACTTAAAAATTTGTAGTTACTGAAGTCGTTACCGTTCAATCAAAAACATAAGTTAAATCAATCTTTATTCCAAGTCAACTTTTTCAAAGTCGCTCCAATTTTTTTTTAAAAAAAACTTAGTATAAACAAAAGGTAACTTATGCCGTGCTACAAATTTGTAGAAAAACCATTCCATCAGCAGTGTTTAGAAAAGAAAAACGTACAGAGTCAAGTTGAAAAGGACCAACAGTAGAACAAGACTCAGAGCTATTGGAAGTAGCTGTCACTTGGATACCTTGGCGAAAGAAACTACCAGAAAGTGAACCAAAGTCTCCTCCATTGGAACTAGAACCTTGACTTTGAACACTGCCTTCTGCCTGATCCAAAATACTTTGTGCTTGGCTCAAAGCACTGACGGAGCCTGAGCCTGTACTTGAACCTAGTGCTTGAGACTTGGCACCGCCACCCAACTGACTGGAAGCAGCGTTGGCTCCTGCACTAGAAGAACCACCATCACTTGAAGATGCGGTGGCACTGGATTCCACACTTGCTTGAAACAAAGGCTTTGCACAAGTTAAACTCGTACATATACATTGATCCGATACATTCCAGTAACATTTACAAACATCGTTCTCAATGTGAGCACAAGGTAAACACTTTTCTTTGTACTGCCAAACACAGCTCAAGTTTGTAGAAGCTTTGGCAGTTCCTTGTGCTGCTGCTGAACCACTAGAGCTACTTTTAGCATTGGCATTTGTACTACTTGTCACTCCGCTAGGTCCAGAAGTGCTACTTGAGGAGTCTTTTGCTGCAGCGTTGCCACTTGTTCCTGTAGTGCTTTCTGAACTTGTATTAGGAGTATTACTATCAGAAGCAGAAACCCCTTGTCCACTTCCAAAAGAGGAAGATGAAGTAGTGGTTTGTGAACCTTGAAAGTTCACTCCACTAATATTCTTATCAAAACTGGTTGAACCACTTGAACTTATTGCAGCACCATCTTGACTGGAAGACGCACTAGAACCAGCTGCTGTTGAACTCTTACCATTGTTACCTGCTGTAATACCTTTGGCGTTGGCAGAGCCTACAGAAGAAGATATGGATGAACTAGAGGTGCCTTGAGAAGTAGTAGAGCTGGAATCTTCAGAAGCAGCAGAACCATTTCCAGTAGAATCGACTTGGGAGTTGGATGCGGAGGATTGCTTTCCATCAGTTGAAGAGGAGAATCCTGAAGCTTCTCCATTTCCAGAGGAAAAGGAAGAAGAAAATGTATTTGTATCTGCCATTGCAAAACTAACTGCTAATGCTATTACAAGTATAACAGATAAATATAAACAAAGATATCTCTTCATGTTTGTCAAAAAAAATATTGGAGACACAAAAAAGAAGAATAGCAATATACGCTTAAAGTTTTTATTTCATAAAGCTATTTAAAGCATCGATGCTGACGTTTCATTTGATTAGACGTAATCTGGATAATCACAGAATTGTTACTAATTTTGGAAATTCGATGCCGTTTGCATCCATTTGGCAGACAAGTAGGCGATGGGTCCCATGACAATTACATGTTTCTAAATGCAGTCACAGCTAAAAGGAGGAAATGCCGAGGTCACCGTATTCTCCTATTATTTGCAAAATTTATTGCGATCAGTTGATACTTGAAATATACCTTTTTATAGTATCAATAATGGAAGATGGCTATTTATCAAGAAAAAAATTCATACTTCTTATATATTGTAGAAACGTTTCTAGTATATCGTGACGAAATTTCTATTCAAAAAAGAGTTAGTTTTATCCATGTTATAAACTTTGGAATGGCTTTTAGTAAGGTTCAAGTTACTTTTGAATGGACGTTGTACAGAACTTTTTTCTCAAATGATATAATGAGAAACGCTTTGGTTATATAAAAAAATTGCAACTTGTGTTTGTATAAAAAACTATTCACATTACAATAATTACTGTTTCTCACACTGGATTCTTTTCTTTGCAATTACTTGTATGAAATAATGTCCATTTGTATAAATAGTATTTAACAACTCTTGCAGATATTACGGAA